AAAATTAATCTTACATTTGTTGTGCTATATATACAATATTTTTCAGTATATTGTATTTGATTAGCAAGTATTGAGAAATTGTTGTTTTACAACCAAAAGCATTAAAGCACGCAAACTATGAGTTAATAAAGAAAATGAATTTTAAGCTATAACTTGCTATATAATAATAATAATAAAAATGTATACTAATTTCAACAAAATATATGACATTTATTAAAACAACAAACAGTTTATTAAAAAAGCAATCAACAAAAATGTTAATAAAATGTAGTGTCCATTAAATGACTGCTATTTATAGTTTAAGAGCTGTTTATTTAAACGGCGCTCTAAATTATAGACTTTAAATATGATTAATGTGATCAATGAATTTGACAATATATTTGCCGCTTTACTTTGCTGTTTGTTTTATAATCAAAATTGCCTGATAATAGTGGTCAACACTGTGTGAGTACAACCAAAATGATAGTATATTCAGTATACAGTAAATATTGTATATATAAATATATGATATGATTTTATATAAATTATGGTACAGACATGTAAGCTTACTGTCCAATTGATTGATTGTATTGCACACCTTTTTCTCACATCTCGTATCAGTTGTAAAACTCTTTCCTGATTTTACACTTTGGATGAAATCGACAAAAATACTCAAAAAATTATTTGTTAATCTTATTGTGCTCTCTCTCTCTCTCTCTCTCTCTCTCTCTCTCTCTCTAAGGTTTTGATTAAAGATAAATGTGTTGGAAGGGAGTGTCTAGACTGGGGGCACTGCGGGGCACATCATATACGAGCTCTTATAAGTTTGGCTTCAAACATATTTGCCGACTTTGGTATGCCTTACGGGAATTATAGCTAAGAAAACATGTGAGACTTCCAACAGCTAAAGAATGCCAATTTTGACACCTTTTCCATTGCATTTGAGAGACTGCTTGGCGTTGTTTCACCACCAGGTGCTCAATACACTGCCATATATCGGCCCATTTAAGACTAACTAAACTTACAAACTCTCTACCAATTAACTATCAATTGACAATAAATTTTAAATATGTAAATCCAAGTTTCTTTACAAATAATAGTTTTAACATTATAATAAAAACAAACTAAAATTAAATTAAAATCAATTTCACATAAAAATCAAAGGCTTTTAGTTATATACAGTTTATAATATACTGTATTATATAAAATATTGTCAGTGCTATAGTCAGGCCTGAGAAATAAATTAACAGTCAGATGAACGCCATTGCCATTGAAGCCATCCATTGAGTGTTTTCAAGCTCAAGGATGCCATGGGATGTACGAAAAAGGAGAACACATTTTAATTGATATTTTTATAATTTTTTAGATAAGTTCATTGGACTTAATTTGTTTTCTTTAAGACCTTTGTAGGTGTGTTTATTTAGAGCTCAGTTACGCCAAACTTTTATTTGCTATGAGATGCACTTTTTGATGCAGTCATTGAATCACTTGTTCACTGATATTGGCTTTTGTCGATCCAATTCACTGCATCGACAGTTCCCACACTCGCTTCTACACTATATTTTCAACATTTCCCTTAAGTCCTCATTTTATTACCACTTTATTATTATTATTATTTACTTGCTTTTTATTTTATTTTAAATCTGAGAGAAAGTGAAAGAATATTTTTGTTTCAAATATATTACTTTTGAAGTTCAAATAAAATTGTTTTTTAAAACAATTGTTTAATAAAAGGCGTGAAAAATTAATTGAGATCTCACTAATATATATATATATACTGTATATATAATATAAACTATATATGAAGAGAAAGAAAGAAAGAGGAATTTTGAATATATGACTCTACATGAAGTCTTACGCTAAAATAAGGATCAGTTGTATTGATTGAGTTTTTGCCCCCAAAAAACCAATGAATTATAGAAAAGCGTTGGCAAACTGTGCGTCCAATTAATTGTGAGACTTCTCTCTAAAAATAGCTTTCGAGTAATTTTTAAGATTGTTGTTCACAAAGTCAGGCACAGGTATGTCAGTGTCAGTGATGGCATCTCAGTCTGCGTGCCGCCACTGCTCGGATCTATTGGAACCGCCTATTGATTGAACCACTGGTGGTCATCAGAGTTTGTAAATCAATGTTATGTCGGATAGCATCTGAAAGACATTTTTGAAAGGCCTTTGGATTAATCGACAAAAACTTGAATATTAATTCATTTGATTTGAAAAGTTATTTTGAAATTATATTTTTATGTTAATATTTTTGAGCAATAATTTTATGATAATTGAGTATCAAATGATTATCATATGATGGCATTCATAGCAACGTATTGGTTGAGTGACGTCGGCATTGGTTATCTGTTTTGCATTTGATGTACAATTGATATACACTTTACACCTCATAATTCAATAAAGATGTTCACAACTTATGGCTACAACCAGACTATGGCATACAATGATTGGCATTCAAATGAATGCAACGTTTGTCTTAATATTTGAAGAGTAGCTCAAAATGCCATTTCATATCATTTACATTTCATTAGAAGATGTGATCAGTAGAGCAGTGATGCCATTGAGCACTGGTATGCAAGCAATAAGTATGAATTACAAGTACTATATAACTGTTTGATCACATTTTGATAACAGTGGTGTCGACAGCCCAGCAATGGTTTGTGTTGAATGTTATTATCAAAGTTGTTGTCTGTGGGCGTTGTGTTCACACCATTCACACCACGAAGAGTAAAGTCGGTGCCTTTCAAGTGCTGCGATAACAGAGCAAAACACTTGAAGTATGCATTGAATTGGCCCCCGGGCTCATCACGGACAACATCCCTGTGCACATCCACTGCAACAGAGGTGGAGAGGTGTGCACTCAGGTATTACTCAAGATTGCCTTCAATACAATGCACTTGATATGTATTGCCAAAGATATACATTTAGGCAAACATTTGTTGACTACTGTACTCATATACGTGACGGTCACCACCAAGAATAGCACCGAACAAAATGGTTATACATATTAAAGGAAAGGCAGTTCGGACGGCCACTCAATTAGAAAGTGCGGCAAATATGCCAAATACTGTAAAAAAGAGCCAATAATACATATAATTTTAATAGTAAGGGTAAGCCTATGAAAGGCCCGGAGCTTAAAAACACTCAATACATTGAATGCTTCAACAATTAGACGATAACTTAAATATAGTAATATTAATACAAACAAGACTTAACAAAATATTCAACAAAATGAATGATTTGAACACAAAAACCAAATGAATTATATATACCATTGAATTACTGGAGAAACACATCATAAATATCAAACATTTCAAGTATAAAACCCAAATCCAGATATTGATATATATTATATTATATATATATATGTAATTGTTGACTCCCATATCGACTATCCATCATTGATATTATGGTCTCAAATGTTTGATTTAAAAAAATACAAATCATATATTGTAATATTGTTAATACAGTATTTGCATTATACAATTTAATACATATATAGTATAGTAATACTATGATAGTATGTATAATAAAATGAATTAAATGTAAGCAGTGTTGGTTCGCATCCGTGGCCTCTTTTGAGGCATAATAATCATTAAGATATGAGAGCGCACTCTAATCATACCAGCCCTGAGGTGTCAATAAAGTAAAAAATAGTTTGATTTAAGAAATATGTATTTCATAACATAATATAGTCTATATATATAATATTATATTATATTATATTATGTATATATTATACAAAAGGATGAGTTTGTTTAAAAAGTTTGTTCAAATTATAGAGATCGCAGGCCTACTGAAAGGAAATGGTGTAAAACATGACTAAACATAAGTTTATAATATGACATGAATGGACTCATAATGGCAATTGTGGACTAATGTTTTGCGGAAATTCGTGATAAGTCTATCTCTCTATCAATGAAACTAACCTTTTAATTACATCAAACATTGTTACGATCCGGACATCCATTAAATACTAATAATAAGCTATAAGTTTCACCAAATAGTACTAACAGACAATCATTTAAAACACTTTAGTTTTGACTTCTTATCAAATATTACACACATTTCACAAAATATCCATAACTTTACACTCATTTAGGTGTTGTAATATCAACTAAACCGTAACTATAGGCCTATCTTTAACAAAAATAGTGTCCGTTGTAATCATCTAATAGTAATTCCTGTTTTGGGTTAAAGGGTATACCAACTGTGAAACTGTATATTATATACAACTTATCGATAACAGACAATAACAACAAAATTAGACCAATTATTTTAACATATGGTTAGAGTAAGTAATGTGTGTTAAGTGATAATTTAAGTTACAATATATAGTATTTAATATACAGTAAATAATTTTATCATAACTACTAATTACATAAAAATGTCTTATTTTGTTTTATTAATTATAATAAAAAGCATGATATATATAATATATATAAATTAAATTATTAGACCATTAATTTTTCTCACTTAATTTTTTGTTTTATCAAACTAATGGTTTATAATTACCTTACTTTTAAATAAATTACTTCTTACTGTATAATAGGCATAGAAACCGAAATCATTTTTAAAAACCAATCCGAAGAATAGGAACCGCAACAAAAACTTAAAATTATTTTATTGGTGTTTAATTGCATAAAAACTAGACCTAATAAACTGCATTTGATTTAAATTAATTGAATTAAGTAATAATCGGATATCAATGAGTGCTAAATCAGAATAAATTTATTGAATTATTTATTCGATAAATTAATTGCCGATATTTTTATAATACTGTATATCATTTCTAATACTTTTTTTTGTATCTCATATGAAATTGTAGTAAAAATTAGACAAATCAATGTATTTATTTATAAGTTATAAAAACCAACTACTGGTATAAAACAAACTGAAACCAAATTTTTTTCAGTTAACCGACAAAACCGGAACCATTGGGAAGACTACTATACAGCACATTGTATGTCATATACAATAAAAATAATACATAGTCTATACTATTAATATACATATTAATAATAAATCAATTTATTCTTTTATATATAAAATACATTCAATAAGAGTATGATTTGCAATAATATCACTGATATTGTAGTCACTGTTGTGTTGATCACCCGTTAAGTTCTGATACCATAAGCGTCGGGCATCCGTTCAATATAATAATGTCTGTCTTTAATATACATTATAGGAATTCCCGGGATTTTTCTAATTCTTCGTTTAAGCGCCCGATCGGCGGTTGCAATGATATAACACTTATGTTGAGAGACTCGATGGACGAGACAGTCATCGGCATAAGTGCCCGAATGACTGCACGGCAATCGCTCCATCTGTTCCTTAACAATACGTAAAGCTAATCGATATTTTGCACCCAACTGTCCATTAAATATAATAAAAATGTCAATAAAATCAAATCATTTGTTATAACATATCATATTATATATAATGTCTTACTTTCTGAAGTTCGGCGACAACACAGTCGGTGACAAATGGTATGCATTTTGAGAGCAAACAGTCTGTCATTGCTTGACGAATGTCTAACTTGTTTTTGATGGAGAAGTTGACAAAATTCGTGTCACAAATGACACGAAATGGTGGACCTAATGATTGATTATAGTTGAAGAACATTGTGGTCGAAGTCGTGGCCACCACTCGGTCTTCTTGACGCTTCTTAATCGTCTTCTTGTTCTTCTTTTTCAACTTTACCTCATTCTTCAAGTTCTTAATCCGACTATCTTTTAAAGACAACAACTTTGGTGTCTTTACTTTCATTTCTTTAGCCATATCTTAGAGTTTTTGAATACAAAAAACAGAAATCAATTGAATGTCAATCAAAACACAACTCCGAGTGTCACGTGTTTTGTGTTTAAAGCATGCATTCAATTGACATTCAATTCATTGCTATTAGTGTGACATCTGTTAGGTTAACAACAACTCATTTGTATCAATACTTTCAATAACTTTACTTAAAATAAAATTAATATAATAATTGAATTATTGTACACTTTATATATTGTTTTATTAATTGTTTATTTCATTTTTCTCATAAGTGTGTTATTACTTATTAAGACACTTATTGGTGCCGTGTATAGAAAGTGAGCTAAATCAAATAACAAAAAGTAACTTTATTTTTGTGTGACCCCATGTAATGTTTAAAAAGTGATTTGTTCACATACAGATACATTGATTACTAGTCTTTAATTTTGATATTAAAGAATTGTAATATAACTTAAAATAAAATAGTTAGACGGCTTGAACTCGCATGACATCCAATTAAAATATGAGATAGAATATGAATATCATTGCAAAACTAATCTATTGAAACCCGCAATAAATTTTAGTTATACTTATCTTGAAGCCGTCACTAAGAGAGCATATCAGCGTTAGTTAAAGAAATTAAAAACAAAAAGGTGTTAATGTGGAAGATAAAGAAAGTCCGTGACTGACATCAAAGGTTTAAATGAAATTAATATATAAATTATAAGTGATAAATTTGATGTTTTAATTTAAATTAATTCGAGATATATTGGTCATTGATTTTATTAACCATTAAAACAGATTTGACCTCATTTTACTAAAAATATCTGTCATTTATTTAACTACTATATAATCTTGCTCTTACACAATAGGCTAATTAAGTGCAAATATGCCAGAACTTTTTTTATTAGTAAATTCGAATGGATTTATAAGATTGATTAAAACGGTTTATGAATTATCATATTGATCAAATATTGCTTTGTCAAAATGTTATTTGTTTCGATCAATACAACACTCCTTTAACATCGAAAAAATCAAAATTCCAGATGATGTCTAAATGGTAGTCGATGTGCTTTTTGATTAAAAACCACAGGAAGTTGTTTATCAAATGTATTAAAAATTTTCATGACAAATGAGATGTTATAGTATTATAGAGTGAAAATAAAATTAATCTAACTTAATTAACTTTTTTATAAAATTAGTTAAAAAAAATTTTATATCAAGGGTCACTTTCATTGCACAATACCAATATATAAACAATTATAAAATCATTAATGTCTATATTATAAATGTGTTTATGTTATATAAGATGACACATTAAATACTTGATCATATAATTAATGAGTTATTCAATAATTTTTACCCCTATATTGAAATGATTTATTATTTATAACAACGTAAATACATTGTATATGTTTAACAGTTGATATAAACTGTATATTAATAACAATAGTTATTGTTAACAAAAAAGTTTGTAATAATTAAGAAATGTCATCAATTAGTAGTGTTATTGAGATATTTATTACTAATTAATTATTAATGAAGAGATAATAAAAAAAGTTATTTTTGGTTGTCATCTAAAAAATGCATTTAATTAACTCAAATATTTTTACCAAATTTACTTGTAAAATAAATAGAGGTTAAAATTGTACAAATGTGTAGGCACCTCGATCAATTACTAACATTTACCTAACAATACTCAAAATTTACAGTATATACACAATAATTTTGAATAAAATTTTGATTAAAATAGTAGTTTACGCCTCTAGCAGTATAGATGACATAATTGATATAATTGACATAAATGACATAAATGACATAGATCACATTTTATGTTATATCATGGAAATATATGTATATGTATTTCACTGACACTGTATGACTTGTTTATTGTTTATTCAGTCAATAATAGATTCACTTATTATATTTTTGTCATTAGTTAGCATAAAATAAAAACTAATAAAAATCATTATATAAGAAATCTATTGATTCTTATTTAAAACATTTAATGAATTAGTGGTACAATTGATAACATATTTTTAAGATTATATTATTTTTAAAAAATATGAATCGATTAAGAATTAAAAACCAATCTTTACGTGAATTCTTTGCTGAAATGTTGGGAACTTTTACTTTAACCGTAAGTTTAGTTTACTTTTATATTTTTAGTTTTATCGATTAATTTATTTCAAATTATGATTGTATAGATTATATTAATTTTATTGATCTATGAAATATTAAATAATATATATTATATATCAATTAATTTAAAGTTTGTTAACATTTATTGTGAAATCAATTCTATTGTTATTTCATAAATACCGATATATAAGTTATAGTTATTAATACTGTATATACTAAAATGTAATTTAAAAATGTGAGGGTGTAATCTATATTGAATGATTCCTAGTAGTAAATAAAAATTTTCCGATATTTACTATAAGTTGATTCATAAATGTTAGTAATTTAACAAATATATTAATTATGATATCATTAGTTATTAGTAAGTAAGTACTGTAGTAAAGTAAGTTAAAAAAAATTATTAAAAACTAATATAACTTTAATGTATTAAAATATATTACATTATTTTTCTGAATTAAACAATAAAAATAAAGTACATTTAATATCTAAAATTCATATTCTCAATGATGAATTGATGAATTAACTATTGAAAGTTTAATTAATTGGTTTTTTAAAAATTTATGATTATATTGATAGTAAAGCTATAATTATATAATTGTTATATCATAAGTTATTAAATAAATATAAATCTATTGAGGTCATTATTTTGTATATTTGTAGTAATCATTTGTAATTAGTAGTGTTAAAACAACATTAAAAACACTAAAAAATCACCGCTTATAAACATATTAATATCAATAAATAAGATATATACCGTATATATATATATATATATATATATACTTAAATTTTTATATTTTAACAATTTAACACTCAATTATTGATACGATAATACACCTATTGCTTTTATTTATTTATCTCAAATATTAAATAATCTGTTTATAAATGCACTTAATTAGATATACTATTATAATTAACAGTTCAATATTACATTAAATAAAATTTTAATAGATTTTTCGCAATTTTATTATATGTTTTGGTTAAATATTTTCATTATTTTCTTTTAAAATATATAAAATATTTTTTAAATAATTATCTTTCTTCCAAAATTATATTTATAAGAATTTATTCATTGTAACAAAAATTTTTAATATCATTGATATTTTAAATTTATCAGTAAATTACAATAATATTAACATTTAATGATGAGTTAAATATGCAAATATGTAATAATATATAACTGTACTGTATATACTGTGTATGGTTTATATATCTGGTTTAATTTAAATGATTTAAGTTTTATTTTATTAAGAAATAATATTTTAAAAACTGTAACATTAAATATATTATTTTGTTATATGAGATTTGATTAATTAAAAATATATAATTAATTTATTGAGAATTAATAGTGGAAAATAACTATAAAAAATACAGTTTATGACTATAACTCTAATCATGCAATATCATGATTACTGATATAAAATCACAAAATAATTGGCACTCGTTTTTGCTTTAAAAATATATAATGATATTGAATTAATTCAATAATTTTTTTAAACTGAAATTTCTGGTAAAATATAATGATAAGCATACTTCTTGAATAACTCAATTCAGGTATTTTCGTATAAGTATTTGTTATATAATATTTCGAAAATTATATGACATTTAACAAAACTGATTGCACTATTTGTACAAAATATTTATATCAAAATTGTTTATGAAAATTTCTTTGAGAATTTTTTCAAACTTGATATATTTGATTGTAATTATTTTCAAAATATTCTATATTTTAAATAAAACACATTAATATTTTTTGAAATATTATAAATATCTCTATTCAATTTTACCATTCTAAAAATTGGGTTTTTTTAAATTGAGCTAAAATATAGCTTATTATAGTTACAAACAAAAATTTTAGAGTAAAAACTAGTGTTAGCTATTTTGTGAAAACTTTATATTTATTGATATTCATTAAATGTTGATTGTGATATTGAACTGTATTACATAAATATTATTTATTGGTGTTTATAATAGTATAGCAAATCAAAATTATTAGCAGTAATAACCTTAACAACATGCAACACGTGTATTACATATTACACCTAGCTTAATTTCTAACAAATTAGACTTGCATTAATAATTAATGATCTAAAGCATTAACAAACTTAATTATAATTTAATTGTTTAATATTTTTTAAATTAATTAATTAAAAATTTTATATTTAAGTATCTCATTGTATAATAAATTTACTTACTAATCTACATTATTTTAATAATAGAAATTACTGTATTAATTATTTTAAGATTAATTTAAATATAAAACAATGTTATTTTAGTTAATCATTTTTAATCAAAATTATAATAACAATCTATAAATAATTAAAATAAACAATACATTATTTAATATATTAAGTTTTTACAATTAAAAATTTATTATTTTTAACTAAAATAAATATTTTATATCTAACACATGTCTTATTAAAATTGTCAATCATTAAGCACTTAATATTAATGCGAAACTTTTTTTTGTTTTATTGCTACATATTGTGTGAAACCAATAAAAATATGTAAAACTATAATAACGCAGACGCTTAACAAATGTTGCACTAAATGCATTGAATTACACTCTATTTATTAAATGTAATAAAAACTTATTTATTATCGAAACCACTTTCACATCGATTAATAATATAAATTATTATTATATATATATTATATTTTTAAATATTTTAAGTATTGTTTTTTAAGATAAAACAATTAAATAAAATAAATATAATTATGAGTCGATTTAGAATAAAAAATCAAACAATTCGTGAATTTTTAGCCGAACTTTTGGGAACATTCACTTTAACTGTAAGTTATATATTATATTAAAATTATTTATTTATTTTCATATTTTGTTACAAATAATACATTTTAATGCAGTTATATTTTTACATTAAATTTTTCTATACTTAATTAATTAATTTTTCAAAAACAATTAATGTTAATTATAAACATAAATGTAATTTCAATTTACTAATATATTAAAATTAAGAAATGTTTGGGAAAATTTTAATTTAATCATGATAGTTATTTTTACAATAATAGTTTTAGTATAATTTTGATAATAAAACATTACAGCAATGATTTAAATGAATTGCAGAATTTGAATTTTTTTTTATTAGTTACTTTTAAAAGTTTTTCATTTAAATTTTTTACACAATTTGAAAATCTTTGATTCATATGATTTGTATATTATTTAAATTTTTAAAATTCTCTTAAGTAATTATTTTAATATTTTCTACATTACAAAATAAACACAATAAAATTACAAAATGTTTCGCAAAATATTTCAATTTTAATAAATATTAAATTTGAATAAAATTATTTTGCAAGATTAATATAATTAATAATTTTAAATAATTAAAAATTTTAATAATACTATATTTTTGGTAAATTGACAATTTTCATCTAATAAAAGTTAATAATATTAATAAGTAGAATTATTATGTATAAATAAAAGTTTTATTATTTTATTTTTTTAAAATCTCAAATCATACTTTTTGCTTAATTTAAAAAATAACAATAATAATGATATATTCTACATATGTATAAGATAACATAATTTAAAAACATTAATAGTTAAAATAACTATCTATTAATACTTATCAGATTAATTAGATTAATAGGTTTAAGTTTTTTATGTTGAAATTATTATTATAAAATTTTATGTATTGCAGTATCTATATTATATTTCATGATAATGTCAAAAATATCTGTTAAGTATTGTGGGTAAAAATTATAGTTATGTTATAATTATTAATTACTTAAATGTTTGTTATTATTAATAAATATATTGTATAGTTTTTAAGTTATCAATTTTATGATATCACATTCAGACATGTGTTATTATTATTAATATATTAAATATATAATAAAACTATAAATATCATAAAAATATAATTAATATAAACTATATTATATACTATTATAACTTATAATATATAATATATAGTCTATATTATTTAAAATTATTAGAATTATTATTTATAATATTATAATAACATAAATAAATAAATTGTTAATTAAAATTATTTTATATTAAAATAATAAACAGTGCGTTGGATGCAGTGGTGGGGCTTATATGACAGTAGCTAAAGAAGGGGGAATAAGTCACGCTGTAGGTCCATGGATATGGGGAATGGTATATAAAAAATTATAAAAATATCAATATCAATTTACAATAATTTATTATATTATTAATAATAATCTATATTAAAATTATATTTAGGGTCTCACTGCAGCTATATATGTGTGCGGTGGGGTTTCGGGTAATAAAAAAAATTACATAAAAATTGGTATTAATAATAAAAATATATTATTTTAAAGGAGGTCATGTAAACCCAGCAGTTACACTGGGTATGGCATCGGTGGGCAAATTACCATGGAGGAAAGTCATTCATTATTTTTTAGGACAATATATCGGAGCATTTCTGGCCGCTGTCGTTACGTATTGTGTTTATAGAGAGGCTATTCTCAATACATTTGATCATAAATTGTTGACTACCGGTCCTAATGCAACGGCAGGAATATTTGGTACATTTCCCGCAGCCGGCATCACAACATTGACTACAGTTATTGATCAGGTATTGATTTAGTAGACTAATTGGTAGTTTTATAAATCGATTAAAAAATTTATTTAAATTATTCAGATAGTTGCGGTTGGCTTTTTCTTATTGCTGATCAATGCCATCACCGATGAAAAAAACATGGCCTGTCCCAAGGGTATGATTTAAAATAAATCATTTACCGGTAATAAAACTAAAATAAATATTTTTATTAGGTTTGGTGCCCATAGCTATAGGAATGACTGATTTAGGTTTATTGGTGTTTGCATTTGGTTACAATTGCGGCGGTCCTATAAATCCGGCCCGAGATTTTAGTCCACGACTATTCTCTGCAATGGCTGGTTGGGGTACTGAAGTATTTTCGTAAGTTTTATTATTATAACTATTTTTTATTACTAATTCAATGAGATTTTCAATGAGTTACGATATTATATTTATATTACACTATTTTCTCATTAATTTATGGTTACTATAAAAAATTAATTTTTCATTAATATCCTATTAACGTCACAATTATAAAAGTAATTAATATAACATTTATAATTTTTTTTATTAAATATTAATTTATTATATATATATATATATATATATATATATATATATATATAATGATAACATTATTTAGTTTCTATATTTTATTGTATTATGCCTAAGTATTTAAGCCTTAAAATACTTATTATACTGTATATACAAAAATTTTGAGAAAGTATTAAATATTAACTATAACTTAAAATAATAAAGTAGTAGACAATTATTTCAAATATTTACTTATAAATTAAATATAGATTAAATAAATGTATTAAATGTTATCATCATATTTATTGATAATACAGTATACATAACAAATGAATTAATAGTTGCTAATTATAATTACAGAGTAAACAATTACGGATATTTTTGGGTACCATTTGTCGGTTGTCATATTGGAGGCATAGTTGGCTGTTGGATATATAAGTTATTTATTGAGAACCACTGGCCCGACGAGTCGTACGACTTTCCCAATTCAAATGAAAGTGAGAACTATAATGTTTCGTCTAAAAACATTGCAGTCAATAGCATTGAGCCTATCTAGCACTGGTGGTTGGATCGACCATCAGCTGCCGGTCCCTCTATTATTAGCAATAATACTTTGGCTGCCAAACAGTCTTTGCTTAACTTGAACTCAAATATTATTTCAAACTATGAAAACTCATATTTAACTCAACGCCGACATCTATTTCTCTCATTAAACTCTGTCTACTCAGAGAAAGCCATTTATATTAATAACAAAACTCATTAATTATTTTTATAATTTTATTACTTTATTTCTCTTTTTTTATTTCTTATATTTTCAGAATAACATTCAATACCCGAAACACATATTAATATATCAATTACTACATTAAAATCAATAATCATATAATAATTATCTAATCAAATACTAAACAAATTCTTAGGAAAGAACAGCACATATGAGATGAATGAAGTCAAAGGATATTAACAACGATGTCATCAATCAATGAATTTTTGTTTTTGTCATTAATTATAATATAATTTATATATTAAATAATATTATACTAAATTTATTAATCAATTGTTTTGTCAATGTTTAATAATATATTATTCAAATTTATTATAATTATTATTACAGTATTTTTTTGCTTGAGATAGATATATATAATAATTTTTATTTTTTAAAATGAAATTTTTATTATATAAATAAAATATATAATTATTAAATAATTTTAAAACTTAATTATTGTAAGTGTTAATAATAAAATACATTTTTATCTACATTATCAACAATATTTTAACAAATATAAAAAAAGTTTTACATTTAAATTTAGTTTAAATTTTGTTATACAGTAACATCTGTTTACAATATTGATTTAAAAACAATAAAATTCAGTTAATATATTTTATATATTTATTTAATAAAACATTTGTATTAGATTTATATTTAATATGCAGAATATGTACGAAATTTTGTTTACTTATTGATTAAATGCCTCTTCGTTATTATATTATATAATTTATATATACAATAAAAATATTGTCACAAAAAATATTAATCAATTTTGTTTAATATCAATTGAATTGATTTTTATTATAATTTAATTTACATAATTTTGTTATTTAATTATTTATTTAATATATGCTATTAGTTAATAATATATGTTTCATTTATTTCACTTATGTAATTAAAAATTGCTATTGTTTTGATAAAGTTAAATATACAATTATAATTATATAGTGTTAAGTATTTTTTAATAAGATTATGTATAGTCAATGACTATATTCATTGCATTGAATATTTGTTGAATTGTTATGTCATACGATATATTGAGATACAGTAATATTTAATTATATTAACTCAAAGCTAAAGATAATAAAAAAAGAAAAGTGAAGAGAAAATTACAGTTAAGAAGTTTGCAAATGTTGTGATGTTTTGTGCCTTAAAAATGAACTGATCTTTAATATAAACATTGAAAGAGTCAAGTGTTGTGTTATATAACTTATATTGCAATTTGCAATTTGCAACCCAACCTCCCCTTCCCATAGAGTGTATGCTTTGGTTGCGAGCACTGACAGCATCTCTGAGTCTGTGCTTTAAATGCATGACTCTTGTGAAGAAGTGATGCCTTTTTCTCTGAACAAACAGATATCATATTATCTCATAAATCCAATGCTTTTCACTTCTCAATGCTATGTATTTCATATTATTTACAAATATTGTTGTAAATGATGTTTTTCACGCAAATTTAGTTTAATATTAAAACATTTGACTCGCATTTCATATACTGTCATCTCAATGGCCATAATCACTATAATAGTTACTAAATAAATAGCTATAAACTATGATTAAAATGAATAATATGTTTAAAAAATATATTACAAATTATTTAATTTTAATTTCAATTTCTTCATTATGTTTTCGCATCTGTTTAAGCGGTAAGTGATTTAAATTTAATTTTGATTTCATATAAAAATTAGTTTAATGTTATCATGTTTTCAAACAAATTGCATTACTATAAATACCAGAAACACATATCAAATATATTTTACACGATTCTCTCTAAAAATGCTTATTTCAATTCAAAAATATTATATACAGTAGTATTTCATGTTATTCTTTACTTTAATAATTTAAATGATGACTAACTCAATGAACAGTTGCTTTTAAATGAGAAGTCATTTGCTTCAAGTAATAAACTGACAGAAAGTCAACTAAATCTGATCTATATTTAGACCTAACTTTCCTAAACTCACTCCCAAAACACGGCCTTTTAGTTTAATGTTGTTTTAGACACATTTGGCAAACATTTTTCATATTTGTGTATAAATTTTAAAACACAAATATTATATAATCCGATTGGCGATTGAGTGAACATTTAATTATATTTTGTTAACACTAATAACAATATTATTAATATTTTGTTAAATTTTTAGTGTAAACTACAATATTTTTTCATTTTATAAAATGAGTAGTTAATGAGTTTATTTAGATTATATGATAAAATGTTAAGCTTATATTAAAATTAAATGAAACATTTTTATTAAAAATATATATATTTAGTATACATTACATTGTCAAAATGTTAAAATATTAAATGTTGAGAAACACTGAGTGTAATTGCATTTTATTTTAATTTATATTTTCACAAATATCATACAAAGTTTTTAAAAAATTGCAAAAATTTTTGTGTAAAAACTGCTCTTTTATTGAATTCATTATTTGATTTCATTTCTAAGATATTATAGATAATCACATATTTATATAATATATTATATTTAAAAATATAAAGAAAGTTATCATATAAAACCAAAAAAATTTTTGCTCTTATAATTGAAAAGTGAGAATAAATTGTGAATAAAAGTGGTGTTCATTGAATTGTTGAGCTTTTGATATAAGCAGTGATGTATAAAAAGGGGAAAAAGTGTGCATTTAATTTAAAATAAATAGTTGAGAGTTAAGTGCAAACAACTAGCAAATTGAATGAACGGCTCAAATAACTCATCAATGCATTCATTAAATACTGTACTAACCTTCTTATTGTATAATTCAACATACATACAACACACACACACACACACACACACACACACACACACACACACACACACACACACACACACACACACACACACACACACACACACACATACATACACATACATACACATACATACACATACATACACATACATACACATACATACACATACATACACATACACACACACACACACACACACACACACACAYACACACACACATACACATACATACACATACATACACATACATACACATACATACACATACATACACATACATACACATACATACACATACATACACATACATACACATACATACACATACATACACATACATACACATACATACACATACATACACATACATACACATACATACACATACATACACATACATACACATACATACACATACATACACATACATACACATACATACACATACATACACACACATCCTATCTGCCAATGTTTCTGTCATCCTCTCAGCTGAATCTCATTTAATTAATTTTGAGCTTACAGTCACTTCACTAACATAATTCAATAGTGAAATTTTGATGAAAACATACAAAACAAAAACAATAGACAAACATTAGTATATATTTAATAAATGAATTGATTATTGTTGTACTGGTATTTGAATCCTTCACTTAATTCGAGATAATAATTATAATTTGTTTTTTATTTTCAAAACATTTAATTATCATATAAAATAAATTAATGTTATTAAAGCTTTTTAAAAAGTGATATTATATTTTTGTTGATATAAATTTAAATGATATTAAAAAGACAAATATTTGTCTTTTATATAACAAAATGTGGCATAATTTGTGTCTTAACATCTGTTTGCAATCCCTTTCCTCTCTTGTCTATTGATTTCTTGAAATAATAGTTTCAAAAGTACTTTCTTTTTAATTTTCGTTTTGTTTTCTTCTTGTAAATTGTGATAAAGTATTTTGGTTTCACAGCATATCCACTAAATTTTTTGCATATAATATAATGCTTTAAAAGTCAAAGCAGTTTTTAAGTACAAAAATTGATGATCCGGTGCTCCCATACTATCTATTAACTTAAGCTCTCTCTCTCTCTCTCTCTCTCTCTCTCTCTCTCTCTCTCTCTCTCTCTCTCTCTCTCTCTATCTCTCTCTCTCACAAGTGAAAAACGACACACTTTCTCTCTCTCTCTCTCTCTCTCTATCTCTCTCTCTCTCTCTCTCTCTCTCTCTCTCTAGTAAATAAATATTAGTTAACTTATCAAACAAGTGAGGCAATCGTTAAACTAAAATTATTTTATATAAAATCGTTTCTATTAAAGAATTTGTTTACTAAAAATAAAATCAATAAAAATTTTAATAATTTTGTTTACTATATATTATATAGTATATACAGTATATATAGTATATATTTATCAATTTTCAAGCACTGGTTACTCTTTTTTTGACTATTTTCGTCAAAAGTCGTGGTAATCTTTGCTATTATACAGTATATCACAATATAACACACAAGCAATGTGTTAGAAGAATATCTGTTAAATGTGTAGACGTTTTTGGAGTCGACACTCAAAATCGATATCAAAATATGTTATACAATAATAATAATATAACATTCAGTATATTTGGTCAGTTTGTGGTCTATTCAAAGCATTCACTAAATTCATACTTATATCAACTGAGTTGTTATAATTGTATTTATGTGATAATACATTGCCATTATATAAATACAGAATTTTACTTAAATTGGATTATATTAGATAGTTATATAACATTTGCTAACTAAGCTACAGATTATATTAATGCAAAGTAATATTAAAATACATGTATATTGAATGATATTTAATAATAAATATAAAAATACTAATAATAATATGTTAATAATATAATATAAATTTATATACTGTATGTAGTTGTAGTTTGAAATAAATATATTTGTACTTAAAAAACAATTTTTTAAACTTTAAATTTCATGTACATATGAGTTGAATTGATTTATTTCAATAAGTAGCGCATATATTGATTTTGGTTAATGTTTTGTCAAAAGAAAACCTATTTTTCAATTTTACAATTATTGTAAAACAATACTAGATATTGACTTTTCGGTGTAAAAAGAAGGGAGAGTTAGCTTTAATGGCAATATTTTTTTACACAAAATACATCATATATTGTACAGAATATAACATAAGTGACACAACATTACACTTAAATGACTGACATTAAGTTGAAGTCAATTCTGTAAAGAATATTGTAATGAGTGTTGAAATTCTTAGCAATTTTTTCTAATCAATACAAAAGTTATTTAATTGTGGTTTTGGTTAACAAAAAAAATCATTGAAATATTACATTAAACTATTCACTGAAATTTTCTGCAATCAAATAAATTGTTGCCCTATTTTATATGTAATGTTCACATTTTGATAGCATTTTTTAGACAGAATTTTGTCATATTTATTCACAATTTCAGATGAATTGATATCTATTTTATCCGTTTTTATTTGTATTTTATAAAATGCAACAATACTTCAATAATATTTAATATCCATTTTATTTTATACAATTCCATTCAAAAAAATAATCAAATGTGAAACAAAATATTATAAATTGCATTTCATAAATATATCATTTTGTTATATACATGACTTGCAAACACTTCGTATATCTATTCTCTAAAATTGCCTATAATTTAGACAATTCTGAGAAAAGATAGATATATTTCAATGAAATTTAATTTCTGAATATTATATAGATTTGAATACATTTATATTGTTTGGTGTTATTATAAAAAATTATTTTAATGGTTTATCGAATCACTTTTTTACAGAATTAGATGATAATTTATTATGCTATTTATCAATATATATATATATACTGTATATATAATACTATTTTTAGACAATACAATTTTATTTACTGATACTTAAATGCATTAACTAATCATATAATAAACACAAAACATTGATAAATGAGAAATTGAGTAAATAATTAATGAATGTATCAATCAATAGCCTCTTTTTATGGTTCGAGTTATATGTCCGTTCCCTATGAAGAGTCCAAAAGTACTACAAATATATCGTTTCGCATCAAAACCTATCAATCGGATGGTTTTATATTTGCATCCATTGGATCCATAGATTATTGTATAATCTGTATTAAAAATGGACAAATAAATGTATGCAAAACAAATGCATTAATAACTACAGCTATTTTAAAATTATTTATAAATTATAGGTACGAATAAATCTGGGTTCGGGTGAATCACATCTTATGTCTAATGATTTAAAACTAAATGATTTGAAATGGCATCGCATAGATGTACAGCGTGTGGACTCTGAAATATCATTAACCATCGATGATTATCATACATTTTTTGTTGATATTCCTGGAAGTTTTTACGACTTGAATATAAAATATGGCATATATTTGGGTGGATTAAGTGATACCATTAAAAGAAATTATTTAGAAGAGTTGCCTAAATTTAGGGGATGTTTAGAACAAGTGTTTTATAATGGCCTCAATATTACCGATATCTCCATTAAAACTAACGGTACTCATGATGTTACTGATGAGTGTAACAATCAATTTGAGGCCAAACATAGCGATGATATAAGTTTTGTTGAAAGTGGAAGTTATGCTGTATTTACAGGATTTGCAAATAATGTCAGAACCGGAGGGACTATAAGTTTTCAAATAAAAACTTCTGCTTTTATTTCACTTGTTTTATATAACGGTGGAAGTTATGGACATAAATCAGACTTTATTTCAATTGAAATAATAAACGGCAAAATTGTGTTATCTATTAGTGATGGCAACGGTTTCATTGAGTTATTATCAGACATAGTGGTCAGCGATGGCTTCTGGCATTCGGTTAGACTTCAATTCAGTCCATTATATATGGAAATATCTGTCGACGACTTACCTGCCAATAGTTTAAGACCCAACTTAGGCAACAAAAAATATTTTAATTTTAGTGATAATTTATATATAGGAGGATTGGATGCAAATATGGATTATAATGGACTAAAATCCATGTTTGAAGTTCTGTCACTTCCAGAAAGTTCACTGAAAGGGTGTCTTAAAAATGTAAAGATTGGATATAAAATGATAGGTCTTAAAGACGCTATAATCACCAAAGGTGTCAAATCAGGTCAATGTATTTGGGAGTTCCCATGCCTTTCACAAGTCAAGTCTCCCTGTATTGACGGCGCTAAGTGTCTTCAACAGGGCTTTCATGATTTTAAGTGTTTGTGCGATAAACCCAACTGTTTTCGGACCAATTTTACACATTATAAATATGTTAAAATTAAATCTGAAAGTCAAATATATTCGCCAATTAATGACTCTCCAAAAGACTTGATTAATAAGACAATTAATGTGTTAAAAGTGGCCATCAATTCAAAGCGTTTCATAACATCTGAGTATTTGAATGTAATCGATGATCAAGAGAGTCGTCCAGAGGAAGTCTTATATAAAATCAATGGTATATATAATGGCGATCAAAGTTTTATTGAAAACATGAGAAATCCCGACATCCCTATCGATAATTTCACTCAAAGTGATATAAATGAGAAATTGATTTGTTTTGTTCATAAATCAAAGTCATTAGTGGCGATAAACAATATTAAAACAATGTTAACATTGATTGATAAAAAGGGATCAAAAATTGATATTATATTTTTGGTTCAGACCTATCAAATTGAATTGACTTTAATAAATAATACGGGAATCAGTTTGCCTTATAATACATTTGCAATCATAACGGCATCTAATCTTAGTTATACCACTAATACTGAAAGCGATGTCAACCAATATATAAGATTTGAGATAACAAAACAAAGTCAGTTTGGAGTCATAGAGAAGCACAGGGCTAGTGGTCATTGGGTTAACGTAACGTTTTTCTCTCAGAGACAGATTAATAGAAATAAAATTAGATATTTTCACTTAAAAGATAAACCAAACCATGACTTTATTGACCTCCAAGTCTCATATAATCAAATCAAAGCGCCTCCCATTCAATTAAAAATCCAATTTAAAACATCACAATTACAGTTAATCTCATTGAATCAATTGACAATAAATCAAAGCACCAAACAAATTGCTATTACAAATAAAGATTTAAAATTTGATACCTCACCGTTTCCTACTGATCCCAGTCTTATAATATACACAATACTATCTTTACCATCATTTGGATCATTGTATTTAATCAATGGCAATACTACGGAAAAATTAAGTGTCACATCATTTTTTACACAAAAAATGATTGACGAAGAAATACTTTTCTATAACTGTTCCAACTCTAAACCTTTGTCTGGTCACGACTTCTTTGACTTTGAGGTCGTCAACGAAGATGGACTCACCAATGTTCAAGTGATGAGCTTTCAGTTAGTTGTCTAAACTATATTTATAAGTAAATTGTTTAGTATTTAATTAAATTAATTTTTATAAAAACAGTTTCAAATTTATAACGAGTACTACGGATGTATTCACTTTAAACAATGAAAAGCTAATAGTGATTGAAGGCGACAGAGCAACCATTAGTAATAAGTTATTGATGGTCGAGACACCCGATAAGGACACACTCATCACTTATAATATCACTAATAAACCAAAGTTTGGTACAATTAAAGTATTGAATCAACAACTTAATGATATAATTCAGATATCGCCCGATTTGTTTACACAAACAGAAATCGATGACAACCGAGTTGTCTATTATCACGACGACAGCGAAAACAATGTCGATGTCTTTGATTTTGTAGCTCTCGACTCACTAAATCGTTTCATATGTTTTGCCACTTTCACCATAGATGTAGTCATGAAGAATGACAATCCACCCGTTCGTGTCATTGATAAAGTGTTTCAAGTGGTTACCGACGGAGAGAAAAAACTTACTGCTAATGATATTAAATATATTGACGCAGATATAGACTCTTCGCCGGCAAATATTAAATACACAAAGACTTATATACCAAATGGCAATTTATATTTCATAGATCGACCAAATGTTGCGGTCGAACAGTTCACTCAAGAAGATATCAATAATGAGAATATTCTGTTCAAACATAGCGGCGATGAAAGTGGTCGCGCAATACTCTGGATAACCGACGGCCAGTTTTACGCTTCCGGTGTACTCGAGATTAAAGCCTCGCGACCTTTCCTACGAATATTACGTAATACAGGACTGGCCGTCAAATATGGAGAAAGTGTTACCATTTCTATTAATAATCTCACAGTTGATAGCAATCTTGATATAAGCCGTAAAAGGTTAGTACAATAAAATATATCTTAATTTTAAGTAATGTTTTTCTAAAACCTTATTTTATATTTTATGTCTCAATTAAACTTTATCTTTTATTGTGTATATCTTATACAGAAATGCTTTTATTTTTTATCACTTATTTTATTGAATCATTAATCCTTTTGTGTACTCTAGTGATGTAACCATAAAAATAACATCTGAACCTAAATTTGGTCACATATTGATTGGAGGCAAAGAAATAAATAGATTCACATTACAGGTTTGAAATATAAAAAATTGACCATAAAATTAGTTATAATTAATGATTGGATGAAAAATATTTTTAAAGGATTTGATCGATGAAAACGTTGAATATGAAAGCAAAGCCTTTGAAGAAGACTCATTGGTTATACATAACGACTCATTTATGTTTAGACGTAAGTACTACTAAATTATTAGTTTAATTATTATTTAAATGATTCAGAAATTAATAGCTAATAATATCTATTGACTAAAAATACAATACTGTAGTATAATAAGTAACTTTTAAATCTTTGTATAAAACAGTTTTATAAATAGTTTAAAACAATCGAAACTATTTTTATTGATCAGTAAAATCGATAAAAAATACACTATATATACATTTTGGTGTTTAGAAAACTGTTAGCTAACTTAGTTGTTGATTATTTTAATGATTGATTGATTAGATTAAAGCCATTATTTGATTTAAATGTAGTTTTTTTCAATGGAGAGGACTACCTATCGAGTAGAGTGACTGCTGAGAACCAATTGTTTAATATCTCGATATACCCGCACTCGTACTTTCAATTAAGTTTAGTCCACTTAAGTAACATCTCTGCCAATGAGGACGACTATGCTATTGTTGACTCTAATCACCTGATGGTGAGTCACCAGACCTTAGACCCGGAGAACATTGTCTTTATGATCAGTGAATTACCAAAATTGGGTTTTCTATCACTGCTTACAACTAATACAACACCGATTCCGATGCACTTTCACTATCAAAACACTTTGAATATGACTTACATTAAGAACGAAGCATTGCTTTTGTTCACACAAAAGGATATTAACGACGGCTTAATTCACTACAAGTATTCCCTATTAGATAATGATATTACAAACAACACATATATTGATTATTTTCGGTTTGATGTCTCCAATGGTATTACAACACTTCATGATCTTACTCTTTATATAAATATTATCTCAAAAATTATCACTTTATACACAACTAATATAACGGTCACTGAGGGTCAAAGTGTTGTCTTAATGACCGGTGATTTCATTGTGTCCAATGATTTTTATGTCAATCTTATCGATGAATATCTTATCATAGAAGAGCCCAAATTTGGGACAATAGTCTGCATGAGTGAAAATGAAGAGAAAATGAAGACCAAAACATTTACACCCAAACAGCTCAAGAATGGTCTTATTTGGTACGAACATAATGGTTCAGAAACGACAAGAGATTGGCTGACAATTGTGGTCAGAGCCAACTCATTGAATAAAGAAAGCTTACCATCAACTATACACGTGTCTATTGATCCTATTAACGATGAAACACCACATGTAGTCAATAATACTGGTTTAGAGCTTTGGGAGGGAACCAGTGCTGTCCTCACAAATACACATTTGGCTGCTGTAGATGACGATTCTGTCACTGAAGATATAGTGTATCTAATTTCTACTCCAAGCAATGGTTATGTGACAACTGTTGATAATAAGCGAACACCAATTGAAAGGTTCACTCAGGTGCAGATCGATTCGGGAGATATCATGTATGTCCACGGAGGAGAAATGGCCGGCGGATTCAGATTTCAAGTGACCGACGGCACTAACTTTGATTCTCCACATGTCTTCACAGTAGCGGCCAAACAAATTATGATATCAGTTTTAGTTAATAAAAAACTTAATGTTTTACCTCAAATGCAACAATCACTAACTCGTGATCACCTATTGGTTGAAACAAATGATGGCAACAGTTCCCGACAATTTATTTACCATATGATTAAAGAACCAAAGTTTGGCCGCTTTTTATTAGAGAATTCTGACGGCTCTACAAAACAGGTGCTCTCTTTTAGTCAAAAACAAATCAATCAAAACTTCATACTTTATGAACAAAATAAACCAATTGATGATATGATAGTCGAGGATGAGATTATATTTGATGTCGAATCACATTTTGTTCAGTCATTGAAAAGTCTCAGATTTGTTGTTGAGATAACATCCAATACAACGAGTAGATCCGAACCTGAAGTGACCACTCAAGTGTCCATTTGGACCGATATCAGTCCTATTACTGTAATTGAGGGTCAATTTGTGATAATTACTGATAAAAATTTGAATACTAGCAAATTAGTTGAAAAAATAAAACATAAAGAGTCCATCATTAGAGTTACCGACAAATTATATGCGCGAATACAACGAAAGCCTTCTCATGGAGTGCTTCTCTATGAGGGACATGACATGACTTCAAGAATCAAAAGTTTGCCATTAAGTGCCTTAACTAAGAATACATTGATCTACAAACACGACAACAGCAATACATTCAATGATTCATTTGTTTTGGGGATTTATATCCGTAAAACTGTTGAAACTCTTATAGAAAATCATACAATTAATGTCAATATAATTCCAGGTATAGTATTAAAACAATTTATATATTTAATAAATATAAGAATTAATTACTGAGTTTACTCTTAACTAAAAACTAAATTTATATTTATAGTCAACGATGAACTGCCAATTCTGCTGACATCTAATCCACGTATTAATGTCATCTATGAATCAAAGTCATTGATAACAAATGCAATATTGAAGACTAGTGATGACGATGGACTGCCACAGAATATAATCTATGAACTAACTCGTGAGTCGTTTGTGTCAAACAATTTCGGTTATTTTATGGTCGAACCAAACGAAGAACCAGTTGGTTGGTTCACTCAAACCCAAATCGATTCAAACAAAGTGTATTTCAAACATAACGGAACTCTAAGACAACAGCAAATTAAGTTCAGAGTTAAAGACGAAAAGTCTGTTTGTAGAGATGTTAATGAATCGATTACAGACACCAATCACTGCACACCCATCCATACCATGACTATTGTTGTCCAACAATTAACATTAACCCTAACTAATCATTCAACTGTTCAATTACTTCAAGGATCCATCAAAACTAAAATAAAACCAAAACATTTAGGAACTATAAGTAATGATATCAAATCTGAAGATATTATCTATTATATAAAAGAGGGACCAATTGATGGCTATATTATAGTTAATGATAAAACTAATAATGAAAAATTTACACAAAAAGATATCAATTCATTGCATGTTTCGTATATACAAATAAATAAGACTTCAAGAGATTATTTTATTGTTGATATTATGAGAGACAATAGCAAACAAACTCATAAAACAATTAAAAACATCACAGTTTTAATATCAGTCAAACCTCTAGTCAAAGCTAATAAACCATATTTAATTGCCAGTCCTGGGATCAAGTCTTACATGACTAGTGAGCACTTGGATGCGAGGTATGTCCTAATAATAATCAAACTTTTATATAATTATATAATATAATCTTACAATTATTAGTGATTTGGCTTCAATTACCAATTCAATGCCCAAATTTTCAGTCACTTCATATCCAAAGTTTGGAGTTTTGACAAAATTTTCAAATGAATTAAGACCTAAACGAAAGACTAATACAAACAATTTGTTAATTGACTTTACAAATGAAGATATAGTAAAGGGTAAGATTGCATACATAGCTGACAACGATCTCGATTTGAATTATCCAAATGAGATAATCACTGATGTTATTCATTATGATCTGAGAGCTGATAGCGTACAGACAGCTTCAGGTGTAGTTGTGGTCAATATTGTTAAAAACAATTTGTTTGACAAAACCAATGATTTGAATGTAAACCGAAAATTTAATGTTTCACATAATATCGATATTGGGATATTTGAAAGAGAGGATGGCGTCAACTATTTAAACATAATCATCAATAGAGACCATTTGCTTGTTGTCATTGTGTTTATTGTTATCGTAATACTGACCATAACTTTAATTGTAATCATCAAAGCATGTAATTCGGGGGCCAATCATCTGAATCAACATAAAAACAACACTAAATCCGTGCCATTAAATACTGCAATAAATCCAAACACATCTATTTTGGACACTCCACCGGCCAGTGATTACGGCGGAGAAATGCTAATACTCTCTAATAGACTTTCGCCAAGAAGCACACCATCTGTCTCTGAAACAGACACTGGAATCATACCTATAGTACCGCCGACATCGCCATCACTTAGCACCACTTGTAGCATACCTGAGGGACGCACAGCTACTCCCCGGTCATTATTACGCCTACCAATGGCAGATCGATTACGCGGTTATGGTCTCGCAGCTCAGGATTCACTACCAGAGGAAACCATATCATCAGTACTACCTCTACCTCCGCCATCACTTTATTTCTCTAGTGATTCAAATATGGGTTCTCCTGATAATTGGGGTAACAATTCAATACCTATGAGTAAAATGCCTCCAATAATGCCTCGTTATATAGATGATCAGTATTGCGGTTCTTATCATCACTTGTTGTACCCCAAAGAATCACTAAATCATAATTCATTAGATTTATCGCCACCTCATGTCATTGGAAATGGCATTTTATCCTTAGATTCACCGGATATTTCATTACCTAAAACAGCTATTAATTCAGATGATCTCTATTTATCGTTCAACTCATCCAATGATTGTCTACAGAGTCCGCAGTATTTCAAAAGTTTATTAACTTATAATGACTGTAAATCTCCAAATTCTGATGTCTATATCAATGATAATTTCAGTTCGGATTGTGTCTCAATTCAACATAATTTGGGTCAAACTGTGGCCAAACAGAAACATCAACATTGGGTCTGAGTTTGAATAATTTGATTTTCAAGAAAATGTTATAAATTATTATTAAATATACCAAAGATTTAAATTTTATAAATTACTAATTGAAAACTCTCTATTATATCATTTATTAAATTATTACTAAAAGTTTTGATAATAGAGAGAACAGTATGTTTTTTGATAATTTTTTATATAATTATTGATATATATACTGTATATTATATGTACAATAAGTTTTATATAATTATTTATACTTTATTTAAATTATTGTATTTATAGATTTTAGATTTTAAAAGTTTATTATATTTTAAACTATTTTGAGTGCTTTCAATACACTGATTAAAAATGTTATTAAATTTTGCTAAAAATCAAACCTACGATACGGTACTTAAATTACCGGTAAATATTTTAATCACTGAATGGCTTTAACTTAATTTTTCGCTTCAAAATCACAGATAATTCCGACGTTAATATACTTAACAATGAAATGCCGTCTTTCTTGTAGATCCAATCATTATTGATCCAATCGTAACGTTTGGGTCCACTAATTATGAATATAATACAGTATTTGTCAGTATTTAATAGATAATACAAAACATATTTAAAACAGACCTAAAAGGTGATGAAAACCATATTTGCTTATTAGGTGTCTGTTTGTTAATGACATACACGCCATGAGAGCCGAGATTCACAGTAAGGACACCATTCTGTAGACACAAATATATTCAGTCTTTACTTAATTGATAGAAATATAATGGGAATCAAACCATACTTACGTTGAGTGATATATCGTAATCATTGACGACATCGTTGGTCTCAAGTAATAATTCTAATTCTTCAGTTAAGTGATCCAATGTCTGGTCGGCAATGCGTTCATACATCAAGTTATCTAATGGTTGTGTCGATGAACTCATACGTCTGACATATGATGTCTTTGATGATAATGACGACAACATGACATCAAATGTATGTTTTGTGAAAACCACTTCATTATAACCGATAGCATTACCTTTTGAACACAATCTATAAACTGATGGATGTGTTACATGTTTAAGACATTTCATAATATGATGTGATGTCCTCAACATATCATATGATTATCACTGAAATGATGGTAAATATCAGTCATATGTTTGACGAAAGTTTAGCTAATATTTCAAATGTTTTCAAACATTTAAATACAAATATAGTGTTAAAACAATTCTTGTTTGAAATTAATAACGTGTTATAAAATGCATTAAAAATGTTTGAATGCATTGAATGAATGCAAACATTATTTATGTCAATAAAACGTGATTCAAATGCTTTGACGGCGTGTTTAAAGTCAAGTCTTAAACCATTGCTTTGAAAACCATTTAATTTGATATCATTTGCCATTGAAATCACTCCTCAGTGAAGCATATCTGCGGAGAGGATTAACTATGGTTTGTATGGATGTGATGACAATCTATTGAATGTTTTATAAATAATTATATTTGTCTATATATAGGGCGACACTACCACTGAAGTCAATCCAAAGGCCTATCCGTTGGCAGACAACGCGTTGACCACAAAGATCTTTAATGTCTTACAACAGGCAAACAATTACAAGCAGTTGAAGAAAGGCGCCAATGAAGGTATGTCTTAATTGTTTTAATTATTGATATTTTGATTTAAATACAATTGTTTACAAACAGCCACTAAGACTTTGAACCGAAATCTATCGGAACTCATTATAATGGCTGCGGACGCGGAACCGATTGAAATATTACTTCATTTGCCGCTTCTTTGCGAGGACAAGAATGTTCCGTATGTTTTTGTAATGTCAAAGCACGCATTGGGTCGCGCGTGTGGAGTGGCCCGTCAGGTGATCGCGTGCTCCATCACTACCAATGAGGGATCACAACTGAAGCCACAGATTGAAACACTTCAGCGGGAAATTGAGAAGCTTTTGATTTAAATCATTTCATCAAATCTTCATTGATTGTTATCAACCGATGATTTTTAATTAAATTATTAATAAATCGATCATTTATTAAGACAACGATTCAGCAAAAATTATTTTTAATAAAATTTATTTAATTTGACGAATAAATGTTTGAATTTTATTTAAAAACTTAACTAATAAATGACTATTTTCTCGTATCATTACATTATTAAAATGTTTAATATATATATAATATTATCATATTTAGTAAATTTAATAAATATTGATTTATATAATACGTTATATAATATAATAGTATTGATCATTATTTGAATTTTTTGAAAAATAAATTGTTTTAATAATTATGTAAAAAATGAAATTTAAAACAAATTAATATTTAGCTGTAATTGTAATAATAATAATAAATTGAAATGAATTGAAATAATCAGTTGTAAGACATGAACGCCACCTCTCAGTCATACATAAGACCTGTGAATGTGTTTGACTTCCTCTTCCTTTTGAAGCATTAGTTCAAACATTAATGCAATTTGTTTTACAAAAAGGTTTGTTTTATTAAATTAATTATTAATTTACTATTAATTTATAACTATTTATAAATGAGTTGTTTTGCAATCAATTAATTTGACATCAAATTTGATAATCAATTGTAATATATTTCTGACTGAAGAATGGCGAAGAAAACAAGCGGAGAGAAGAAGGCGAAACAGTCGGCCATTAATGAAGTGATAACACGTGAATACACTATTCATTTGCATAAGAGATTACATGGCGTGGGATTTAAGAGGAAAGCTCCCCGTGCTATCAAAGAGGTGCGCAAATTTGCCGTAAAACAAATGGGAACCTCTGATGTCCGCATAGACACCCGACTCAACAAGTATTTGTGGTCTAAAGGTGTCCGAAATGTTCCGTTCAGAGTCCGCGTACGACTGGCCAGACGTCGTAATGAAGATGAAGACAGTGCTAACAAACTGTACACTTTAGTTACACACGTAGCGGTTCCCACATTCAAGGGATTGCAGACGGAAAATGTTGACGAAGCAGAGTAAATGGCTTTCATCTTACCATTGATTTGTATATCTCTGATGTATTCAATAAAGATGTGAATTGTTTAAAATTAATGTATTTGTCATTTAATTGATTGCAAACTCACTCTTTAATAGCTGAATCACTTTATTATTATCACTTAAGATTAATAATGATTTGCTATTATGGAAACAATTGATAGATAATTAAATTAGTTTTTAAAATACTGTAAGCTTATGAACTGTTTTTGTAAAATAGGGTTTTCATTGTTTTTGCCATTTTTGCGGCGAAAATCGTTTCACAGTCAACCAAAGTTTGTGAAACATTTGAATAATATGAGAGTCAATATTCTTCCGGCTCTCGGAGATAATTATATGTATCTCTTGATCGATGAGAAGACAAGAGAAGCTGCTATTGTAGATCCCGTCGAACCAAACAAAGTGTTGACAGCAGTGAAGGCAGAGAATGTGAATTTGACAACAGTTTTAACGACTCACCATCACTGGGATCACGCGGGAGGTAATGAAGAACTCGTTAAACTGGTGCCAAACTTGACTGTTGTTGGCGGAGATGAAAGAGTTGGAGCACTCAATAAAAAAGTATCGACAGGAGATCAGCTAACCATTGGACAAATGAATGTCGAGTGTCTATTTACTCCGTGTCATACAAAGGGTCATATCTGTTATTATGTCACTTCTAAAGATAATCCAAATGATGATCCACTAGTTTTCACAGGTTTTTATACAAAAACTTATTTAAAAATTGTTGAGTTATGAGTAATGAGTTATCGGTAATTGTTTAAAAGGTGACACTTTATTCGTGAGCGGTTGCGGTAAGTTTTTTGAGGGCACACCACAGCAAATGCATAGAGCACTCATCGATGTATTGGCAAATTTACCACTAAATACGGTATCAATTTGTTTGATAATTAATTAACGAAAAAATGAATGAATGATATTGATTGAAATGTTCGGTACGTCTAGAGAGTGTATTGCGGTCACGAATATACGGTCACTAACTTGAAGTTTGCAAATAGTGTTGAACCAAACAATGAGGATATTATCAATAAATTGAAATGGGCTCAGGTTTGCAATAATTTATTAATTTAAACATAAAAATATATAATAAATTAAAATGATTACATTGAAGGAAATGCGCTCAAGAAATGAACCAACAGTTCCGTCAACCATTGCCGATGAAAACAAGACTAATCCATTCATGAGAGTCAATGTCCAAAGTGTTCAAAAACACGTCAACAAAGGCAATGATGTCATCGCAACAATGGAAGAGTTAAGACATCTGAAGAATAATTTCAGAGCCGACTAAAAGTCTGTCAATCTATTGACTCGGAAGCCGACTCTTTGCTAGAATTGGCCGCAAATAACTTCATTTCGTTCTCATAACGAATCTTATCGTTATTAAAGAGATTGTAATAAATCTATATTTTAATTGTTAAGTAAATAATTATTTTTTCTAATTACCGATAATTCCAAATATTATTATAAAAAATACAAACTTGTTTAGCATTAACTGATAATTCATGCCATTGTTGTGCCAATGCTTTTGTCAACTCTTGGTGTGTCATTTCAGTCTATTTAAAGTAGAAATTATAATTAACTTATATTATAAACAAAATTGTTACAAACTATTACTATAAACATTACTATTACGGTATATACACTTTTAGATAAAATTATGTCTGATATGAAAACTAATAAAAAAAAACTTGTTTCAAAAGATTATTATTGAATAAATTATGAAATTTTTATCGTTTAACTGTAATGTATATAACGATTATATTGATTGCTTACAAATAAACATTAGTGTTAACTAATAAAGTGACTCTTGATGTCAATCTTAATAATAATATTATTACATATAAATAATTACATTATATTTCATAAAGTATTTCTCCTGTAATTGACTTCTGTTTTCCTGACAGAACAGTAGGTATGGATTAATAGGTTTTTTGGGAGCGACACAAACGGTTCCGTTGGATGTGATCTCATTGCGCGCACTGTTAGGTCGAGACTTTTTAGCACGAGATGACTGATTACTATTGGCTGATCTAACCATCAATTGTTTACTTTTCAGATCACTTGTTGTTAACTGTTGTGTTGAAGATTCTTCCTTCTGTTATAATTAGTTAATCAAAAGATTAGACACGAGATCAATGGGCAACGAGAAGAAGTCAACCTCAAGAAAAAGTGGTAAATTGTTGTTCAAATAATCGTCTTTATGTTTGATTAAGCGTTTGATAATTAATCTATAAATTAATGATATGATAAATAAATGACGAAATGATTGTTTAATAAGTTTGAAGTAATACTTCTTATGTTTGCTATATTTATGAGACAATCTCTTCATTTTGATGATATTGCTGACCAGTCTTTCGTTGTCTAACTTGATTTGTTCACATCTTTTGACCAATCGATGACATCTTCGTTCATAATGACATTGTTGTGGCCATTCAGACATGTGGTCATCACTTGAGTGTCCATCGAGTGAGTCAGTCATGTGTTGCTTCTGAAGACTTAAAAACTCTTGAAATTTCAATTGAAAAGACATTTCCAATACATTTGAATGCAATTCAATGGCAAATGTGATAAACAGTATTAGAAATCAGTTAATATATAGTCTATTAATATAGTATTATTAATATGTTATATATTATTAATGTAGTATTAATAATGTATTTATATTTATGTTTATTATTATATACTGTATTAGAAAATATCAATAAATGTATTATTAATACAAAATCAGTGATTGTTGTGTCTGTTAGAGGTGTAAGCCGTGAGAGTGGTTGTGTAGAGATGTTGAGACATAATATAGTAATCTATTATTAATAGGCATTGAATTGCAGTGAATGTTGTGTTGAATAATACAAAGCAATCATTGAATCGTTTTATTTGATTATTCATTGCTTTTATAAATCAAATCGTCTTTATTTTGTATTCACTGTTTCTAATCAATTGATCCAATTTGGGTGACAATAATGTCTCAATACTATCAACAATTTGTTTTCAATTTAGATAAATGGCTGAACCAATCGCCACGAATCAAGGATATCGGAGACAAGATTGAGAAGACAACGGGAGTTAAACGCGTTTATGTGGCACAGGGTTTGTCATCATTAGACATGACATACCAGTCCTTTGATTTATATTATAACTAATATTATAATTATAGGTATCATTGGTTTGACCGCTCTTTATATGATATTTGGTTATTTCGCCGAACTATTGTGTAATGCCGTTGGCTTTGTATACCCGGCCTATGCTTCGTATGTATTAATTAATGTCCTCTTTTTGTTTGAATTGTATTAACTCTTAATTGGTTTGAATGTTAAGTATTAAAGCACTGGAGAGTCCAAACAAAGAAGATGACACCAAATGGTTGACCTATTGGGTCGTCTTCGCGCTCTTCTCTGTCGTCGAGTTCTTCTCCGACGTTATCTTCAGTTGGTTTCCTCTCTATTGGTTGGTTAAGGTATGCCTTTCTCTGTGATTCATACAATAATATACAGGAATAGGATATATATTGCATTTATTTGTTGTATTTCCCCTTAATTTTTATTTATTTTTTCTAAATTTTTTTTTAATATATCCGTCAAATCAGTTGATATATATATAAATTTACTGTATAAGAAATTATACATTCAGTTAATTAGATTTTATAAAATAATTATTTTAGACATTTGTGCAAATCATTAGCAAATTAAGGATCGAAGTTCAAAGTTTCATATTATTATTAGTGGTATTATTGGGTATAAAACTACAAGCAATTTATTGAATATAAATTTAAACTAAATTCAAAAAGATATCAACAATAATTTCAAATTTTCCCGTTAATCAAATAATTTATAGTATATGAGTTGAGAAATATAGTAAATGATAAGAAAATTATTATATTATATTATACAATATGTTTAGTATATATGTAATACATTTACAGTATATACCTTATAACCGTACATTAATTTATTGACTGTCAAATATAAAGTAATTAATTTAACAAGCTTATCTATCGTATATACATATTGTACTACATATATAGTGTAAATTATATAATTTATATAATATTACATTTCACTGATTTATAGCAATTGTAGTTAAACATTGAAATCTATGAAAAATAATATAAAGGTATAATGCTTTTGATCTAAAGACAACTTAATAGTGACTGTCAATTATTGCCATTAATTAACATCGTGTACATTATATGCACAGTTTATTATAAATTATTGGTTTATTAATATTTGTATATAAATTATATTATATAAATAATTTTAATAGTGTAGACTGACAATTTTTTTTTAAGTTATATACAATATTTTATTTATAATTTTAATTATTGAATTATCTGAATTAATTAAACATTTTTTTATTTTATTAATAAATAAATTAATACATAACTACAGACTCTATACTATAGAGTCTATAGTATATACATTATATTAGATGCTTTACATAATGTTGTTAAATAATTTTATTATGCTTATCATTTTATTTATCGCATTATTTTTCTAATAACATGTGATATCACTATATTTAAGTTCAAAATTGTCATTTGTATAAAAATAGTACTATTAATTATACAATATAATTTATAGTATTGTTTTATTAATTAATAATATACTAAATATGATGAATAAATGGCAATTTTAATATACTCAATAATTTATTCAACTTTTTAGTAAATAAACAAAAAACAATATTTGCATAAGAAATAAGACAATAATTAATCAATAAATCTATTGGTAATATATTAGAAAAACTAGGTATTAAACTAAAATATTGTAGATTTTGAATATTTATTTTAATAGTTATTTTTCTACAATTATTTTGTTTTGAAATTATAAATCTATAGATTATACGGTATTAGTTTAAGACACAAACTTTATTAATAGAAAATAGCATTAATTACCCATTTTTATTGAAATTATAAATATAAAATTAAATACTAATTGTTATACCTATATATGTAAATTAAGTCAATTTCAAGGTTAAAAATAAGTAATGATAATTTATAGTAATGTAGTAAACAGCAAGGTCAGTGGCTCAATAACAATTTTTATTTATCTGTATATTCATTGCATGTTTTTATAAAAATTAATACAAATATTTCATTAAACTTTTGTTGCCATCAATATTGGTGTCTAAACAGGTGACAAACCTGATGGTGCTGTTGACCGGCTATTAGCCCTTTAATGAGTTCTGACCCGCAACTGGGGTTATACCCAAGTTATGTATGGGTCCAGTGCTCTCAACAGTGTTAAACACCGATAACGAGTATAAACCATAAAAAATAAGTGACTGATAGGTCTTAGATTTGTGCATAAAAAACATATGATATATGAGATGAATGTTGATTTGTTGTGGTGTTTAAATTCTTGCAAATTGTTGTAGTTATTGATCCGTATTTGATTTGTTTGCTTTTAATGTGTTTTAACGCAAAATTGTTTTTTATCGTATAATTATAGGTTGTATTCCTTGTTTGGTGTTTTCTTCCGTTTCAAAATAATGGTTCCACTTATGTCTACACTCGGATCATACGTCCATTTTTCTTGAAGAATCGTCCGACTTTGGACAGTGCTCTGTCATCTGCAGCCGGAAAGGCTAAAGGATTGGCTAATGAAGTCTATGATGGTATTGATTCATATTTTTTAAAAACAAAAATTAAATATTATAATAATTATTTTTTATTTAATAGCTGTCAAACACGATTGAAAGTTTTCATAGAAAATATAATCTCAAATGAATATATTAAAAATTTAAGATTGTATTTTATATTATCGTATATTTACTGTATGTATAATCGGTATTACTTTATATGTATATGATATATTCTAATCATTTAAATTGGTTTATTTCATAGAAACTAACTTTATTATTATTATTATTACCATTACCAATAATCATTATATATATATATATATACATACAGTATTTTTATTAGTTATTATTTAGATTAGTGCACAAAATTTTTAATTACCGTACAGTAACACATTATTTGTGCCAAAATTTTATTGAATTTATAAAAATGATCTTATATTCAGCTAAAAAATAGTTTTGCCACAAGTTTTTTCATTAATATTTACGGATTGCCTTTAAAATTGTGGTTTTTAATGGTGTGAATTTTGAAAATTATTTTTAAATGTTAAGTTAGATTAATTGAAATTAAAGTACAATATAGAGCCGTCTCAGTCAATATTTGTCGTTTCAAATGAGTACTCGTTATTTAATTTTTTATTTCAGTAAATTTAAAACTTCTATACAGCAGATTGTTTAGTGACTAAATTTTGTGATTACTTGCAATAAAAAGGTTAATCACTTATTTGACAAATTAAAGAAAGTTTTGATTTCTAATAATTTTTAAATTTTAATGTAGTTTCCAATGAATGTATGTTTTCTATGATATATATATACTTATTTGATAGTTGTTTCAAATTTACTTTTCTTTAAATAGAAATGCTTTGTTTTATTACACAAGTTTTAAAATATTTGCTCTGTTTTTAGAGTAATTTTAATTATTATAAATACCAATTGTTTTCTATAAAATTAGATTTTAATTATTATATAAAATAATGTATTATTAGTAATTGTGCCTATGATTTCAATAAAATAGTTTATGATTTTTGGTATTTTTGTTTGTTTGTTTGTTGTAAACATTATATATATATATTTGTTTAATAAAGTGCACGATTAATGATAATAAATAATTTTATTTGTTTGTTGTATTTCTTGGCCTTCTATTACATAATATATTAATGTTTTTTTTGAATATTTATTTGTTATCAAACGAGCAATGAATTCAATGTTATAATAGTATGTAATGATTGGTAAATCATATAATTTATATGATATATATTGTCAAGCATTTACTGATTAGATTTCTTACATTTAAACCGTAAATAGTTCTTTATTTTTCAAAAAAAGTTGATTTAAGTTATAAATGGTATATAAATGGAAACTTTTTTATTTATTAACTATTTATTTAAAAAAAAGTATTAAAAAACAAAATATTTGGATTATATATTTTTTGCTATAATAGATGCCAATTAAGCTAATTATTTGAATATAATATAATATATTGTTATTGTTAAAACATACGGTAAAATATATATATATATATATAATGCGAATGAACGATAATTTGTTGAATTAATTGTTTCAATGATGTGAATAATAAGCATTTTTTAGAAACTGATTATTTGGTACAATATTTTGACTTCAGATACAACTCTATACGAGACGTCATATGCAGGGCTGGCATATAGTTGAATGCGTACTCATTGTGGCCTATATTTCAAATATATTTCAAATATATATTTTAAATATACATTCAATGGGCAAACACTTCCTTTCTATAGCCTGTTTTTGGCCCCCTTTTCACTGATTTTCAAGAAACTGTTTTTCATATAATTATAATTCCGTGTGCTTTCAGTGCACACCAAATACCGGTATATTTGCTATTAATTCAACAATTTTGAAGTCAAACTTATTTGCTCTTTACTGACCACTAACACCAATATTAACACCAATATTCATACTAATCTATGCTATCAATACAATAAATATAGTTTAACATACACTACATATTGATTGTATTAATTTCATACATAAATACATACATGGATTATATTAATACTTTTTTTTTGTTTAAACTCATTCATTAAATTAATCGTTAATTACCTAACCGTGTAAATTAATTTTCAAGTAATTTTAACACAATTTCTAACTAATTATTTACTTTTTTATGAAAATTGAAAGTTAAATCTAATATGACAAGTCATATATTATATACATTTATTGTAAATAACGCTCAAATGTATATACAATATCATATATCTGTCAATTTAATTTACTAATTATTTGTTTGCGAAACTTTTACTTTATGCAGATTATTGAAATTATTGTAATTAAAATGATAAACAAATAAAACATATTGTAAAAAATTATTACTTTTGTTTTTTATTAATAATAATAATAATAGTAAGATATTTCAATATTACTGTATTAATGTTATTAGTTTTTGATTAATTAATAGTTAATAGAAATAAAAACTTGTTTTCTATGTTTAAAAGTTAATAAACCAATAGTAATAAACCTATAATATTAATACTGTATATTATACTGTATATCATATAATACAGTATCGTATTGTACTCTATAATGTTAATAAAATGAACTAGCTCATATACAGTATTATAACTTTTATATCTAATTAGTTAAATATAGTTAATAGTTATAATTGTTTGTATGTTTTTTAATATGTGATAGCAGTGATGGCATTGTTTTACGTATGAAAATGATTATTAAATAATTTAATCAATTGATAACAATTAAGACTTAACTAATGTTTCAAATAAATGACAAGTGATTAGTGAAACTTATGACTGGTGTTGACTGTATGTATGTCTATACTGTATAATGTATTAGTAGAGGTGTTGACGGTTGCACGTATGTACAGGTATTATGAATGCATTGGTTTGTGTGACACAAGTTGTGTTTGAGTTTCTATTGAATAGTACAGTGTGTGTGTAGTAGTGGTGCTTACAGTGTGTTGTTGTTGTCTATTGCTGTGAATTGTGGCCAACATTACAGTGCAATCATTGCATTCACAATACAGTAGTGTTTACTTCAAACTCTGAGCTAACCTTCGACTCCGATATACGACTCAATACATCGATTGTCTCATTGATGACCACAAGACACACAAACACACACATCAAGTGACCAACTGATGAACTGATCCGCAACACTACTACTACAACACAACTCAAGTCAATACATAAAGTCATATATCGACGCACTTGTAGTGAAGCACTGGTTTATATCAGTTGTGTTGAGAGCGATGGCGACTCTCATTGAGGGACAACAATATGCTCTGACATCACATCTGAATCACTCTGTGAACAAGTCTTTGATTTTTGTTAAACTGACTGATTCTGCATTCAATGCTATCGAGGAATATCTCAACAATAAGGTATAGACATAAAGATTTGCATATTTAAGACATTACACTATCATATCATATATGATATGCCATTAAGTAAACAGTTGTTTATTTGCAAACTATATATAATTTGTTTGTGTTTTCTACCGATTATTACATTATTTGTTACTCATATGAATCAATTGTTATACAACTCTATTGACCGTATGTTTGATCCATTGGTTTACTTTTAAAATACAATAAACTATTAATAGTGTCATTTGTCGCTCAAATACAAGACATTGATTTAGTGGGTCAACCGATAGCTAAACGTTTATTTAGTGTTATATTATTTAATAGTTTTATAGTATAATTGTTTTTTGAATAGCTTTTGATTTCATAATAACTCAGAAATATGTTTTAATACGAAAATATAGATAATTTTATATAAAATTTAAAATGTCTTCAAATGAACTATTGATTTGAATTATAATTCTTATCACTATTTAATACATTTATAAGTTTTTATTAGTTATTTTTCTTATAACGACTTATTATCACTAAAATTATTTATCACTAAAACTTCAAAATACGTGTAAAGAGCCATCAAATTAGTTACTATTAATTATGAATACTTTATAAAATCTATGTAAAAAGTTCAATACTTTATGTACTTTAAATACAGTATCTATTTTTTATTGGAAACAAATTGTACTTAAGCTTAAATGATTCAAACATAAGTTATATTTTTTATAATTATAAAACTCAGTTCTCGATTTATCATAATATTAGTATAAGTTATAAATGTTTGTTATTTTACAATTATATTATTATTAAGATATAAGTGTTACACAAAAATTGAAACTAATTTTTTTTAAAGCAATACAAACCCTAATAGTGAGTAATATGTTAAGAATTTAAGCACATTTTAATAGGCATAACATTTAAATATTATACAATAAGTGAGTGTTTTTTTGACTATATTTAGATCACTGAGAGAAATGAGTGACAATTGATTCACAAGAAACTGATTCACAGACAAACAGACAGACATCGACTTATATGATATGTCGAGAACATAGAGTTTGTGCAATACTTTTAGTATCTAAACAAATAAATGACAACATATTTAAATGTTTAGTTATTATTATATTTATTACGATATGATAGTCGAAGACATTTTGAAAAAATATTTAAATATTTGAAAAACTTGTCAAAATAATTTTGAGCACACATTGTGTCGTTTTTTTTGTTACATTAAACTATACTTTAAGGGCAACAATAAGACTATTGGTATTCATAATAACGTTATAAATTCAAATTATCAATTAATCTCATATATCATATCTATTTTGTGTTTGATTTGTGTCGACATTTATTTTGATTTTTTAAAATTATTTTTTGAACAATAAAAGTAATTTTAAAATTTATTAGTAACAAATTAATGCTAAAATATATTGAATATATATTTTTAGTTATAATAAATAAAAAAGTAACTTTTGGTTTCATTGTTGTTAATCTGCAATTTTATGAAATAATTTTCTCATTTGCATTGATCTAAAAACTTAGAAAATACTATTTAAAAATAGTTTTTAAAATATTTTTTTCATATAAAATGTTTTGATTAACGAATAAAAATATTTTAAAGAGGAAAAGTGAATAAATAAATTTATATGATTTTATCGATAAACTAAAAGCTGGTATTCTCTGGAAACCAGTTTCTAAAGTTTTTCTTTCAAAACTTATTTATATTTTTGCTATTTATATAATTATGATTTAAATTTAAAATGACCTAATTTTATACAAATAGGGAAGCGTTAGCCCAAACTCGAAGCCATTGATTGAATTTCGTGCTAATGATTCTCATGGGGTAATTATATACAGTTAATTGCATTTACATTATTATATTGTATATAACTTATAAAATTAAGTCGATTTTGTTATACTTTTATATAAATAGACTTAAAATAAACGTTAGATTATTAATAATAGATGAATAAAATGTATTTTAGGTGATCAGTATTCCCAGCAAAAGGAGTACATTAGATGAAGATAGTGTGCGATTCAATTTCACGTTATCTAATGTCGATGCAGTTGAACCTCAGGGCAGCTTTGAATGTATTAGACAATCAAAGAACAGATCCATTGAATCGTTTGGTGATATTGACTATAAGATGCAAATACAGGCCAACGATGACAGTTATCAAAAGACTAAAGTCAAGATGGCTGTCGTCGAAAGGGAAAGTAAGAAGTATAGCACCAAAGTTATCAAAGCTAGTGATCCCAATGTGGGCCGAAAGGTCAAAGTAAAGAGACATTTGACAACTTCAAGACCCATACCTCATACACAACCTATCAAAGCACACGAATCATTAGCACAACAGTGCAGCTCACCTCCTAAAAGTCCAATCAAAAGAAGTATTGACAATAGTTCCAATAATAATAATAATACATCATTAGTGGCCAAAAAACAAAAATCTTTATTTAATACAAATCACTCGACAACAAGACTTAAAACGAGTGGATACAACCATTTACTTAATGGTTGGATTAATAAGCCTTCCAGTCCTGACAGAGAGTCTAATACAAGTGCTTATGTGAACTCCAATGTGAACTCAAATGTGAATTCTTCATCAGATATATTGCTTACAAATACGAGTCATTCATCTCCAGAATCTAATAATGCAATTTGTTTTTCACAACAAGATTATCACAGATCAAATCCTAGCAACCATTTTATTAACAGTGATAATAGTTTTACTAAAAATCATACAAGAGATAGTATAAGTAGGTATAAGACCAATGGGTACCACAATGGCAATGGATCCGGTTCTATAAATTCCTCTCCAAACTCAAGTCCCGATAGCGGAACTGGAAGTCATGACGGAAGCACTCTGAGCTCAACTAACTCATACACTATTTGTTCCAATGATGACTCTCCCGATTATTTAACGTATATAAACACAATTTATAATTACGGTATTTGTTTAAAATTAAATTAATTGCTTTTATTTGATAACCGTAAATGTATAGTAAATATACAAAAATACTAACTCCGGATCAAAAGATACAATACAAGAATGATTTCTATCGTGAATATGAAGAATATCGACGTCTCCATCAATACATAGAAGGTGTGGCCTCAAAGTTTTCGGAACTGGAAATACGTCTCAACACTAAAGTCGAAGGATCTGATGACTGGAATGTATGCCTTATTATTGTGATTGAATTTGTTGTCAATGATTATCAATAACTGATATCTGATTTATATAGAAATTGATGGATCAGATAGTGAAGGAATATGAGGAAACAAAGAGTTGTCCAAAATTCCAGAAGTGTCGCAAACGGATGTTCTATCTTCACGACAAATTAGCTCATATCAAGTCACTTGTCATTGATTACGACCGTAACTCACATTTCAACAAAAATCAATTGTCTCACAAATTACAAGTCAAGTCAAATCCTATTTCCTCCTAACTCACAATACAAGTTGTCTATCAAATTAAGTCAATTTTGCTATTGTTTTTTTAAAGCAAATTATTATTATTTTCTAAATTATTTATATATGTAAATAGGAATTCATATGAATATTTGCTATTATTTATTGTTTTTTTAATTAAATTAATTTTGTTATAAATTATATCGAAATCTAAGTTAATGTTCATTAAAATTGAAGCAAATATTTATTTAGAATTCTTGTTTATCCATAACATTCAATTTAAACAGATATAACTTATGACAAGCGATACTTTAATTTTTAAATATTTAACGAATCGCTAGTCACACGTCAGTGTTTTCTTAAATATACTTTTAAATAAATATACAAATTTCCCAAACAATTATATGATTAGTTTAACTATTAGAAGTACCGGTAATTATAAGTTAAACCAATAAATATCTTGTCTTATGGTATATCTGTTTATTGAATATTATTCTGACTTATATAAGAATACTTTTATTTTCTTTGAAATCTAAACATAAATGTAATTTTTTATATACATTTACCTAACATTTTTGAACATCAATTTAATGATTTACGGGAATTAATTTATATGAAAGTTTAGATTGTCGTTCTTCCAAATAGTTAGTTAAATATATATATATTTATTGGTAAATTGCTAGTCAATCAGCCATAATTCAAAATTTATAGAAAATACTTTTTCAACACATTATATAATGATTATATATTTTTTATACTATCGTATATTTTTCACACAAAATTTTCGCCAAATGCTTTTTTCTGGTTACGCCAATTTTAAAATTAAAAGTTGATAAAGATTTTATAAAATTATTCAAAAAATATATTTATTTTGCTATTAAGTTAATTTAAATTTGTATTTTTACAACAAAAATTTATTACATTTATGTCAAATAATTTTTTTGAATAACAAAAGTTAAATAATTGGTCAGAATATTGTTGTATAATTAGATATATATACCTTAAATAGTGTATAATCACATAATAGTTGTGTTAATTTGCTGACAAAATGACAAATTGCTGATCAAGTGATTAATTATCTTTTATAACCTAAGGATTGTCTTTAAAGATAACGAACCCCTGCTTTGGCTTCGGACTTATGGTTTTATTTTGTTTTTTTTATTTTTAAACAATATTTTATGCATTCAACTCATCCAAAATCATTTGACAGTAAATTTAATTATAATTGGGTTTCTATTACTATTATCTATTTTTTATATATATTGTATATTTCTTTATAAATTACTCGATGAATTGATATTTAATTTTAAAAAAGTGCAAAAATATGTGATTTATTGACTTTTAAACAGTTAAATAGTAACACATTTATTTATGAGATATATTAACAAAAAATTATAAAAGTTTTAATACAAAAATAGTATTATTTAACAATACATATATACTTTAACCAATATGCAGAGCAGTTGAAACAATATTTGATTTATTTTATTGTTTAAAGAGTTATGATTAAATCGATGAATTTTTAATTAAAAATTATATTGATTAACAAATTAAAAACCATTAGTTTATACCGTATATGAGTAAAACTAATGCAATAAAGAAAGTTGTTTAACAATATGTTTGTTCAATTACTCTGCATTATGACTATATCTGTCTATTTGATGTTAAATTATTTAATTATAAAGAGTAATACTATAGTATGATATAATATAATATATTTAAACACAATAGTGAACAATATACATATATATAATTTTTATTTATAAAGTGATAAATTTTGAAAATTATTTTGTTTTCATGTAGTTATAATTTTTAGAAATGAATGACATTTATATTATTTAACAAGTATTTGCAAAAATTAAGATTTTATTTGATTTATTATAAATTGTGATACATTTTTAATTACATAAAGTATATTATTTTTGATACTTAAGTTATTCACCAGAATTATATCTAAATTTACAGTATAATGAATTGTGTTACTAAATAGTTTAAATTTCAATTAATTTTTTAGACTTATGTTCAAATTATACATATATAAGAATTAACTAATACTGATAATTATGTGATTTTAAAAATTAATTCTTCGAATATTTTATATTTTTGCTATCTATTTATTTTTTTTATTTTATAAGCGAGTGTATAATTTTTAAAAATTTTTCAAAAAATGCTCATTTGATTATTATTTCATTTAACTTAATCCTTATAATTATTTACTGTCAAATACAAAAAAAATATATATATATATACGCCTACAAAAGTGCCATTATTTTGCTTATATCCTAAAGAAAATTAAAAAAAACTATTTCTCATAAGAAATCACTGAAAAAATCATAATTAAAATGATATGGAGTTTGGGCTGCATTTGTAACAACCATTCCATTGAATTGATTGATATAATAGACAAATCATATAATAAATACATAATGTTTTGTCATAATTATATATATCATATAAAGATTATGTTTAGTTATTACTCTGAAATTTTGTTTAATTTAATAATTATTATCAATTATTTCATTATTACAAAGTATTTGTTTGTAATATATTTGAGATCTTAAATTAATTTGCAGCCATTAATAAAATAGGTTTATATTGTTGTAATTTTTTTTATTGATATTATTAAATATTATTATTATTATTATTATTATTATATTATTATTATTATTGAATATACAAAAAAATGCATTGAATTATGCAAATAAAAAAATATTGTTGCATTTAAATTTATTTGTATTTATTTAATAATAAGACATGAATTAAAATAATATAATTTAATAGAAAATATTTATTAACAAATGGTAAGTTTAATGTGTATATAAAATTAAATGAGAATTATTGGGAAACAATTGATACGATACGATATATTCATAATTATTTAGTAATTTCTTTGTCTTAAATTATTATGTATTAATCTATTGCCATCTCTAAACTGGATTAAGGGATCAAGGTCAGTTTAGATTTACTATTGTTTGTTTTTTTTATAAAATAATTTATTAACATACATCGCTATCATTACAATTAATCATTGATTTTAACTATAGTACAGTATTATACAGTATTAGTTAGTATTTGAATTGATATCAATAGTTGTACTGTATTTCCTTAACTCTACAATTTGTATACAACATATATTATAATAATTATTATAAGCTTTAAATATATGTTTTATATATCTATCAGAATCCTATACTAGACATTATTTGGTAATATATTGATTATAACCAGGGTTGGAAAATACAAGGTTTTGAATTTTAACTTTATATAACATAGTATAATACAATGTTTTAAAACTAATATAAATATTTATATTATGTTAAAAAATTAATTGAAAATATTAAGCAAAAATATAATTACTAGAAAATGCATTATTATTATAATAATAGTTATAGATAATAGCTAAGAATAATAATAAAATAATTTAAAATAAAAAATGAAATTCAATAAAAAATAATATTAAATCTATATATAGTTTATGGTTTACTTTGCTTATATCAATGCTTTTAGTATTATGTGCTAATTTGTTAGCAATTCAAATTGTCATGTATTTTACAGTATTATATTGTATAATACGCTTTGTTGTCTACAAACACTGATTATAACACATTTTGGATATAAAATTACTTTCAAATTACATGGAACTGGTTATTGATAATTAAAAAATGGATATAAATATACAAATCTTTAATTCATTAAAGTTTTTAATATATTGTATTTATTTATTAAATATTATTGATTATTAATAATTGTTAATAATACAGGTAAATAATAATGACTAAAATTATTTTTTATATAATATAAATTATATGACATTTACAGTACAGTAGTTATTAGATATAAAAGATATAAAAATGTCATTGATCATTTATTCTACTGTATTAAAAATATCACTGGAGGTCACTGAAGAACTGGAGTCATTTTTATATATTGGGGTCAAATTGGGGTCAAATTGGTTGAAAAGATGTCATTTGACCCTCGGATGATCAAATCAATGATGTGAAATCATTGTGAATCCACAACATATATATTAGTTTTATATATTAATTAATTTATGATAAATACCCCATTGAATACCAACTTTCTAAATTTTGTCCCTTATTTTTATCTAAATATTAATTAAAAAATATTAATTTTGTTTTAAACATATTCTTCATCTATTATTTATCTTCTATTCGAATTCAAAGAATTTTTTAAATTGAAAAAAACAGACACAAACAGACACACAAAACAAATTCAGATATGATATGATTAGAGTATTGTTATTCATTCATATCATATATTATTGTAATTTGTTTGAGTATTCGTCAAAATTATAGAATTAAACTTAAAAAGCAATAAATAAATAATTTTGTGATTTATGTTGAGATCTATCGTAACTTTACTCTACAGTACAATACAGTAATGTTTTACAGTATTAATCAAATGATAATATTATAGATAACGTTGTTTATGAGTGACCTCTCATAGAGCGCACAATTAAATGATTGAATGAAACAAAACAATTAAAAATTAATAGAAATGCCGAAAATTAACCATAAATTCCACGAAAGTTTGTATTTATTATTATTATTATTATTATTATTATTATTATTATTATTATTATTATTATTATTATTATTATTGTTGTTGTTTTTGTTGTTGTTGTTGTTGTTGTTGTTGTTGTTGTTGTTGTTGTTGTTGTTGTTGTTGTTGTTGTTGTTGKTTGTGGTGAATGTGTTGATGTGATAGATGTAGACAATAATTATTGTGATTTAATTGAATGTTTTGTATATTTTTGTATATTTTTGTATTTGTAATAATAGATGAAAAGGTGTTATGTTACCATGGTCCATTACTATATGAAGCTAAGGTAAGACATGGATCAACTCATGACAAGACATTGACTAACTCTTGAGTATACGTTATGATAGGTTCAGAAAAGTCAGGAAAAGGAGAACAAAGAGACCAAAGAAAAGACTGTTCACTATTTTGTCCATTACTTGGGTTGGAGTAAGAAGTATGTGTTGTTTGCATTGATTTATAATATATTCAATTGTCATAAACTTTATATCACTTGTAATGAACTGACAATTGGTTTTTTAAGTCATCAAAATTTACTAATTTTTAATATCTATAAATAGCTATCACTTAATAATCAATACTATTATCCGACTATTTGTTAATTAAAAGTCGATTAATATTTTCATATAACTTATAATTTGTTAACTTTACTATTCATTAAATTAATTTTGTTGTATAATATAATAATAGTTAATTAATTGATTACAAATAATTAATATAATGATTGACAGTTGGGATGAATGGGTTCCAGAGGACAGAGTTCTTAAAATAAATGATATTTCTCTACAAAAACAAAGAGAACTGACAGACGCACAGAAGTATATCTTTATTATAAAATAATTTATAACTAAAAAATAGTAAATTATTATAACTTATTGATCAGTAAAAGCAATAAGAATAAGAGCGTAAAGAAGAAACCCATTGATCCAAAAGATAAAGAGACGCCATCTAAGACTGTCATCACTTCTGAAAATGTTAAACCAAAACCAGCGAATACTATACCTATAGAAACCAATGTATTGACTCCTCAATCAAAAGACAATCTCAATGTTGTTAAGGATACTGACGGACAAAGAAAAAAGAGACTGAAAATAGAATCAAATCAAGACTTAGAGGATGTCATCTCAAATAAAGGACCAGATTTTGAGATTAAATTATCAGATTTATTAAAACAAAGTTTGATCGACGACTGGGAATTGATTGGTCAGAAAAAGTTGGTTCGATTGCCTGCAAAAGTGTCGGTCAATAAAATTATTGACGATTATATCAAACAAAAACTTATTCAAAAACTCAGTTTATCTAAAGAAAATTTAGTCAAAGAAGTGGCCGAAGCCATCAAATGTTATTTTAATGCCACGATTGGCACTCAATTGCTTTATTCATTTGAAAAGAATCAGTTCAAAGATTTAATGAAAGACAGTGACGACGACTCAAAAGCGTCAACACTTTATGGAGGCATTCATTTATTACGATTATTTGGTTAGTTCTTTAAATATTCTGTAATTATTTTATTTAATATACGGATAATAATATTATTATTATTTTATATATGAATCTAAACAGTAAAATTGGGGTCACTTTTGGCATATTTGAATTTTGATGATAGAAGTATTCAATTGATCTCTGAATACATTCACGATTTTCTAAAGTAAGCCATGAATTTAATTTCATTTTGAAGTTTTGTTTACACAATAAATGTTTTATAATTAATTAATTTATTAATAGGTATTTAGATCGCAATCCATCATTGTTTAGTACAAATGAATACGAAACGGCTTCATCTGATTATTTGAAGAAATCGCTATAATAATTATTTTTGTATATTTTCAAATCGTGTTGACTTTTTAAGTTAATTTAATGTTTTTTTTTTAAAAAAAATAATTATTCCGTAATATGTAATACTGTAAAATAAAACAATTATACACTAAACAATGGCTAAATTAATACAAATATTTTGTTATATTATGTATAAATTTATTATAAATAAAATGTTTGTCTACAATGAGCGACACTTGAGAGATGTTTTATAAGCAAAATATTTTAAAAAGCAGTTATAATAATAATAGTAATATTATGTTATTCTGAAAATACTAATAATAATTTTGTTGGTTATATAAACAAATTTTTAAATGGATCGCTCATTAGTTGTCTCAGTCAGTCATATATTTGATCTTATTTTCATTGGTCTGGTATTTGAAGCACTTGTAGTGTGAGTGTAGATATTTGATACCTAATGATGTCACGCATTCTCTGTTAGTGAAGACATTAGTTAACCAATTGGACGATTCAGAGACTTAGTCTGAAAATAGAAATTTTGAACAAATTTCTAAATATAGTATAGATTGCAATAATTGTTTCCATAAATTATTTATTTTTTAAAAAGTTTTTTATATAATTGGTCAACAATTTAAACAAATTTTGTTAGCCATAAGTTACTAATAAATTTTTTGTTTGATCTTAAGTTGTATTTGTTTTTAAGAAATTTTAAATAAACAAACGGAAAGAGTTATTTGAAGCACAGAATTAGTGCCAAAATTAGTCAAATAAGTCTTTGAGTAACTCCTGAATTAGCTGATGTCGAGCGCATCGTCAGTGGGACACAACCCACTTGAGCATCACTTATATGAATCAAACACTAAAATCTCAGTTTTTTGGGATTCAGCGGTGCATTCGGTGTCAGTCATAAACACTTCTCTCACTTTCCATTACATCAAACAGTGAATTGCTTCAGCCTTTTCTTTTAGTTAAATTATTTCTTAGTGAAAAAGATCTTTAAGTGAACCAAAATGGAAGCGATAAAGAAGAAGATGCAGGCAATGAAGCTCGAGAAGGACAATGCGGTCGATAGAGCCGAGACCGCTGAACAGGGAGCCCGTGATGCCAACCTCAGGGCCGAAAAGGTTTTTTTAAATGCCTTATTGCGTCAATTATTCTTCCGTTTGTCTTATTTTATGGATTTAATATAATTCAGTCCGAAGAGGAAGTTAGAGCTTTGCAGAAGAAAATCCAGCAAATCGAGAATGAGTTGGATCAGGTCCAGGAACAGCTCGCACAGGCCAACAACAAACTCGAAGAAAAAGAAAAATTACTCCAAACTGTAAGTTATCATAAGATTTTTAATTTAAATACTTGTTTTATCAATTATACAATTAAACAAATGTTTCAAATTATTAAACAATTTGTAATCCTATTGTAATCGCATTTCAATTTGTTTTTTTACTAAATTAATATAATATTTATGTTTTTAAATTCTTGTAAATTTTCATATATATTCCGTATATTCTATTTGTAATTTTTGAATTGATTTTTATCGTTATTCTGTAATACAATTATTAAACTATTTAAATATATAAATATATTGATAGTTTGTGTGGAAATGTTGTGTAAAACCGCATAAATAGAGTTAAATATAAAGAATTTTGAGAATTGTATTGAAAGGTTGATCTTTAGCTCATATAAGCACTTGAAGTGAGTTGTCGTGACGTAAGTGATCCCTATTTGGTGCGATCGAGAGTTAACTTTAGTGCCAACAGTGCTAACTATATGTAGTGCTCAATGCATTCATATTATCGTTATATTAGCTAACAGTGTCCCAAACGGTGCCATTTATTTTGGTTATGAAACGCCTATCACAGACAACCCGAACCCCCAAGTCTTAAGTCTTGCCAAAAAACATCACTTTTACTCATTTAAAGTCTCATTTAATATATTTTAATATATATATTACTTTTTCCTGATTACTATGTGTTTAATGCTTACATTCCATATTATAAGAGGACAGTTAGATATTTATACATTTATATATTTAACTATTGATAAAATGAACAAATTTGCAAACAATTATTTTTAATCATAATAGTTATTCAATCTCATGAATATATTTTATAATTTAGGATTTTATACGTTAACACATTGTTTTTAATGAAGTGTAACTTTAAACACATTTCTAAAAATCATGATTTTGACTATATTTTGAAATAAATATAATTATTTTTTTAAAATTTAATTTATATATACAATTTAATAAATATTTAGTAAAATATTTAACATAACAATATACAGAACCTAATAATATTAATATATTATTTAATTAATATATTAATATAATCCTTGAAAATAGCAGAGCAAACAATTTGTGATATAAAAATCATATTTACATTAAAATGTATAGAAAGGCGTTTAAAATGAAGTTTGTTTTATTGAAATTCAATTACTAAGCGATAAGTTTATTATCAGTTAATTTTAAGTCAAAACATATACTAAAACGACAATCACATGACAAAGACATGATCCATAGTTGTAGTGGTGTTGATGATGGCAACCATGAGTTTGACAATCTTCGTTGTTCTAGTCTTCAAACAGAACTGATCCAAGAAAAACAAACGCGAAGATCTAAACGACAGCCGAGTGCCGGATATCCCGGACTTAAATTTGATGGACCGATGTTTTCGGGAACTATAATGAAATTCAATTTAATTGCTAATGAATTGAAAAGTTTGGAAAAAGTTATTATAAAAATGGTATGATTTTCATCCAATTGATTACAACACATATCTATTGTACACTTAAATGACTTAACAATCAATTTATTCTACAAATATGTTTCTCTCTAATAATTCTCTCATACAGTAAATTCATTATATCATTCACTCATTAATACATAGTATTATATAAAACATTATACCGTATATTAGTATACAGTATATTCAAGTCATATGTTATATAAATTTATCAAATTTATATGATTTTATAATATTTTTAATTTAAATTGGATTTTTTAGTAATATTTGCGTAACAAAAATTAAAAAATATATATATAGTTAATACTTAAATAGTTAAAAACTGTTAAATTTCCGTAAAAATATTCTATTAATTGATTTGATTTATTGGTTTATATAATTTATAGTAATAATAATTAGAAACTAATTTGTCTATACCTATGATATAATAATATCTAAATTCCAGTATTTTTAAAAACTTGTTTCATTCAAAATAATAATTATGAAAATTAAGAAAATAACTATGAATTTGAGTTGATATATGAAATGTCATATTTGATATAATGAAATAATTTGATTTAATTAAATGAATGACTTTTTTGGTTGATTTTAAACTTTAAAGTCCAAACACAATGGTCTGCAAAGTAAATGAAAAAATAATGGAAAGGTAGAGATCGGGTGTAATGGCATTAATGGCATTGTGTTTATAGCAAAAGTATTTTCTTATATCATATAATATATAAAAGTGTTGTCTTTTAGATAAATAAAATCTAGTTTTATGTCATATAATCCATACAATGACCTCAGCGGACAAAAAGTGCCGAAAAATTTTAAGCGGTTTTACAGGTTTTTCAGTGCACTGTTAGGTAACAGAGGCATCACTTTTAAAGAGCAAAGTGCTCACCATTGGCACCAATGATGCCATTCCTTCCCACAGACTCTAAGACCAGTCAGTCGTGAGTCTAACCATCACTTCTACTCTCAAAAACATTTCAATATTTCAATTTAATGTAATATATCAACAAATATTACATTAATTGTATTATATGAACAAAAAACAGTTTCTTTGCAATCGATGCGATTATAATCTATTGTTTTAAATATCCAAAAAAAGTTTAACATTGAACTAAGTTTTAAATTTGAGACCAAAGTTATTATTAATTGATTTATAATAATAAAAAGTTTGAGAAAGTATTTCAATACTGTATTGTATTGTTGGTTGCACTGACTTAACGGTCCCTCAAAGGTGTGCTCTATTAATGATAGAGTAAAGAGTATTACTGTATTATACAGTATTACTACAGTATTATGAATATAGTAATAGTCAGACATTTACAGCATATATAGCATTGACTTCATTGAAAGTGATTGAGAAAAGGCATTGAAAGGCACTGTAAGCCAAACACTACAACATTATTGGTGTTGTCTTTCAATACATTGTTTGTTGTATTAGTGTTTATATTAGTGTTTAATACATACAGTGTTTGACATAACATTTAATTTGATTGTAAAACGCAATCCTTTATAGTAGTGATTGATTCATACGATTCAAGTGTCAGATCATACCATCCATTGTATTGATTATTCATAATATCATATATATCGCTGTTTTTGTTGTCATCTAACCATTTGATCCATCAATCGAGTCATCCATTAATATAATTATTGTCAACAAAGTGGTCAAAACAGATAAACGATGGCTCAAACACAGGGATCACTACTGGAAGTGCTCAAGAAGAAGATGAGAGCCATGAAGGATGAGTTGGAAGCGGCAAAAGAGACAACGGATGACACTTTCATTAAGTTAATGGAAGAAAGGAGAAGACGTGAAGAAGTGAGTCATTAACCATCAATTTGATGGCATAGTCTTACCATTGCAACAGAGAGTACAGCCCAACCCCTAACACATGAGTTAAACAATACCTTATTTTTGTCACTTTTATTGACCACTCATTTGTTTATTTCAAACTATTTGTGTCAATTGATATCCTATTTATTTATACATTCATTGAATACAAATTGCGTTAATTTACTGTAATATCATTTTAATGATTATTATAAATTATAAATGAAAAAAAAATTTAGTTAAAAATGCTATAAATTATATCTAATATTATCTCAAATATCATAAAAGCGATTCATGTGTTTAAGGATTTAATCATAATTTACAATATTTTTTAGATGAAATGATTTAATCAGTTGTTTAATGATAATAACTGTAAATAAATATTACCGTCAATTGAAGTCAAGAGTTGTATAAAATAAAATTTAAAGCAATGCCATAAAATTGAGTGTTATTTTTAAATAAATGCATTTGAAGTCTGCATTAAATTAAAAAAAAGTTAATATATTGTATGATAAAAGTTATCAAATTTATTGCATATTAATACCTATATATCAATTTATATATAATGTATATTTAACTCGTTTTCATCAATTTTTTTTAAATAGCAATAAAATCCAAATAATAATTGAATTTTAAGCTAAATTCAAGATTTTTATTAATTGACTGGAATTTTTAGTCTATTTTGTTATTATTGCAATTTGATGTCAATTATAATTATTTATAATATTTGTGTTATAAATGTGTTATAAATTTAGTACAAATGTGTATTACAAACATAAATATGCAATTAATAGACAATATATGGTTTGGAATTAATGTTTTTGAATTTATATTGAAATGCGATTACATTACACATACGGGTCAACACTTGTTAAATATAAAATACACTATTTTGCAAATATTTTAACAATCAATTTATTTGTTAGTTTATTGAGAAACAATGATTTCCAATGTATTATAATTGAAAATTGCTTAATTAGGCTGAAGGCGATGTGGCAGCACTTAACCGACGTATTCAACTGATTGAGGAAGACTTGGAGCGATCGGAAGAGCGACTGAAAGTGGCCACCAGTAAGTTGGAGGAGGCATCACAAGCGGCAGATGAAAGTGAACGGTAGGTACACGAGTGCCCACACTTTTCACTCGTTTGGTGACCACAATTGTTGCCACTGTTTACTATCTTTCTGACAATTTCGACAATTAGTTAGTTAGCAGTCTATTTGTAAAAGGGTTTCATTTCTTGAAAAATTAGTTTTAGTGGAAATATTATTAAAATTAAAAACCAATTAATAAATAGAATTAGAAAAACTTTGGAGAACCGGACTAATATGGAGGACGATAGGATATCAGTGCTCGAAACACAGTTAGCTCAGGCAAGACTCATTGCTGAAGAGTCTGACAAAAAATATGAAGAGGTAAGACTATCTATAGAGGTATATGGCTTTTAATGGTGACGGATATTATATAAGAATATTAAGTTTAAGTTATAGTTGATTACAATTACAATTCAGTGGCAAAACGGCTTTAAACATAAACTACAAATTGTTGATAATATCGTCAAATATGGTTTATTTTGGTTGCAAAACATAGACTATTGTATAATAATATGTTAAAATCTAAATAATGCTATGTATTTGGTAGTATGCGAAAGATGCTCGAGCACAGGAGCATCACTGATGAGGAACGTATGGATGGATTGGAGTCACAGCTCAAAGAGGCCCGAATGATGGCTGAGGACGCAGACCGCAAATATGATGAGGTCTGACATACTCACCATTCAGTTGTTTCATCCAATTTATTGCATTTTTCAATGCATGTCCAGTGCATGTCTACCATTAGATTTATTATTTTTATTTTGTTATTAAATTTTGTATTTTTATATCAATAATAATTATTTTATATTGATATTAACATAATATGAAATTTTATAAATAGTGATTATTATTAACACCAATTTGCAATTAAATATTTATAAAATCATACGTATATTGAGTTTTTCAAACTTAGTAAACCGTTATGAATTGATTTAATGAGAATAATAGCAAATTACAGCAATTCATGACATTTATATCAGTATTTTTATCTATTTATTGACATAAATTGGTTTATCGCTATTCATTATTTTGAAAAACATTTGATAAACTAAGAAATTGTAATCGTTTTGTCAAAACATAACTAAACGGTTAAAACAAACCGATTTGGATATTACATCGATGTTTGACTAATAATTTGATTGATTGTTGAGTGAAAATAACCATATATTGAGTGTTAAAATGGAGTTACAAATATTGAATGATATATTGATGAATAGGTGGCCCGAAAGCTGGCTATGGTTGAGGCAGACCTCGAAAGAGCTGAAGAGAGGGCTGAGACCGGAGAATCGTAAGTCATATTTGCAGTCAATTGGAGTTTGATTTGGTGTTGAATACATAATCGCTAACAATCGCTATATTATCGAAATTCATATTAAAAAACTATTTAATTTGAGTTTGATTTTAAGTTTGCCTGATTTGCCACTGTTTTTTAATTGAATGTTTTTTAATTTTTAATTAATTTAAAGTTAATATTTATTATAATATAAATTAATTTTAACAAAATGATGTTTAATTTATACGCTGACATTTAAAACTGTGTGTCTCTTAATCAATTGGTTGCATGAAATGCATGGTTTGAATGACTGACCACATGACAGATGGCCCGTCGCATAGCTATGTTGGAGGCAGACCTCGAACGGGCTGAGGAAAGGGCTGCGGCCGGAGAGAGGTATGTCATCACTACTCACTAATACTTACCAATACTTACTATAGCTTTTGGCATATCTTAATGTATTAAAATACTAAAAATGTTTTATTGTTTTCAATTTTGATATTTTCAAACATTAATTATTGCTATAATTTTAGCAAAATTGTTGAACTCGAAGAAGAGTTGCGAGTCGTCGGCAATAACTTGAAATCACTTGAAGTTAGCGAAGAAAAAGTAAGTTTTTTTTCATATATTTTTGTTTTATTTAATTATATTATTTAATTTTTAAATGCTATATAATTGATGTATTAATAATAATTAAATTTGATTTGTTGTGTTGTTTGCGCTCTCTCTCATTAAATAAAACATTTTACTATAATTTTGACACTAAAATATATTTCAAAGATTTTTATTTGTTTTGTTTGTTTTAATAATATAATAATATTATATTTCCTTCACTTTTTTAATAATTCATTTTATTTTAATAATAATTTTGTTTGTTTTCATAATATTTGTAATAATAATAATTTTGCTTTGATATAATGCTTTTGTGTTTTTAATTTTGTTTTGTTTGACAAATAAGAAGGAAAACAGTAATCAAATAATTTTGATTTTGTATTTTTGAAACAATTTTGAAACTATAGGCCCAACAGAGAGAGGAGGCGTACGAACAACAGATTCGCATAATGACTGCCAAACTAAAAGAGGTGAGTCCTGTCTAATACTATTCCCATGTTTTTGTAGGCCATGCAAAAGGAAGAAACATATGAAATGACTATTAGACAACAGAGTCAAAGATTGCAAGAGGTTTAGTCACTTACCAAATGATTGTCAATATATATGTGTTTCTCTCAAATAATTCATTTTAAATCCTTATCCCTAATTGTTGTCAAATTGAAACTAACTTATGGATCCATTTTAGGCCGAAGCAAGAGCTGAGTTCGCTGAGAGATCTGTTCAGAAATTGCAGAAAGAAGTCGATAGACTCGAAGGTTTGACTTATGATATCATAGAATATATTATTATTTTTATTATTATAATTATTTGATTGATTGTCACCACTAATGCAATAGTAGTTGTAATGAATAATTGATTTAATAATTGTATGATTGACTGCTTTGATACAACAGATGAACTGTTGGGAGAACGCGAAAAGACACATCTCTTGCAGGAAGAGGTGGAAACCACTTTAAAAGATTTACAATCGATGTGAATGTTTGGCTATTAGGACCCAATTATGCCATTAAATAACTGTTAATAATTGTGTGTTCGTCTAAACTAACTTTAAATGCATTCATATATTTTATGTCTTTTAAGAAAATATAATTATTATTATTATTATTATAAAAATTTAATAATCTATTACTGCCTGCCATTGGATGCACATAGATATCCACCCATATATACATTCCTTAATTAATCAAAACATCATTATATTCTTAACGCTTTTTTAAAATATGCTTTAAATTGATTGGATATGTCTGAGAGTACGTATTTGACTATATCTTACTAATTGTTGTTTTTAATGAAAGATAGATAAATGAATGGAAATTAACTGATTTGTGTCCATCATTGCAGATGAATTGGTTCACGAGAAGGAAAAATACAAGTCGATATCGGATGAGTTGGACCAGACATTTGCCGAACTCACCGGATATTAAGTCAAACAACAACCAAACACTTTGTATTGGCTCTTCACTTGCGATTTCATTCAATTGTTTGTTGTTTTGTTCATTAAAGACACGATCCGATCAAATGCTTAACACATTTTCGCTCTTAATTCTGGTCTTCAATTCCATTAAATTTCAAATCTCTTTTAGTTTACAATATTTACAATTATTTATACGTTTAAATCCACTTATTTTAAAGGACTGGTTTCAAAGTTTATCTATACTTAGAAAATTATTTTTAATTATTATCACTATAAATCATGTTAAAACTATTGATTTATTTTATATAATTAACAATGATTAGAAATATATATATATATATATTTAACACAAATAAATGCTTTGTAATAATTATGTGATGAATTGAATAACGATTTGTCAATTGAAGAGCAAATTATATTATGTATTAAAATAAAATAAAGTCTTTGTTTGAGACATTATTATAAAAAAATAATTAAGAAATTGTTTTCATTTAAATTTAAATAAATTTGTTTATTTGAGCAAAACATGACTTGTTTTTTAAAATATGATTTCAAGTCAGCTTTAAATGCATTAAAAAACAAAGATTTAAAATATAAATAATGTTTTATTCAGTATTGAGTAAAATATCGAGAGCTTTGTCTCTATCGTTGTTACACTTAATTAATGCTTTAATGATTTCTCGTTTATCAAAACCCACTTCCGATAATTGCCGTAAAGATTCCAAAAATTTTTTGGCCTATAATTTAAATATTAATATTAATATAGAAAATATTATATATATTTTATTTAATTAATTAGTATTTAAAAAATGATAATTACTTCTGGAATTTGATAGTTATTCATATGAAGTGCAATCTCAGACTCACAGCAGTCATAACCGGATTCTTCGAGTTTCTGCACTTGTAATAGAAAGTCAATCACTTTTTTGTGGTCATTATCTATATGTTTGACAGCTCTGGCCACACGACTTCTCTCAAAACCCATAGAATTAATGGAATTAACAAAATCCTTAGAAAATTGTGACAATTCATTGTAAGGATCATTGAGTATAAGAGTTTGTTTTTCATTAACATTTCTAGTTTTATTCTTAGGTGTAGAACAGGGAGGTGTATGTGATCGCTGTCGACGAACAGTTGTTTTCAGAGAATCTTCACTATCTACAAGAGTTGGTAAATCAGATACACTTTTGGACGATCTTAATAGATTTTGTTGTGGATCACTTGGATTAGATATATTATTATCTGTAATATAGTTATAGTTGATATTAGTTGTAGTGACACTCATATTATTATCTATTGGACTATAAGAGGTTGAAGCCGTTGTTGTCCACTGACTATTGTAGAGATGACCAGAATGAGCAACTGATACTGGAGTTGCCATTGATGTAACACCACTTTGTTGATGGTGTCCATATGCGGACATCACATTAACACCATTCATATTATGAACAGCTGACAAGTTTTGGTTTAAACACATATTATTAGTATTGTTTAAAACATTATCACTTTTAACATCTTTATTATGACATTCATCTACTGTTGGTTTTTGGTGTTGACTTGTTTTGGTATTAAATGCTTGAAAAACATCATTGAGTTCTTGCATATAATCTATGCTCTGAAGCTCAACAAAATCAAAAGGACTGGAAGTGTCGCTCTCGAAGTCTTTTACAATCTTTCGTTTTATATTAACATTTGGGTCAATACTGCCATTACTTAGATAATGGTTGTTATTATTCATTTGATTGACTCCACTGCCAGTTGGCAACGGTTTAAGTATTTCTCCCGGATTTAAATGAATTGTTTTGTTTAGCACTTCTTGAGGATGAGATTGAGTCTGATGTTGATGTTGTTGTTGTTTGTGTTCATTGTTTTGCTTAAAGCTATTGTCATTAGATTTTACCGAATTATCACAATTAGCACTCAATTTGGACATTGATTCAGATAATTCTTGTTGTCGTTGTTTGTCTCTGAACTCAAACACTTCCAAAGCGTATAATTCTGCACTGAATTTATACTAAAACAATGTGATTGACAACCAATTAATATTACACATCATATGAATTCAAGACATGGCTTACGTGTTGGTCAAAAACTTCGGGAATACGCGTCTCTTCTTCAGTATAAGCGCTCACATCAAGTGGTCGGTAGCGTTCAGACAAACGCATCGGTATGTCCTCGATATACACACTGACTGTACAATACATTACATCAATTGGTCAATCATTTGGTTATTATTATTATCAGTGATAAGACAATAATACTTACTTTCATGTGATTTGTTGGTCATTACGCCGACTAATATGTTAAACAATACAACAATTTATTGTTTAATTTGTTGTCAATTAAAACAAATAAATAAATAAACAAAAAAATGGTTAAAATGGTTAATAAAATAACTAAATGAGTGATTTGTTTAGAAAAGTGGTCACAATTTGACTAAACTATTGATACATTCATTACAAATGTCAACACAAATAATACAATAAATATAACGTAATATTAATAGCAATTCATATCGTGTTTTGTTTTGTCTTTCAAATGCATTAGTCATTCACTCATTAATACTATAATACAATGTATTAGTACTGTATATACAATATGTTATGAATGCAGACATCACTGATGTCCACACAATTCAATACATTCATTACGATTGCACTAAACATTAAACACACTTTTCATTTAGAAATTATTTTAAATTAATTAACAAATTTAATTAAAAATTGTTGACCAAATACTTAGTTTATTAATTATAATTAATTAAATTTTTTAAAAATTAATTAAACATTATAGATGAATATCAAACAAAATACCGTAATATTAGTATTAAATTTAATATAATATTAATTGATTCAATTGATTGATTCATTTTTTTACTTTACTATAAGATTTATAATAATTATTATAATAACATCTTTTATAATAAATGAAACAAATTATCTCAAAATAATTATAATAAAAATTGAATTGAATTTAAAAACTTTTCATTTATTGAATTATATTTTATATTTAAAAGTCTAACAAATGATTGCATAATATATTTGAATGAATGTAATGACTGAACGACCCCTCGATTGGTATCATTCAGTGAATTGCATTGAATTGAAGACTCCATTAATATATGAATTGTTTGTTTGTTTTCTTTCAAACATTTTTGTCGATTCATTTGGTTTAAAGTGATCGCTGAAGAAGTGGTTAACAATGAGTGAAAAGATTGAGTTCAAGACTGTTCCATACGATCCAAGATTTCCTAATCAAAATCAGACGAGGTTTCATACAAATGATTACATAAATTGATTGATTTTTTTTAATCAAAGGTTTGTTGTTATGATATCTGTTAGGAACTGTTACCAGAATTATCTGGATTACCACCGATGCCAGAAAGTGAAGGGTCAGGACTACGAGCCCTGTCAATGGTTCAAATGGGCGTATCAAGAGTTGTGTCCCAAAACATGGGTTTGTATTGCAATACATTTGTCTTAATCTGTGACTAATTTTGTATGTTTTTGATAGCATGAGAAGTGGGACGAACAGAGAGATAATGGCATCTTTGCCGGACGTATTTGATTACCACAAATACAATCGTCACCACAACTACTATGACTACCAACTTGTCTTAGATTTTAAATTTTAATTATTATTTCAAATCAATACTTTAATTCAAATTATAAAACAAATGTTAGTTTTTATTAGTAAGTTATAAATTGAATACAATTTGGTTTACTTGTTAGTCAAATGGCTAGAAATTTATTTATATTTTGCAAAATATTATAAAAATGAAGTAAAAATGTAAATTTAAAGCGTCAACGGTATGATCTCATTAACCAATTCTTGAAATGATTGATCCCTTTGAGCCACTGATTCTAGAATGTCTTCATCGGTAGTAAAAAGGATTGTCTGATATGAAAGAAGTGTAATATTACCGGTAATGTAATTACAAATAATAATCTGAAAAAGTTTATAATACGTCTCCAAACGCCTCGATGGGTGCGATGAGAGTTCCCGAAGCTTTAGCGATCTCTCCCCTGAAAATCAGTTTATTATCCAAACTAATTGTAATGAATTTGATCCCTCGGTACGAATATATTCGCGATTTGTTGTAATTCCAGATCCGGATCAATGCAATCGATATATTTGTCTTAAATTGGATAAATATCTTTAATGGCAGTCGACATTTGGCATCTAATTGAGTGCACCAGATATGCGAGTCATCGTGAGTTCGGTATATACCGTCAACTAAAGTATTGAGATCACTATCTAAATGATAATTACTCCAAATCTATAATAATATATATATTAATACAAATCAATGTTAGAAATTAAATCTATAAATAATGTTTGAATGACACGCCTTATTAACTTCGACTTGAAATTCATTTAAATCAATGATTTCGATGCCATTAAATCCAACGTAGTCTTCATCGCCCCAATTGTTAATGATTTCAATCTCTAATTGTCGTCCAAAAGGAAGTTCAGGAATAGTAAAGTCAATGAAATGGTCATCGATTTGAAACGATAAATCTTCACAGGATTTGAATGCATTTTGAAGACTTTTTGATTGATTTTGGATTTTACTTTTATTTTGTAATTCAATAGGAATTGATACAAAACTTTTGGCAATTATATGATTATTGAGAAGAAGATTGTGGTCATCGAGCAAAGTATTGGTTCTGTGTTTAACATTTCTATCCAATTCATTGATTTCAAGTTTATGTTTATTTATGGCAAACAAATCGTTGTCAGAGTCGACACCAGTGAGCACTTCACTGGATCTTCTTTGTTGAATCAATTCCTTAAACCATTGAGGCCTTTGACTGACACTGCTTTCAGTGAGAGGACGTGTTTTAGAGTCACTCTTCAATTGATTATCAGTTACTGAGAAACTCTCAAACTCTAAAAGCCATCTATAAAATTATTTTAAATTAAATATATTAAATGTAATTATTATTATTATATCTAAGAAATTATGATATACTTCGGCAACTTTTTGCCATTTGTTGCTGTCATTGAAATGTCTTCATCAGAATTGTTTGTCTCTTTTGTTTGGTGTAAATTCAACTCAATTGTAGAAAGTGGTGTCAAAAAAGACATTTTATCAAAAAATTGGTGATAATTTTGGAGTCAACTCAAAGAAGCACTTCCTGTATCTCTAAACAAATGTTTAATTATTTTGGTTTTTGTTGTCTTTTAACTGAGACATTAATATCTACGCAACGAAACCATAGCTATAAAATGAAACAAATTTTATAATATGAATACATCTCATGCAATACATAATCGATATTATTCTGTGTTTTGTATTTATTGTTAAAATTTTCAATTTTTTATTATAATATATATTATATAAATAATATGATATTATAATGAAATGATTGTCAATGAACTTATAAAAGGTTATACACCTTTGCGTTATATGTTTCATACATTTTATAGTTAATATTAAATTTAATTATACATTTAGACTGACCCATAAATTTCTTAATATTCTAATATTAATTTTTAAAATTTCATTTATATATCACATATTAATTGTTATTATATTTACTGTAAATTATATAACTACTATAAAGAGCAGTTCACTTGTATAGATATAAAATATTTATACTTTTTCATCTAAAGAATATTCTTCTATTAAAATATTTTTAATTTTTTTTTATATAACTAAACTTTTTTAAACAATAATAATATTTAATTTGTAGAAATAAAAGTATATTGGATGCAAAAAATACTTATTAATATGTGTTTACTTATCAAACAATACAACATTTTTATATATAATATACTATACATTCAAATTTAAAAACTACCAATTATTTATTAATAGTAATTTGTTGGTATAATTCCTTCAATTTATAAAACATATTAAAATAATATAAAAAATGGTAATTAATTCTTGACAACATTTATTAATATTTAAAAAAATTATTTTTAAATTTTATACTAATTTGTTGAATATAATATATTGTTGTTGTTGTATATTGATAAGCTTGTAAAGTTACAAAAAAAATATTTAAGCAGCTAAATATTAAATAATATTGCATTATATTAATGTATTGAAATTTGTAGTTTACTAAATAAATTTAATAATTTATTTAATAATTTTTTATTATCTACAAAAAAAAACATAGAAAAAATTGTGATTGATTTATAAGTGGTTACACTAAATAGTTTTAATATTAAATTAAATATATTTGAAATAACAATTTTTAAGTTTATCTAGTGATTAGAAAAATATATGAAAGTAGTTCAAAACTATTTCAATAATCAATTTATTTATCTTATAGTAAACATAACTATTTTAACAATAAATTTAAGATGAAAATTTACAAATTTAATGATAGAGTAAATTTATTAAAATTTATTAGATATTTATGATTTAAATAATAAATAGATATTCTATGTATTATAAAAATATTGAAATAAATAAGTTTTCTTTTGAAATATTAAATTGTTTTGAAATACTTAGAAATTAAATGTTTGTATTTAGTCTTTTTCGAGATATTTAATGCTTAGTAAAGTATTTAATCTTAAAATGTATAGTATTTGTCATTAACTGTAAATTAATTATTATTGTTTAATATAATTAAATAAAAATATCTAAATTACCATAATTTTTATCTTTTAATTGTTATATAATCTTATATTATATAAATACAATTTTTTTATTTTAAGATTTGTAAATAGAGATGGGCGACTAGAAATTTTCTAATAAATTTCCCTAGGAACATTTCTAGAAAGTTTCTCAGGAATAAATTTCTATAGAAATTTTATTTTATCATTGTATGATACATCCCCATATCTATAGCTATTATAATAAAATACTGTACTTAAGATACATAATATACATTACACTATTATATTAAAGGGATTCTTATTTATAAAATTAATAATATTATTTAATTATAGTTATAGTTTCTGTAAAATTTTATTTATAATTGATTTATATTTTTAGTTTAATTTAATTAAATGAATTATTTTTTACTTTGTATATTAATTAAAATACTAATAATAAAATTATGTTAATGTTTATATTTATAATGAATTGTTTAAAAATAACAAATATCGAGACAACAAAATTAATATGTGATCCCAAAGACACTAATTTCTCTATTATTTTAAATTTTTTTTCTTTCTTTTTTGTCAATTCTATAATTTTCAGAAAACTATTTTTATGAATGTTTTAATACAAATGATTTAATAGAAAATAATATTTAAAAAAATTTATTCAAATAACATTTTTTAGTTTAGAAAAAACCACATTTAAAATTACTTTTTAAAAATATTACATTTTAATATTATTTACTATTTTTTGAAAATTTTAGACAATTATATTGCAATTTGCAAATAATGAAAACTTTTTTTTAAATATTATATAGCTGAAGATAATTGCAATAATAAATATGATGTATATAATTAATTATATAAATAATATTAACTTTAAACAATAATCTATAATTATACAGATTATTAGGCAGTCAATGCAATAATGATTATTTATTTACTTATAAAATTGATTATCAATTACTATAATACTATTGACTATCAATGCAATTATTGCGAACATGTGATGTCTCAATCAGTTTTTACATATAAATAACAAATGTTTTGTTTGGTTGTTAATTGCTTTGTATTTTTTCCGACACATTATATATAAATTGGTAACAAAATAGTGATAATAAAAACAAAATATTGTATTTAATTTGAAGGTAAAAATAGAAATTTAATTATATTTTGATCCCATGTCTCGTAAGTTTTTTTTCAACACACATTTATTTAACCGGATTTTAATATGTGTTGCATTAAAGCCCAATCAATTATACCCTAAACAAGCAATGACCAAGGTACTCGAGCTACTAGTGCTCATAGAAATACTAATCAATAATTGAAATAACAGTCATTTGTATGATATGCTTATAAAGAAAGTTTCGGAATTTTATTCAATGTCTAATCAAACAAAATATAAAAATTGATTATTTATGACTATTATATATGAAAATCCTTATCATAATTTATAAAAATTTATAATCATTTTAAATAATATAATTCCAGTCATCTTTGATAATATCAATAAAATATAAAACAATTCAACTTTTAAAACTTTTATGTTTTCATTTGATTAAGATTTTAGACGTTAATTAAACTTTTTTTATATAAAAAAATAGCTCTTATTTTAAAAATATTGGCTGAACTCATAAAACTGTTTTCATTATAACATTTAATTTGATGACACATTCATATAAATAGTAAGCCAATGAATCATTGATTACTATTTAAATACATTTTAATATTATTTACTATTCTTTGAAAATTTTAGACAATTATATTGCAAATAATGAAAACTTTTTTAATACTGTATTTGTCGCTCAATTTGTTCACAATTCGCTTAGTTTTGGCAAACGTGGAGACAAGTGATACTAATGAAGACATGGATGAACCACTAAATCAACTGAAGAATGTAATGACCATAAGTTGTGACAATATATTTAACAAAATGTGTTTTTTGACACAAAACTTGTTGTTTCAGTCAAACGCCAGTCCTTTTCGGAAAATCTTAAACAGTCTTCCGGGGATACGATTGGGAAAAATCGGTCAAAATATAAATCGCGATAATATTGAGACTTTAAGACAAGTTATTCAGGCGTCGCCTCAAATAGATTTGCAACAGTTGTCCACTTATACCGTTCCGCCAGTTCTCGAGCCTAACTGTTATGTCGAAGTCCAAGTCGTAAGTCTTTTTAAATTTAAATTTAATTTTAATAATATAATTAATAAATTGTTTGTCAATAAAAATATTGTTTAATTATATTTGAGATCCAACGTATGCCCGGAAAATGTACAAAATTGGCCGGAAATGTACCGGCGTGTCAGGTATGCAACAATTTTTCCATTATATTTAATATTATATTTTTATTTAAATAAATATATTTTTTTATTTATAGGCACAAGACTTTATTTCATTAGATTATAATTCGTGTAAATAATATTTACTTTTAACATTTAATTTAACTAATAATAATTTTAACTTTTATCTATAACTATATCTTTACTAATTATTAATGACAACTATATTAACATATTAAGTATATTAAAATTATCCATTTAAGTAAAACAAATTAGTTTAAAAAACTATGTATATATCATAAAATAAAATGTCAGTATTTTTTAATGTTCTAATGTTTTATTGATAGTCCAATATATATGATAAAAATTGTCATTTATAATCACATTTATTTGTATTATATAAAAATCGATATTTGAATAAATGTAATAAATATAATTTGATGTCCAATAAATGGATTACTTACTAATCTTTTTTTTTGTTGAGTAAATAACAGGAAATTTGAATATCTTTGAAGATTTGCTAAAAGTTGTGTTAAATTATATATTGAATTTATATCACATTTATTCCAAACATTTCAAATGATGATAAGCATGAAAATGTTTAAAATACAGTTGTTATACATATTTTTTATATTCAAACAAAATATTTTAATTTGCAATTCAAAACCACTGACTAAACTAAATGAAAAAATAAAACTTTTATCAAATAGTATTTCTTCTGTTTATTTTTCTCTTGAATTCATTGACCAAAATAAACACGAGGTTGACATCGATGGTCTGTTAGGTGTAAGGATATTAAGTGATCAAATTGATGTCATTCTTAAAGATTTGAAACAAAATGATGTCAAACAACCAACGATCCAAACGTTGATCCAAATTATTGAGACTTCACTAATTGATATTCAAGAAGAATCTGAAGATATGTTAAGAAAATGTTTGCCTTTTGTTATTTCAAATGATCACAATTATTATATGAGTATTAAAAACATTTTTCTATTATTAATTTTAGTAAATTTCTAATAATATTTATAATTCAATAATAATTATTGAATTTAATGATATCAGCTGTCGGTGACATTCTTCAGAAGGGTTTGTGGTCTCAAAGTCCTGACTCTCGACTCACACTTAATACAAGTCTAGAATATGATGAGACACTCGACTTAGCGGACATACCTTTGAATGAGAATATCTCTGATTTTTGTGTATCACAAGTACTCAATGGATGTCATATATCGTGGAATTGTTGGAAAGTGATGACTGACCGTCAATACAAAGACTATCCATTGGCTCATCAGATCTTTTATCTGGAAATGGCTTTAATGGTTAGTTATATTTACAATACAATTTAATCAATAATATATTTTTAATTATTATTAATTTTGTAGAAAAATTGTCAAGTACAAATGGATAATTATGTGCACTTTTTTAAACAAATTTCGATAAATTATTTGTTAAAAATGTTTTGTACTAATATGTTTGCAATCAATAAACAATTTGAAAATCAATTGCTTGCTGATAAAGATATGGATTTATTTATGGAAAATAGTTAGTTTCAATGTTTTATTATAATTTAAAATAAATTGTTAAATCTAAATTTATTAGATAAATGTTATTATAATAACTAGTAATCTAAGCTAAGCATTATTAGATACTAGGTAATTATTAATTTTTAAATTGCTAAACTAAAAAATCTATATACAGTATATATAATACATTTATTAGTATCTCCATTGATATACAATATTATTTTATATATTTTAATCTGTTTATATACTGTATAATTAAAATATAGTAATAATGATTATTACATAGTATAAAAAAGTAAACTAAATACAGCTTATAGTAAATCTTTATAATTGATTACTTTATATATTAAGTTAAAAATCGCAACTTATTTTAGGTTCTGATTTCTCAATTGAATAGATATTATTATTATTAGTCATTATATTTTATAATTTATAAAAATAATTAATAATTGTAAGATTTAAACTAGAAAAATGCAGATAGATTTGCCAAAATGAACTTTTAGAAACTATATGTAATATACTATATATACTTTTAGATGTATAAAGGTTATAAACTACTATATAAATTATACCGATATATTTATATTTATATTTAAAAATACTAATTATGCATTTATAATATGTATCCAAAATCATAGATAAAATTATATATATATTTAAGAATTAAAATTTTATTTAAATAAATAATAAATGAGTTTCTATGAAATTAATTTATGCATAAAAATGCTAACAATTGTTTTGCTAACAAAATTTTAGTCGCTTTTTGTGGAATAATTGGATTTAATGAGTTCACGAGTAATACTAAATGGTTGGATCATATAATTGAAAGACAATCGAGAAGTGGATGTTATGTAAAGATATCGGACAACAATCGCTGTAAGAGACGAGAGAAGACTTTGCAAAACGGATGCAGTTTTCATAAGACATCAATGGCTTTGGCGTCGACTGTAGTCTACATTAGAAATATTATCAATAGTATTGTCAACTCATAAAACACTATAGTATTGCTAATAGACTTGTCATTATCGAGATATTGTTTAAGATATGACACATTATAAGAGCAGTGATTAACACTACAGTATAATCACACCAAATGTTAACATTAATGTCATGAATGTCACACTTAACTTATATATATACAGTATATATATATATATCATATAATTTTATATAATATTAATATTTCTAATGTTATCTCATGTTTTCTCACAAAACAAACTTTAAAACTTATTATTTATATTAATACTAAAGTTTAGTAAACAGTAGTACTATATTAGTATTAATTGTCGACAATTATTTACATTGAGAGCAAATGTTAGATAAAAAGCAATGTTTTAGATAACAACTTAATTCCCGTATTATTGTAAATCCAATATTGATGTAAACTCTTTTCATTAGTAGTCTAACTAAGTATATATTGATCACTAAATTAGATTTTATTTGACTTATTTGTTGTCATATTAATTAAATGTTTATAAAACACTAATAAAAATTGTTTTCAATAAAAAATGGATAAAAATTTTTGTGAAATGATTTTTAATTCAACTTCACTAACAAATGAGGAATATGTCAAACAAACCAATGAATCGATATTTAATTGTTTTAATTATAACACATTTAATGAGACAAATGATAGTTTATGTTTAAATAATATTTATGACAATTTACTCACTAATAATAATAATAATGATATCTCTAAAGATTCAAGTGATTGGGTTTCTGATGAAAGTGATGTATCAGATGAAGACACTGACCAAACAAATAGTGTTTCTAATCCACAATTTAATGAAATAATAAGTTTGAATCAATTTTGTCAACATTTGCCACAATTATTGCCAAAGTTTTGCGATTTTGAACAAATAGATCCAGAGGTGCGCGAAGAAATGTTGGCCACAGAGAGAGAAGCCATACATATGGATCTATTGACCTGTTCTGCGGCCACAGCCAACTGCTATCGAGACAATTGCAAAGTTAGTATCAAATCAAAGTACGGCAAATGGCAGTGTAGCGGACAGTTGATCCCAGATATCGGTTTGGGACCACTTTCTCAACTGTTTGACGAAAATTATCCACAAACTGATAGTACAGTTCATCCAAACTTTCGAAAACTACCGATTCATACATCAAATACTTATACTAACGGTATTTCATCTAATGATTTATATTATAAAAATGAATTTCAATTTACTGACAATAATAATACATCAAATCAAGTAACAGATAATCATTATAATAATCAATGTATTATATATAATGATCAACAAAATCAAATCAATCAAAATGACTATCAATACGCTTATCATACAAATGATAGCAATAGTGTTAATAAGTTTTATCCGCAATCAATGTCATTACAATATAACCAAAATATTGAAACAAATAATTACAATCAAAATCATTTGTATAATAATTTCAATAATAATAATAACTTTCCTAATTATCAATCAAATTCAACTCAAAATTTTTGTTATCAATAATTCAATGTTCTATTTATTATATTTATTTTTTTTAATTTTTATATTACAAACTAATTTAATAAAAATTAAAATGTTAATTATAAAGATTTAGCATTTATAAAGTTGAATAAAATAAATCAAATTATTAATTTTAAAAAACATGTTATTCCTCGTTAACAAAATTTAACTCATCTTTGACGACACTATCACCAAATGGATCTCTTTGTGATGGTTCTTCTTTTGGCGCAAATTTAGCAGTAAATTGCAAAAACCTTTCTTCAAATGCAGTCATAAATGTGTCGCACTATTCATATGAATAAATACAGTATAATATATATTATATGATTGCATCAATTGTTATAAATTTTTACACAAATTTTTTGCTGAATTTTTTATATTACTGTAAAATCGTGTTTTCCCTCATTTGGAAATAAAAAAAATATGAAAAAACATTTTCATGCGATAAAATTTTTTTTACCACCTCTGGTAAATTAAACGAGTCGTCAGTAGGGAAAAGCAAAATTGAGGGAATAGACAACTGTAATGACCGATAATTAACAGTAATATATTAAAGCAGGTATATTTAGATAACTATTACCGGTAATTAATTAATTAATTAGTTATAACAGTGTTTAACAATATATGACATTTGTATACTTTTACAATATTTTTACATATTATAAATCGGTAAATATATAACATATTCAAAGGGGTGGGAAATCTTTAAAATATATAAAAAACATACAAATTATTATTATTCCATATTTTGATATATGGGAAAAAATACATGATTTAACAGTACAGTTAAATTGTGTTTTTTCTCCCATATGGAAATGTCAGTCATGGGTAAATAATGCGTTTTCTCCCAAATGAAAAATATAGTTTTTTACTTTGTATAATAATTTAGTGTTTATTTATTACAAGGGGTGGTAAAAAATGCAAGTTTTTTACCATATGAAAATGTTATTTTTCATTTTTTTCTGAATTCCATATGGGAGAAAAAACACAATTTAACGGTGAGTTATTATATAAAATTCAATTAAAATCCGACAAATATATAATTAATATAATATTAAATATTGTTTTATTAGGTTTTTATGAATCAACAAATTAATAATATAAACATAAAATGTCTTACATTTGGACCGATAGCCAGTTCCATATCTTCTGATTGAACGTGAAATATGGGTTCAACTCCGAGTTGAGACCTATTATTAGGGAATCTCGCGGACAAACTTTCTTCGTAAAGAAGAATAGCTATTAATGCATCAAATTTGGTGACTGTTTGACGAAAAGACAGTTTAGCGGATGCTTTACTCAAACAAATTAATGCTTCCATTGATATCTTTTTCATAACTGGTCCACGAATTTGACGATTCGCTACAAAATACCTTTGAAGATAATCGTTGGCAGTCTTACCCATTTGTGTCTTAATTGATGCCATTAAGTTAAGCGTCTGTTGCCATTGAAAGCGATCGATAATGAATTCATTGTTTGGTTGATATGAATACTCGGTATCCAATGATTCGATGACATAAACCATTGCAAAGACTTCAGTCCAAAGTATTTTTTGAGTTTTGTATAAAGTTCTTGGCGTTTGTTGAACTTCTCTCTCCTCAATGTTATTCTCAATTGTGGCCCAAACTGTCGATTTTAAATCAAGTTCTTCGAGTCCGACCGATGGTTGACTATTGCGTGCAACCATAACATTGGTTTCAAGTGCTTGAAGAAGAGAAATCTTCGCTTTGTCGGGCAATTCATTGAGTCCAATGCAACTGCTAATAACCGTAACACCATCGGCACCCAATTGAAGAGTTCCTGAATCAGTCCATTCAATACTTGTTCCGGTGCGGGACATACCTGTCATTGACATTGATGTCAACGACTGAATGAATTGGTGTCTACAGAATAGAGACGACCACTCGAGTAAACGTCTTATAATTAATGTGTCGTTGCATATGACCAGAACTGATGACAAATTTCTCTGTTATAAACAAACAAAACTATTAAATAAATATAAACACTTCAAAACATTTGCATTCAGTTTTTTAAAAATAATAGTTAATAAGAAATTTACCTAATTTTTACAATTATCTGACAAAATATATTACTATTTTATGTTTCAGTTAAATTTAGCTATTCATATATATATTACAATTAGTAAAATGGGAAAAAATGTGTCAGATAATTGTAAGATAATGTAATAATTATAATAAAAATATGATAAATGTTTTAAGATTTTTTATAAATTGTATTGTTTTTAGATAAACAAGTCAACTGTAAGTCAACTCAATTTCTTTTAGATAGTCTTTTAGAAAACACAAATAATTTTTGTAAATAATTTTATATGTATTGTAATTAAAACCTTAGAATAATCATTAAGAGACAACAGATTCAATAATAATCCCAATTTTAGGCGAAAAAATGAACCGATTAGTGATATATTGTCGGCAAATATGAAAGCAAGTGTTAACGCAAAACTATAGTTGGATTGCTGTCGATCTATATATTCAATTAAATTTGTTAAGTAGTTATTACAGTATAGTAATAATATTATATTTAAAGCAAACCTTCATATAAAAGTTGGATTTGTTGTGGAAATTGAGTGAGAAATTGCTTAAATTCATTGTTAAGACCAAACTTATGTTCAGTTGGGAAACAAAACTTATCAAAAGATAGTAAGAAATAGCCAGAAGAAGACTTAGACTTCAAAAGTACAGGTATTTGCAAATGAGATCCATTATAAAGACAGTGAATCTCTGGTAAAGTGAATGCATAATAATTGGCAGTTATTTCTATGGGATTCAGACAACTGTCACCATTAGTTCCAACTCTAGCCTTAAATTGCCTTTTAATGGCATATATTCTGTCGCCTATCGACTCAACATATCTTTCGCTATGATTTTCAAACTTTTCATTTGTTTCATTAAATTGTCTGACAATCCATTTAATCGGTTCGTCGCAATTGCGTTCATCAGTGGCCACCACTTTAGTAGCTATCACTGTCTTCAACGGTTCACTAATTGACACGATTTGAAGACTTTCGAGAGACAAAACTTGAAACGGAAAAGTCATCAAATCTTCGTATTTTTTGACGTGAAATCTGTTGCAAACGTATATTAAAATAGTTGTCAAAAAACAATTGGTGACAAACCTTTGCGGCAAATTCTTCAATTTCAGACACAACCATATCTTACGTCTGCCCAATACTTGGGATCCAATTCGACGCTTAAGACGTTTGTAAAACAAATGCCAAAATTCATCAAAATTTTCAGACAAATATTGACCGAAAAGATCTGAAAAAATTGTAAAAATGTGTTTAAATAACAATTCTTTGTGTGATTTAATCATTTTTGAACCCAAAGATTGTTGTGAAGACTTGAGGAGATAATTGATGTCTAACTGATGACTGAATGCAAACACCAATTGATTGTCATTATTATGCAAAGTGTTTGTCAATATTTGTAAATCTTGAATAAATTTGTTATTTGTTGTCATATAAGTGTTGACCAATTGTTTCATATCATCACCCAATGGATCCATTGTATCACTCAATCACTCATTCAATACGTGTTTTTACATTCATTTAAATACTTTTTTATTACAATTAATAGAAAAATACAATAATTTATATTAATATCAAATAGAATACAATAATTGATTGCAATTGTAATACAAGTCATTCATAAACTCTGTGACATTCGGGTCAATACAAGTCAACCGATAGATATTTAGCATATTTTATGACCCGACAGAGTGACCACTAGTCGGCAAATATTCATAGATATAGTCATACAAGTCATGTCTATTTGAAATACTTTTGCCACAATTGCGGCCATTCGTCGTTCAAATGCATTTGAGAGACGCTATAGAAAGTCATATCATTAGAGCTGATGACTGCAAACAACAATTCATTTGATGAACACATTTGCTTCAGACATATTATGTCATCCATTTGCGCAACTTTTTGATCAGCTCTGGTGACTATCACATGAATATATGGCTCTTTCTCTATTCGTTTGTTACTTTGCTTATATACATCAAGAATATAGTCATACTTCATGCGATCTTTACTTGTATTATAAATAGTTTTTGTTTTGGGACCAAATGACTGCATTAAAGCAAATAAATCAGTTGAAGACATAATAGATCCCAAATCACATAACGGCTTAATATCTTTGTTATACAAAACAAGTGAAGAATTGAGTTCAACTGAACTTTCACTGTATTTAATGTCATAAATGAGTGATTTCTGTGCTTTATTTGTCTCGTTTGACAATTGCTTTTTGGAACTAATTTGTGATAAAAGATGTTTTGGTAACAAATGATTGTTGATTTGTCTTATATTAGTCAACACTTTATTATTAATTATCTCTGAACTCAATTCATATGAATTCAAATCAACATTAAGTCGTTTATAGTCATCAATGTCTGCATCACTTAACTGTCTCTTTAGTGTAGTTATATTACTCTTTTCTTGACTACAATTATCTTGAAGTTGTCTTCTTTTGACAAAATAACCACTTCTTGATAGATAACTATAGATGCGATACAAATCAAATTGAGATTCATTTTGTAAAAACATTTTATACGACTCTTCAATACTAAGAGGAATGTCTTCAAACAATACTTCAAGTGATTGACTTTCCATAAGAAATAATGCTTCAAATGGTTCCAAATATTTGACGGAATCGATGGTTAAACCAATGAATGTATTAATACCTTTGCTTTGTATGACTTCAATGAGTTTCTTATCTGATCTCCAGACACCTCGACTTACATGCAATTTGATCCGCGGTTGACATATCAACTCATTTTTACTGTCAATCTTAATGTTGACATAATTATTGAGATCTTGTAATGAATTGATCTCTTGTTGATTGACTCTTAGGTCTGATTTTTCAAATGGTTTCACTGATTCACTCATTTGTTTAGCCGACAAATGACTGAAAAATTATTGACAACTAATTTCAATATTGTTTACAATATGTGTTGTCATCACGTGATTCACACAATTTATAATACATTTTATTAATACATAGATAATTGTGTTGTAATTGATTCTAATACTAAATATTTTATTTATTAATTTATTTAAATTGATTAATGCTATAAATTATATAGAAATTAAATTATTGTAGAATTTATTTAATTATTAATATATAATACAATGTAAATACTGTATAATATAATACAATATTATGTAAATAGTGTTTTGTAAACCAGTTGTACGAAACTTGTAAATTACAGTACAGTATAGATATAATGCTTTTCTATACATTTTTGACAAACATTTAAACCTAAATAACTTAATTAACATATTTATTGTAATTAACTTATATTTATTTAATATGTCACAAAATAGTTGACAACCTTAACTTATCAATTATAATTTATGTTGATTTTATTAATAGTTTACCGTCAAAACTAATAATAATTAGTACTAATAATAAATTTTAGTAAATCTACAAATTAGTTGTAATTTGTAATACAAACTTTGTATTATTTTTAATAAATATTATATTACGTTACAGTATTAATGCTATTGACTGTATATAAGGTTTACACAGTATATTAAACAGCAATTGAAGCTACAGTTTCATCAATTTCTATGTTTAATGAAATAAATGAAATTCAATAAGACTTATAACTAATTAAAATATTGATTATTTAAAAACATTTTTCAAAAATAATCAAATATTTCAATTAATAATAAGTCTCTTTGAATTTCAGATATAATGTACAGAAAATTATTAATACCACTCATCACCTAATTTGCCAATATTTACAGTAATAATAAATAAATAAATTTAATAACATTTCAATTATTTTGCATTCAATGTAAATAACTTTATTACTAAATATACAGTAACTTATTTTTATGAATTTCATTAAATATTTACTAAAATTATGATAATTATTTATACAATAATAATGAATATTACAAATGATATAAAATGAATAGGTTTCAGATGATTATCAAATCGATATAATAATATAAATATTACATTATTTAATAATACTAATTAACAATTTGTATTTTGTCACAGATTTGTCAAAAAAATATTAAAAAATGAGCACAAATTCGTTTAAATATCTTATTTTAGGCTTTGTTTCACTTATATAATGATCACATTATCGGTGTTTAGGACGGAATCGTATGCATAGATAACTTCTAATACAATAAGTGGTAACAAATTAGATTCAAATAGTCTTTTAGACAATCATTTATTCTTGACTTCAAGAAGTTGTGGATAATTCTCAACAATATTCAGTAGTATTCCATCGATATATGCCCTTAGCTTAACATTGACTTCTTGCTGTTCCTTAAGAGCTACTCTTAACTGTACATCAAATGTTAGGTCTAATGTTTTGTTTGGCAAATCAAATATATCATTACAAACCTGATCTGAATTGTAATTTCCCAATTCTGTAGCTAAACTTGAGGCCACTTCTCCCTGTCGTAAAAGATTTCTTCCCTCTTCTAATCCATTGTTGAGTAGAAGCGCCGAAAGTTCTTCATTAGCCTCTCTAAGTCCTCTATTTTCTTCTTTAAGTTCCTTTAATTGTCTATCAATTTCTGAGTTGTAGAGCATATCGATGTCATCGCTTGAAGACATTGTTCTCGTCTTCTTTGTTTCCACGAGTTTCGGTGCTTTCATATCACATAACTCTTGATTTAAGACTTCAATTAATCTGGAGTTAACATTATTTTCATCTTCACGTTTGTGGACAACATCTCTAAGTTTAGTTATTTCAAGTATTAAGGCCTCGATTTCAATAGTCTTATCATTAATTAGTTCTTCGAGTTCTGTTTTGGCGTTTTGAAGTCTTTCGACAATCGATTTGTAATTTTTCGACTCTTCTTTAGCTTCGAGTAACTCTTGTTGTAAACTATAGATACGATTCAAATACTGTTCGCTCTCTTGAGATCTTTCCCTCTCATGTCTGGCCATTAAATCCCGATATCGATGTTCTTCTTCTTCACGTCGTTCGTCACTTTGAATCTCAATATCTCTCAACTGTTCTTCCAATGAGTGAATCCTAAAGTTAAAGTTATATATATATAGTTTATGACATCGTTTTCATTAATATTAATTATATAATAAATCATTATTTTATTGAAAAAATACTGTATTTAGTGATAAATACTATAATATATTAGACAATTCATATGCATTTCACTACACATAACAATAGATATATTTAATGACAATATGTTTGTAAACGTCAACAAAACTCAATGCATTCAATGAATATAACGAACAAATGGGAGAATCCATTCCTCAGGGTTTCATAGGTTTCATAGGTTTTATCATAACTTGCATTCAATTTGTATTACAATACCAGAGCTTTCATTATTAAAGCACTCAATATTATGACATCAATAGCTATATCGTATAGTACTGTACTTTATATACTATATATCATAGATTTAAAACTATGTTTTCAGATATAATATTAAATACAAAACTTGTATTACTATTAATAACAACACGAATGTAATTAATTGAGACAATTAGTTAAGAAAATCAAATATAAAAAACAAACAAAAAATCAATACTTAGTTAATAGGTTTTGGTTTTCTTGTTTGACACGAGTATATCGGTCTTCATTACTGATCTGTCCCTCAGACAAGTAGTTGACCTGATCTTGTAATGACTGGATCTGTTGCAAGATATACCATTCAAATAACTTCATAGCACTTTATATATTATAAAACATATATTAAAAATATAACAAACTTTTTGCGATAGATTTATAACTCCTTCTTCAAGAGTAATACCATCATTGGTCATATCATCTGATTCACAGCTTAAAGAGCTCATAGGACTCGACCCATTCGTGCCATTGGTTGGACTCATACGGAACAACTCTCTGTTAATACAAAGTCTAAACTTAGTTTTAAGTATAAACAGACAGTTTTAGTCGGATTAAGATTAGGATTAGTATATATATAATGCCAATCAAACACTTGATGATAGATAAGAGCTAACACATGACAGGGTATGTGTTTTAAAGATAACACGAGATTTTAGGATCACATGAAAAGTGTGTTTATTGTTATTTTGACATAAATTCAAATCATTGTATTAAATATAATAATCATTTGAATTGGGGTTAACTATAATTTGCATCAATGGATGGATAGTTGTCTGGTATGTCATTGTATGCCATACTTTGCCTGTTGTTGTGCTGAAGGAGTTGATGTCCTCTTGAAGTTGTGGTGAGATGAGGCCCTTCTGTACATTGTGTTGCTGTCGATATCACTAATTTGGTCACTAAATATCACAATTTATTGTATCATTTAATCAAACAAATGGACGGACACTGGTTTGAGGCGTTAAGTCATAACTAAATCATTGCAAACATACATAACATTGAATATAATAGACTGTAATACATATGACATCAACTAAACTAATACAACAAAACACTTGTTTTCTCTGCAAACAAATCTAACACAAGATGTAAACCTATGTAAACCACCCCTAAGGCTATCCAACCATCAAATACACTGACATTTCCTAACAGTGATACTACTGGTGCCGCCAATACTCCAATTACAGCACACTCACAGTCAGCCCTACCTTCACTAATGAGACGGTGCGCTAAATACCTGTGCCAACAGTTTTCAGTTTTACGGCTATTATTAAAACTTTCATTTAGTGTCCGATTTTGTGACAAAATAAAGTAAAACAACTTTTTAAAAATAAAAACTACCACTTGTTGTCACATACTGTATATGCAATTAATGCACAATTTTTTGCCTATTTATATAAAAAAAATTATTAAATAATAAGTTTTATAATATTTTTTTATATGTAATATATTTAAGTAAAAGTTAATCTAAATATTGAAATTGCTTTGACTTTTGTTTGTCATTACTTTGTAATTATAATAAAGATTAAGTGATTGCAATGTTTCTCGTAATATAATAATGTAAATACATTTTGATATTTGTTTAATGAAAGCATATTTTATTTGCAAATATTTTGTATAATTATTTATATCTCATGACAACTGTTATGGAAAATAAACTAAATTTATATATATTTGACAAAATATTAGGCTTTAAATCATCGATTCTCTAAATTGTGCCAAAAATTCTTTGCGCTTAAGATTCTGAGCGCTTTTATTCTTAAGTTCTTCGATCTCGTCCTCAAACAAACATTTAATTGTTGGTATAATTTGAGGCAATTTGTTGATATCAGACATCCTTATTCTCATATTATCAAAAGCAATGCCCACCTTATCGTTAAATTTTTCACTAAATACAGGAATTTTAGCATATCTTTGGCTAAAATGTGTTAAAATAGTGAACTTTGCGTTCATATTATTTCCCATTTCTATAGCTTCAGATGTGGTGCTATGAAACTTAAGTCTCGCCTCATCGACCAACTGATCCTCCATTGATGCCTCGTGTATGAGTAGATCACAATTTTTTCCGATTTTTGTGAGGTTTACTGTGGGTTGAGTGTCGCCCGAGTATACTATTTTATAATTAGGTTCACTTCTTGTGGTAAATGATAGGCCATAACTATGTGAACAATGAGGAACTAAAGCTGTTTTCAATTCATTAAGTTTTAAAACATTTAACACTTTTTTGTTGATTTCAGTCATAAATGTTTTGCATAAAACAATTTCATAGAGATGTGATATTTTCTCGACGTTGTCGTTATAATTTTGAAACCAATTACTAACTGCGGGCGGAATTAATAACAAAAGTCGTTTATTTGTTAGATATGATCTCTCTTTCATAAGATATAGTATCCCTAAGTGATGATCGGCGTGAAGATGACTCACATAAATTGCTTTTAATTGTTTAAGTTTTGATTCACATTCTTTGCCATAAAATCTAAACAACTGTCCATATGTTCCTTCTCCGCAATCCAATAGCCATGAGGTCTCGGAATCAATGTTTACCCAAATAGCACTCGTGTTTCGCACTTTAGATGGAACGGCAGATCCGGTTCCCAAGAAAATAATTTCAGGATATTCTTTAATTTGAGAAGAATTTTGTTGTTGTATTTGATATAGACTTTTACTTTCCATAAAACTAGTGTTAGCTAAAGCTTCTTCTCTAATACCATTGACATCAATGTTTACCACAGTTTTATCATCAAATCCTTTATCATTAGCAGGTCTTAAATGATATTTCAATAAAGTTTTGGTACTTTTAAATGAGTTTAGCTGTGAATTACGATGTATTTCATTGTTATCAATACAGTGAAGTAATGGAAATATAAAAGAGTCAATTAAATTGAGTTTAATTTGTAGTCGATTTGCGCCGATATAACTCTGGATAGGATTGTCTTCGTTGATGAACAAGTGATTTACTGAATCACCAAAATTTCTCATCCATTGTTGATAATTATTGTCATTGATTACATCATTTGGTGTAAAATGAACAATGAGTGACATTAATTGCAATTCTTCATTTGAAAGACTTTGAAGCAATTCATTTGTAACAATTGAATCAATATAAGCCTTAGTGGGACATTCAATCACAACAAATATGGGTCCATTATCTACCGGTCCCATCACGTCTTGTGAACAAATAACACGATTATCGGGTAAAACAATATCTTCACCTGCTTTTAGTCGGCCCAACAGAGGTCCGGGAGGTATCTTCAGTTCAATACATTTTTTTATTAACAGTTCTCCCGGTCTGTCCTTTAATTTACATAAATATAAAAAAGTTGTTTCATTTAAATCTTTTTCATCTTTCATATCATCATTCATTTCATTTGACATCGATTTATGAATGGCTGAACATTTAACGATAAGATCCGTGTCTTCAAAGTTATAATTTTCATAACTTTTAGTCTCTAACTTCATTCCCGAAAATTTTAAGAAATGATTATAAAAACTCATCATTTGATCGACATTTTGTGGTCCGTGAAGTGTTATGACCGGTAATCCAATGTCTTGAAGAGTTAGAGCCAAACCAATGATTCCGTTCATATTTTCCACACATCTCTTAGTAATGAAAATGTTCTCCAGTTTTGACAATTTGAGTCTAATATTAATATATTATGATTAAGATATCAATTAATTGATTACTTAAATAAATAGCTAATTAATTAATGTCTAACTTGTGTTCATTTGCCAGCCGTTGAGTGCCTTCACCGCAGTTGAAGAGATAGCTGTTGCGATCGGTCGACACATACAGTGCTCGTGGATTACCTTTGGATCCGTTGCCTAAAACAGATAACTGGAAGATACCCGACGGCAACCCATTATTGGACACTCTTTTTGCTTTTCCTGTCCGATGGTCTCTCAGTTTCTGCAATAACTGACTCTTGTCTTTTGGCATGTTTTTGATGTCTAACGATGTGTTAACTGATGAGTACGACAATCGTCTTAACGATTGTTTAACAGTTAAATCAATTAAACCGTTTGTCAAACGTTTCAAACATGTGTTGCAATGAAACACATTTGAAGCCATACTTTGAAGCCATTAGTGATGCAATCGTTTCTATAGTTTATTGATATTAAATACAATATATTGTTATGCAGTCATACAGTAGTAATAGTACTGTAGTATTGACTAAACATTTCATTGAAAGCATGTCTTCAATGAGTTAATGCAACAAAACATACAAACAATTAACATATGATTTGTGTTTTTGTTATTTATTGATATATTTGGATATATTTGGATAAATGTGATAAAAATATAGTGAAATGAGTGACAATAGTAATGAGTTTTACTGTCAGACACTTAAAGGTTGTCGTCATGTGATGGCACCGATGGTGGATCAGTCGGAACTGGCCTTCAGATTATTAGGTCGACTATATTATGGCATTCAATGTTGTTATACACCAATGATTAACGCAAATTCATTCATTAATAATATTAAATATCGTAATCAATGTCTACAAACGTCACCCGAAGACCGACCACTTATTCTTCAGGTATTTATTTGATCTGACATTATATTTACAATTAATCCGTATATTATATCTAAATAAGTTTTGCGCCAATAATACGGAAGTGCTGTTGAAGGCATCAAAGTTGGCAGTCGGTCACTGCGATGCCATTGACATAAACCTTGGTTGTCCCCAAGCCATTGCTAAACGTGGACATTACGGAGCTTTTCTTATGGATGAATGGCATCTAATCTATGATATGAGTAAACTATAGGATATGTTTATTTTCAAAAGTTTCAATCAATCTATTAATTGTACCGTAATATCGATTTATAGTAAGCCGTATATCGAGTGAACTAAAAGTGCCGATAACTTGTAAAATAAGAATATTTGCCGATTTGAACAAAACTATTGATTTCGCAAAAATGTTGGAAAAAGCAGGGGTTTCCATGATTTGTGTAAAATTACAATTTAATAAAATGTTGACAAACATTGTTAACAATTTGTTGATTACCGTTTTTATTGATTGTAGGTTCACGGCCGACGTCGGGAACAAAAAGGACCACAAACTGGTTTGGCTGATTGGACTTATATTAAGGCAATCAAGTGAGTGATTATAAAGACAATTATTGTTGAATTTAACAAATTGTTTATATAATTAGAGAAGCCGTCAAAGTGCCGGTATTTGCCAACGGAAATATCCTTTCATTAAGTGATGTCGAGAAGTGTTTTAATGAGATACCAGTGGAGGCTGTTATGTCAGCTGAAGGTTTACTCCATAATCCGGCCCTTTTCACCGGTAAACCCGTTGCCGTTTGGACGGTTGCCGAACAATATTTAAATCTTGTTAATCAATATCCATGTCCTCTATCATACACGAGGGGACATATATTTAAGTTCTTTCATCACTGCTTTATGTTAGAGTCAAATGAAGATTTGCGAGAAAAAGTAGCGAAAGCCCATACCATCGATGTGTTTGAAAATGTAACTAAAGAATTGAAAAATAGATATGAAAAACAATATAATAGTGAGTCTATAATTAGTAACAATTGGACAGATGGTTCAACTTTGCCTCCATATATATGTCAGCCTTATATTAGACCCGAACCGAAACCAATCATTTCAATGGCAAATAAGAGATCTCCTGAAGACGATAATATTGAGACAGAGAGTAAAAAGCTATCAAAGAAAAAGTTGAAACGTATGAATCGTAGTATCAATCATACAGATCGGGTCAGAGCTGTTAGTAAACGGATTTTATGCACATTATGTCCGAATCCAAAGGCAGAGAAATGTGATTATAATTTTTGCCGATCCTGTTGTCGCAAAAAGACTTTCGAAGAAACCCTTGACTGTACCGGTAATTATAACTTCGTTTATGTTTGAAATTTAATTAATTTATTATTCGCCGTCTTTTAGGTCATAAATTTCAAATGAAAGGTCGACTCATTAAGAAAATGCAAAATAACGATATATTAAATGATAATAATAGTAATAATACATAATTTATTTATTTGAAAACAATAAACATTTTTTGAAATTTACAATCTTTAATGAACTTAATATTAATTTTAATTATATTATTTTGGATTAATAATTATTTTATAAATGATAATTGATTATTGAGAATATAGATGAATAACAGAATAACTACCGTAAATGATAATATATATGCAATAAAATACAGTGTATGCAGTAATTAAATCAATGATACTTTTGTCTTTAATGTTAAATAACTAAAACTGTGTTTTACTGAAATGAAAAAAATGTATTGACTAGTAATACAAATATGTTGAGTAATTTTTGAAAATTAGTATTGATTTAATATAAAAATTGAAAGTTGTTATGAAAATAATTTGAGTACAACTTAACAGTATATGATTTTTAAATTAGTTTTAATTTCAGTTATATTAACAAAACAATAAGTTACATATCCATGTAATTGAAAACGAGGCACAAAAATGAACCTAAATTATATATTTATAATATAGATATATAAATATAAAGTATATTTAAAACTCGGGAAATAAATCTACAAATTATTACAAAATTGAGACAAATATTTTATAGAGTTGAGAGTAAATGTATAACTAATTTGACGATCATATCTTATATTTCAATTTTAATTTGTTAAATGAATGTTATTGTAAATCTAAACAAATGGTATAATATAAATAATATTTAATATTTATATGAAAACTAATTTTATATGAATATCAATATAATTATAAGATTTATATTTTAAAATGTATAATTAAATGTTTTTAAAAACTGAAAGTATACCAACAAAGTATAGATTTATTAATTTACAATAAATTAATAATCAAATGAATCAAATAATAATAATATAGATTATTAATAATAGTATAAAATGTAAATATTAGGTCTCATTATAAGTTTATTTTAAGAATTTTTACATTACTTATAATGTAAACTTTGTTTGATAGTAAAATATAAGATATGGTCGTAAAAGTAGTTATCCGATTAAAAAAATATGCACTAATTTGTGAACTTATTTTCCCGAAAATCATTATATTTTTAAAATATTAGACACTTTTATTTTTTTTAAATTTGTTTCCTATAATTAATAATATTATAACATTAAATCTAATATATATGTATATATAATAATTTATGTGTATATAATATAATTTGATAATAATTTTTAATATATAATTAGTTTTAAAAAATACTGTCTTAATCGAGAATTCGACAGAAAAATGTAAGAATATTTGTTACAATAGATCATATATGATATACATGTCATTTAAAATTATGTTAATATAATTTATAGTTTTATCATATATTTGAGTACAAACCACTATTTGAAAGTGATGTGCGTTTTTAAGTCATTTAATTTATTTATTTTCCAATTTATATATGAATTTATGACAAAACAATTTACGAAATTAAATCAATTATGAAATAAAAATTGAATCAAATCAACGATCGGACACTTTATCGCTGGTTTGGTGTTTGTCCAGCGGTTGCGTTAAGTACTCGATTGCCAGCATTCATGTGCTGTAAGTTATGATTATGATTGTGGTTGTGATGGAGTTGTACTCTACTATTCATTATATTATTATTAGTTGGCATTAGATTTGGTTGAGTGTAAATCAATGGGTTGTTTGAACACGAGTTGGACCTCTCTCTCAGTCCTTTGTTCTCAGCTGTTGTTGACATTTTTGAAAAGGCCAGTAATGTTTCGGGAAAGTTGGGTGGAGTGGCCGGGGTGTTGGCAGGAGTACACATCTGTGTAATCAATAACAAATGTCATCTCATTTTTATCAACAAAAAAAAAACAATAATATAATTTTATATAAATATTATAATTTAATCAAAAGTTCAGAAATTTATAACAATTTTGAGGTCATTTGTAATGTAATAATAAATTTATGTTTCAAAAATTAATATTAATAATACTGTATATAACTGGTTGTTTGCAACTGTTGTATATATATATATATATATATAGTATATTAGAGTATATAATATACTCATCATAAACACTGATCTATACATTAAATCCAGTTTTAAGACTTTTGTAATATCTGTCCAATGCTTTGATTGCTTAATATATTGAAACATATAATATAAACAAATAAATAAATAAACACTAGTTCTGGTGGTCGTTAACCTTATTTACTAATAAACTCATAATTTAGTATAAAAAATAATATCATAATAATAATAACAATAAGTATTATTATATTAAAACCTTATAAATGCTTGTATTTAAATAATCTCATATAAGATAAGACTCATTAACTGAGTTTTATAAATGATAACTACCTGTGTATTAATTTACAACTCATATAAAACATAAGTTTCATTTGCGATATTAATATTACTAAAGAAATTGTTATTAAAAATATGACATACACTGTGTAGTACACATACAGTACATTAGTTTATACAATATTTATACTATAGATTGTATGGTATCGGTTCACTTCAATAAGTTATTTACATTGAATTTTAATTTATAATAAAATTATGGTTTCGTGTAAATTATATAAACATTTCAAATACAACAGTAGTCAATGTATAAGTTATAAAAAGCATACAATGTTTTAAAGGCATAACTAAAATGCATTTATTTTTGTTATGGCTTAGCAAACGTTAAGATCTAGTGTTCAACCATTTCAAGGATAATCAATAAATTCAATAAACATTGAATGTATAGTACATTCATTACAGTCACTATATTGTAATAAATTATTATTAGATATTACTTTTAATAATTTATATTAAATAAAAAATATGCGTTAAATTTGATTCAAATAACTTATTAATGAAAGATAAAGGAAAATGAAAATAAAAAATTAAATTATAATAAAGTCACCACAAAATCAATAAACAAATGACAAATTATTTATAGCATAATTTAAAACAATTGGTATTAATTAAGATAATACTCACAGCATTGAAATGAGGGTTTGAATGACAGGCATTGGACTCCTGGAAGAACATACTTAAAGCCGTCTAAGACATCGAGGAATAGACAACAAAATTTTTAGTATTTAGACAATGGTTGACATATGATATGATTATGAGGCCATACCTCAAACTGCCAGTGCGTCTTCTGAAGTAATTGTATGGCCTGATCGCGGGCACAGCCGGCGGCCAAAACAAACTGATTGATCATCACTTGTTCACGAAGTGAATCCATTGATAAGATATCAATCAATAGTAATGTTTATAACAAAAACTAGGTTTACATTTACTTTAACCGTTAATATGGACTAAATTAGACTATTGATTGTTATATCAGTGACCAAATGTGTTATCAAATTGTCACCAATTAATGTCACCAACAAATCAATATACAAACAGTTGTTGTCTTTGTTTTGATGGCAAAGCAATTGTTTGTAAAAAACCACAACAAATATGTTGTGTTTATAGTGTTATAGTGTTTACAGTGTTTATAACATTAATTCTATTCGTCAATACTGTATATACAGTACTGTATAACACATAATATACTAAACATTGTATACAACAAAAAGCCTAATAATGTTGTCATTCAGTTGTACACCAAAACAATATAAAAACCAAATACTAGACTATAAACACATAACGGGTTCGGTTTGGGTCAGAGTTATAATACTCCAAACGCTTATAAATACATTATATTTGTAGTATTTGTCTAAATTTTATTCAATAAAGTTTAGATTTCAATAGATTTATGTTTTGAAAATATAAATATAATTATTTATTTTCAATGCTTTTATATTTATCTCATCTAATCAATGGTCGGATCGGTTAAAGTGTGATATTATTGCAATGTATTGAAGCATATGTCGAATGTAAACATAAGTATTGCGTTAACACATCACTAATGTGTGCGTCAGAGTCAGCCTTGACTTACAATTGGATCAATCGATTGATTGTCATTACAGTCAAAACAATAACATTATATATACTATACATATATAACGTTACAATATATATGTAATTATTATAAATACAAATTTGATTTAAATTGAAATAAATTTGTTTTAATTAAAAATAATCAATTAATTTACTAAACAATCAAATTTATGCATTAGTTTTGTTATATTGTTTGTGTGATAAAAGCAGACAAATGGTGTGTCATATGCTATATGTATGACTCATACAACAGTTGATGTGTTTTTGTTGACAAATGTATGATATATTGTATGCATTGTTGTTGTTGTCATTTGTTGTCATTTGTTGTCATTTGTTGTCATTTGTTGTCATTTGTTGTCATTTGTTGTCATTTGTTGTCATCTTTGGTCTAAAGGATGGAGTTGTCTGACATGTGGTACAATCAGATGGAGTACATTGAGACGGCTTCGGGCAATAAGGTGTGCCGTCGGTCAGTACTGTGCGGCAGTCAAAACATTATGTTAATGGGAAAGACTATCATTCAGTGTGAATGTATAATACGCGGCGATTTGGCTAATGTTAAGATCGGTAGACATTGTATTGTATGCACCGGTGCTGTCATTAGACCGCCATTCAAGAAGTTTACCAAAGGGTTTGTCACAAATTGTATTTATTTAATAAATTATTTAACTTATTGTCTCTAAAATAGTGTGGCATTTCTTCCGATGACTATCGGCGACAACGTATACATAGGAGAGGACACGATTGTCAACGCGGCGTCTATCGGCTCATATGTATATATCGGCAAAAATTGTGTTATTGGCAGACACTGTGTATTGAAGGACTGTTGTCTTATAGCTGACAATACAGTGCTGCCTCAGGGGACAGTTGTTCCCGCTTTTGCTATATATAGCGGTTCTCCCGGTTTGTTCACTTCAGAACTACCCGAATGCACTCAAGATGTTATGATAGACTTCACTAAAAGTTATTATCAACACTTCAAACCAAAAGCCAATTAGATTTTGTATTTATATTATATTTATTAAAATTTATTATTAAGTATTAAAATATATAACAATTATTTGTTTGGTTTAAACCATTTTGGAATCTTTTGTTGACTTTGACCCGAAACTGACATCTTTTCTGTTATCTTAGACTTAAGACAATCATTCTTTTGTAAGGATTCTTCTGTTTTACTCATTGTTAAAGAGTTTGTTGTTTTAGAGTCAGTTCGTGAATCTTTAGCCAACTTTGCCGCCAATTTGTAAGATGTAATACGATTCTTGAATTCTTCTTTAATGACTAAAGTGCTGGAATCTGATCCAAAGTGAATGAGTGCCGCCGGAACTAAGCCACAACTATATAGTGTTGACTCGGCTTTAAGTCGACATTTAGGAGGAGTAGTGAATAAATAAAAATTATTTGTTTTTACATAATTTGAGGCAATTTTCAAAACACTGGCCACTGTATCGTCGGGTTTAAAGATAGCCTGATATACAAGTTTGTCGTTTGGAAAACAAATGCGAACCACAACTGACTTATATCTTAGCATTCGCTCTCTTTCTCTCTTTTCTCTCATTTGCTTTGTTTCAAACATTTTATGTCTATTTTCCTGTCTTTAAAGTATAAATAAATCAACGATTGATTTAATTATAAACAATATTTAGACAATACTTACTGTTGTTTTTGTAGATCATTGAGAACATAAACCATATCATCTTTAGTTACTTCAAAGAAGTCATCGGGAAATTCAATTTCTTTCATTTTCGGTAAATCAGACATTTCAAAGAGTATGCCGTTATGATTGTCACCCAACTGTGGTGTAAATTGTCTTAATTATCAATTAATCAATAATAATCTATAATATTATTTCATAATATAAACGTTTACACACATAATTGATTTTTTCATTGTCATCATTAACATTATCTTTAGTTTCAACCAAATCGGTCTCCATTATCAATACCTAATGAAATTAACAAAATATTTTAGTTTTTATAGTAAATAAATACAGTATCATATAATTGAATAACATTAAATACAAGCTTTATTAATTGTCATCTTTATAAAATTTTGTTTAGTTAACAAATATAATAAAATTATATCAAAATAAAATCATTTTGACCAGAATAAAATATAGTTAAATTTATTTGAACTTAAAATTAATCACAAATGTCATGAAAAATGCAAACAATTTATGAGTCTATTAAATTGAATCTATAAAAATAAGTCTTGTCATGAAAATGCTGACAATCGTTGAAATGTCTAATAACTCTTCCAATTAATAAATGCCTTCCGTATGCTTCAGCATCAGTACGTTGTCTTGAAATGCCGGCCCTTATCAGCCAATCGACTAATTCATTGCCGCGAAACACTCGATAACTTATTTCATTAACTTTATGTTCAAAAACCAGATCATTAATACAGTTATACTTATGAAAGATATTGAATTGATTGCATATCTCTTTTGTTTCAGATTTAATTGACTCTAACGGCGGCAACAATATCGATGAATTACATGTATAGGATTGGTGTCTAAACAGTATATTTATCCGATGAAATACAGGACTCATTTCTAAACCGAATATAAGGAAAGTGATGACTCCCTGTCCGTAATTTAATAAAATATCCAGAAATTCAAGTTCAATGAATATTCCGGTTGGTCTTTCAGTAATAAGTTTTCCCATTGAAACAGTTAATCCAATTAACATCGACGGTAATAATGTTAACAAAAGAAATATATGTTGAGACAATTGATGAAATTGTAATACATTTTCGTTAATAATGTCATCATTTCGTGAATTTGTTAACAATGGCGTCACTTCATTGGCTTCATCCACGTGTTGACGATATTTGCGAATATTTGAAATACAGCTTTTCCTTCGTGTCTCCGAACAGTTGGCATTTTGACAAAACTCTTTAGTTGTAATAACCGATTCCAATAGGTCTTCCACTTCTACCAATTCATTATCATTTTGTGAATTAGAAGAACCCATAACTGGATTAGAAAACGTGCGAACCCTTCCTCCTCCCCCTCGTCTTAAATTTGGTGTTTGAATCAAATAGTCGGTATCGTTGGTCACTTGATGTTCAGATTCTTGGGTTTCAAACTCGAAATCTTCAGAATTAAGATTCAATGAATTGTATAATAACTTGCTTTTTAAATGTTGTTGAGTAATAAGTCCGACAATTGTTATGATAAGACAACAAATTAAGAGTAATACAGAAATATAAGCTTGACTTTTGCCAAATTCAAAATTTGGATCAATTGTCTTACTATTTGATAAATTAGGTATATATATAACCATTAAAACTAATATCACTGTTACAATTGCTGCCATATATGACATAATTGTGTGAATTTTAATCACATAACATAAGCTCTTCCAATAAAGTAATGCTAATGTAATCGATAGCATTGCTGTCCAAACTCTGGCTGATAATACTCCTCCGACTGCAAACACGTATTGTAAATAATAAATTAGATAAAAATGTTGGATTGAAGTCGAGTTATCCATATATTGCCATAAATAGCCTCCAATGGCAATCATAAGCTGTGAAATGGCTAATGCAATAGTGCACCGATGGGTAAGACTCTGCCATTTCTTACCGCAAATTAATACAAATATAGTCCATAATAAGCAAAAAGCACTGACAAGTCCTGAATAAGTCATGGTTTGTCCCAAATCACTGTGAAATGCAGTGTACGGTAAGCTTGCATTGGCTGACATTCTGATCATATTTGCCGAAACAAACATTAGTGGCGCCGATAAAACGGTAGACATAACCATTCCGGCAGATAGTATTGTCGATGGTATGCCTGAATCATATTGTAGTGCAAACAGAAAAGCTGTTGGCGCTGATGGAAATGTTCCGTAAAGAAACCCAAAATTACTTAATTCTGATGTTTGGTTGTCGTGTGAATCCATTATATTTTGAATAATAACTCGATTAAGAAGTGGTAAAATCAAAATCTTTGTCATCACCAATACTAATGATACCAATAGTATATAAGATGAAGAGGTAAATATCTTTAATTTTCCCACTAATTGAGTGCCCAATAAAAACAGTGCTGTCGCTGAAAACGCGTTGGACATCACATCTAATAGTGGTATCAATAGATCCGGTAGTTTATTACCAAATGTTATGTTCCATACGATTCCCAAAGTAGTCATTAATATTATGGGATTTTTCACAATTTGTTTCATTACATTAATCAATATATTCATAAAGTTATTAATTTGTAATCTCTGTCTTCGTAATTGTTTATCGATTTCAATAATAATAAGACCCAATGGATTGAGAAAAACCAATTGAATCGGTGCTAAAACATAGAGATATCCAGCAAATTGTGGATGAGTTTTGCCATACAATGAAGTCAACAGTGGATATCCTAAAGCAAAGTCATTGCTTTGTGTCGAAAATATGCCGAAGAGACCAGATTTGGTCAGATTTAATGGTTTTGTTAAAACAGCTGTTATGATGACAACCAATACAAAGATCACAGTTTTTGATATTAAAATACTGATCACAAAATACCAGTTTATGTCTGAGAGATCTGAAGTGGACAATGACTTAAATATAAGGGCCGGTAATGCAAAGTAAGTAACAAAAGAGCTCAGACCCGACTCCGATACAGCCGTTAACTCTAAACGACACGACATATAACCCATTAATATTAATATAAAACATTGTAATAAAACTGATGCCAAATCACTGACACCAATCAGTATAGACATATCGTCGGACATCTTTGACAACAATATTCTTCAAGAAATATATGATATGACAAACAAAATGTCTGATTACTACACTTGCGATCACTTATTATATATGATAAGAAAAACGATATCAAATGAAAAATTGTTTGAAATTTAATTAAATACAAGAATTTGTCGATTCATGTAAAGAATGTCAAGAATTTAATAAAATCCAAGAATTTATGGATATATTAATCAATAAATAAAAAGAAGAAATGACACGAAAAGGACAACTGTTTTATTCACGCAATGCTTATAACATTTGGCGCATGTCTTCAATGTCTTCACTGTTTTAATATATTTTCATTGAGTAATAGTATTAATATTGTACTCAAATTGTATTGTATTTTATATGATATATAGCTTTATATTACAATTAATTACAATCAAAGACATCAACACATGTTTGGACAAAACAATGACAAACTTATAGACAACTATAGGATCTAATGGTGACGTTAACCATATAAACGACTCTTCAATCAAATGCTTATTCATTAACAACAAAACAATTGTCAGAAAATGATTCATTCAATTCAATTAAATACAAACTTTCTATTATTTATCATAATATAAGACAATACAAAACATTTAGTCTCACCTCTCAATAGCACTGGTAGTGACACTACAGTAGATGACAATTGATGTATAAGTTATGAGTACTGATGGACAGGGATTAGATGGACTAACAGTTGTTAGCAATTGATTGATTGATTGATTGATTGATTGATTGATTGATTGATTAATTGATTGCTTTGACAAACAAAAACACAAACAAAACATTGTATTAGTAATACCTATAGTAATAGTCATGAGTTTTAATCACAAAAACAATTGAAAATTCAATGCAAACACTAATCACACAATAATTGAATGCAATTTATATGACTCACAGTTGACCCCAAAGTGACCCAAATGTGAGCACAAGTAATGAGACATTCGTTTTGAAAAACTATTATTTATTTATAAATTATAATACATTTATAATTCTATTCGAAAATCAAATGATAGAAACATAGGAATTGCTGACACATTTTGGGCGGAGATTTGACAAACATATGAGTCATTCGATTGGATGTTTGGTTTTGAATGTTTTGAACAGTGAAGTGAAGTGAAGGTCGAATGAATGAATGCATTGATGTATTGATTCAATCATTGAATGCATTAATAGTTTTAACTGTTTGTCTCGTATTTCAAAATCAATTGATAACTAAATTAAGACTCAATTTGTCTGTTAATTGTGTTATTGATTTGTGTGATCACTATTACCACCGATTAACAAGTGATGGCCGACTCTACCGATAGCCGTAGTTCTGGCGATACTGTGATTCAGGTATGAAATATAATGCAACTAATCGTTTGATTGTTAAATTAGTTTTGTTTGACAATCGCTTTGTTTTGTTTGCGAAGAACCAATTGAAGAACCATTTGAAAGACTGGAAGCATTTGGTGGTTAAGTTGTATTCAATACTTATATGGGAGGCGTCAGACATCTATCCGCTGGCCATCGCAAGTGTTGTCTCAACAATATTTCTGTTAGTAATGATTATAATATGACAAATGATTTGATTGACGTTTTTATTAATTGTCACTCATTTAGTCTTATTTGGTATTTGGATACATCTATATTGACCACATTGTCAGTCATAGGAATCGTGGCCACAGTTATGGATTACGGACTGCCGATTGTCAATCACAGTCTATTTAATCCAAACAAATGGTATGTTTAAAACAAATTATTTTCTTTAGTCTATTAATTCAATTATTGAACGATTATCTAAATTTTTATGTCAAAGGAGTGCATCAGATGAGGCAAAATTTGAGACGATATGCACAGAGTTGGTCAACAACTGGACTGTTGTAATCAAAGCTTATAGTCAATGGCAAAACACGAAGAACTCTAACCCGAAGCTCTATTATGCGGTTCTGTTGTCTACTCTATTGAGTGTCAGTTGGATCGGTAATGTTGTCCACAATCTTCTGCTCACTTATCTATTGGTCGTATTTGTGGCGCTCTTTCCGGGACTCAAACACAGAGGACTTATCGATAAATACTTGTCGGTTGCCATGAGTTCTGTTTGTAAACTAAAGCGTAACTAATTTCTCGATTTAACTCTTATTTAATTCACTCAATACTTCACTTTTGTCTCAATTTTTAAAATTATTTATTTCGAGACTAAATTCATTTGTCAAATAACTAGATATTATTCAAGAGATGTTTTATTTAATTTTTATAAGTTTTGTTTAACTAATTGATAGATAAATCAATTAGTTAACTAATTTAATCCAATTTACTTATATATATATACTGTACGTTAATAATTGATTGATTCAAACAAATGTAAAGCCAATTAATTAATGCATGCCTTACGGAGTGTTTCATAAAAAAGTGTCATTTAAAGTATTATATTATTGTATTTAAATGATATTATATTTATAATAAATATTTATTGATTATCTGCTATTTTTATTTCTAAAAAAATATTACAATATAAACGACTTGATTTAAAAGTATACTATCTTTTAAAAACATTGATAAAAGTATCGGTACTGATCTCAATATTACCAACTCTTTTGAGTCGTGCCTTTCCCTCTGCCTGTCGTTTCAATAACTTCTGTCTTCGGGTATCATCGCCTCCGTAAAGATGTTGTGTAACATCTGATCAAACAATGGAAAAATTAGGTAATTATTGTGAAATATATTTTTTAAAAACTAACCCTTTCTGAAGGCTTTGACGTCCTCTCGAGCGATGATCTTATTTCCGATGACCGCTTGAATCTTAATTTTAAATTGTTGTTTCTGCAAATGATCCTTAAGTTTGGTACACATACTTCTACCAACAGATCGGGCTTTAATGGTGTTAACCAAAGTTGACAGTTCATCGACTCGTTTATCATTAAGCAATATATCGAGTTTAACTAATTTAGTACTTTCATAGCCACTGTCCTCGTAATCAAATGAGGCGTAACCCGATGTGACTGACTTTAAAACGTCGTAAAAGTCAACAATAATTTCACTCAAAGGAAATCGATATTGAATTAAAAGCCGACTGTTATCGATATAATAGGAGTTTAATTGTACGCCACGTCTATCGAGACATAGATTATTAACAACATTTAAGTATTGGTCGGGTGTTATGATAGTCCCGGTAGTCATCGGTTCATAATATTCGCTAATTATGTTAACATCTGGTAATTTGGATGCATTAGTTATAACGAGTTCTTCGGCACCAAAAATCTTAATGTTTTTTTCTCCCCTTATTTTAACTATTAAATTACGCTAATATTAGATATTTAAATTCAGTTTAAAAAAACATTTAGCCAAACCTTTATAAGGAACACTGGGAGCTGTGATTACTACCTGTGCATCAAATCTAATATTTAGAATTAGATTTTTAGATAATAATAATAATAATAATAGATATTAAAAATAATTAATAAGACTAACTCATCATCAAGTCGTTGACAAAAGACTTCCATATGAAGTAAACCGAGAAAACCTAATCTAATAAAAAAAAATAAAAACTTTAAATCGATATATAATTCAATTACAATCATTACCGAAACCCATTGCCTAACGCCGGGTGCGACTCTTTCTGTATATCGACCCCATTATCATTAAGTATTAACTTATCAATAGCTCGGGCCATATCATTATAAGCTGACCGTTCGCATGGGTAGACACTGGCAAACACCATAGGTATTGCCTTTTGAATTTGTGTCACACATACAGAGTTATTGTTTGTAATATTATCGGCACTACTTTGCTGTATAATATCTCCGACATTGACATCTGTGTGATCCTGAATATTGGCCTCAATAACACCTACCTGTCCACTATAGAGACAATCAGTAGACACTTCATTTGGGTGTAAAATACCAATTTTTCTTATGGCATATACTTTTTGATTTGAAGATATTGTGATATTATCTCCAACTCTAAGACACCCGTCTATGACTCTAATAAGTAAAATAATTCCTCTAAACTTTTGATGCCATAAATCAAAGATAAGAGCTCTTAGCGGACCATTTGTGTTGGCCTTTGGCGCCGGAATTCTTGAAATTACTTCATTGAGTAGTTGCTCGACACCTGTTCCCAGTTTTGCAGATACTTTCAATATATCACTACTATTAATATCAAACAGTTTGTTCATCTGTTGTGTCACTGAATCTGGATCAGCATTCTTCAGATCAACTTTATTGAGAACAGGTATTAAAGTCAGTTCTGATAGGAGGGCGTAATTGAAGTGTGAGATTGTCTGTGCCTGTACTCCACTGTTGGCGTCCACCAAAATGACAGCTCCTTCACAGGCGGCCACTGATCGCCAAACTTCATAACTGAAGTCCACGTGACCCTTAAGGACATACTGTTATAATGACTATCATTTACCGAAAACACATTACCGGAGTGTCAATCAAATTCAACAAATATGAAGTGTTGTTGTAGTGCCACACCATTGAACAGGTCTGTGCCTTAACAGTGATACCCCTTTCCCTCTCGACATCCAATTTATCCAAATATTGTTTTGCATTTAACTCTTTCGGTATAGTTTTGGTCACTTCAAGCAATCGGTCGGATAAAGTGGTCTTCCCGTGATCGATGTGAGCGATGATACAGAAGTTGCGGACCACATCTGGTGTATAACACTTGAGATCTATCTAAAAGAGTGGTCAAACACAAGACACTATCAAATACTTTGTACTAAAAAGTTTGGTAATAAAATCATTGCAAACAGTCTTCTCTTTGGCCGTTATTTTGCTAATTGGATCCATCTTTGGATCATTTTTTTGGTCTGAAAAGTGATTTAATGATTGATGAATGACTGTCCGAATATTGAATGATATCCGAAGATATTTCGGACATAATTTAAACAACATTTCATCGGATAATAGTTTAATCAGACAATAGTTTTAAAGTTAAATTAAAAACATTATTAGTTTAGATGTTTTGCAAAACATTTTTCATTTAAATTTCAATTTCATATTCAATTTTGGCGTCAAATATAAAGTTATTTATTTCATATCATATTTGAATATATTTTTAATTGATTATCTAAACATATAATTTATAAATTCATATCTATAAGATACTATTTATAAGATTTTAAAATTATTTTCTTCATAAAATTTGAATAAATCTAGTGTTTAAACAAAATGTCTTTAAAACCTATTTGTTTGAAACATTTATTAATAAATATTTAGATTAAAGTTAATTAATTGATACTTTAAAGTTTTATCATTGAGTTTATAACTTTAAAAATAATGATTTATTATTAAGCATTAATCAATTAAATTTTAAGTAAATAATTTAAAAATAATTAATTGTTTACACTAGTAGTTAATAATATTACAGTTATCGGTAATAGTTTGTTACACAATACTGTCTATTATATTAAAATTATATAAATTTTTAGCGCGTTTATAAAAATAGTAATTTTTAAATAATAATTAAATTATTAATTGTATTATTTAATTAACGGTTAATTTAAAAAATCATGTATTATTACACTTTAAATATTTAAAAAAAATAAAATTATTGTTCTCGTGATTTACTGACAAAAATTTAAAATTCAATTTTAAATATTCATTATTACAATCAAAACTGTTTTGCAAATTATTAGAAGAAGTAATTATTCCTCGAGTTTTGTCCATATTTTCTGCATTTTTTAAAATCAAATCACAAGTGAAAAATGAGTAAACACTCAAAGAAGTCGATGAATGTGGACATCGCGACTGCAAAGATTGGGTTCATCGGTGCCGGAAGAATGACCGAATCATTGCTCAATGGTTTTGTCAATTACGGCAAAATAGAGGCCAGTCGTCTTCATGTGGCCGCTCCGACCACCAAAAACTTGGAACGACTCAAACAACAGTATTCAGGCCTTCATATAACCAAAAGAAATTTGGATATCTTTGCCAAATATGGCTGCAATATTGTCTTCATTGCAGTGCACGGCTCAGTGATCCGCAACTGTTACAAACAGGGCGGCGAACGTCCCTTTCCGTTGACCACTAATTTCATTCCCAATATGAAGAAACCACTCTTCATCCTCTCGTTGGTCACGGGTTTCACTCTCAAAGAGATCAGTCAATGCCTTCTGAATCCCGAACATCCGGAGAAGTATTTGATAGAAATGCACAGAATTGTCGTCAACTGTGCGGTGGCTTATGGTCTGGGCATCTGTGCTGTTGATGTGGAACCGGACAGCAAAAAGATTGCCGAACCTATCAGAGGATTGCTGTCAAAAGTGGCAAAATTAGAGTTCGTACCCGAAAGTCAAATGGACGCCGCGTGTGCCGTTTGTGGTGCAGGTCTGGCCTTTAGCTACTATTTCATCGCTGCTATGTCTGACGGCGCCACCAAAATGGGACTCTCCAGAGATATGGCCACAAAGTTCGCCGCAAAGACTGTTCAATCGGCAGCGCAGTCGTTGCTTGAATCGGGAAAGAATCCAACAGAACTTCGTGACGACGTGTGCTCACCGGCCGGTCCGGCTATCTATGGTATCCATGTGCTCGACAAAGCTGATTGTGCTTCAGGTGTGGCCGCAGCCGTCGAAGCCGCACACAAGAGAGCCGCCGAATTGGCCAAAGAAGGAGAAAAATAAACTAAGAGTAGTTAATACAAGACTTAAGACTTTACAATGTTTTCACAATCAATTCAACCCAAAGTCTGTTTCGTTGTATTAAATAGTAATCAAATGTAATAAAAAAAATTTCACTGAATTTGTATTTAAATTTCAATTTTTATATCCATTAAATAAATTGGCAGCAAATGAATTGTTTTAAATAATTTTCATCTAAGTTATGAAATTTATATTACAATAACTTATTGTCAATAAACATGTAATTTTTTAGACAATTTGTAAACATTGTAAACAAATGTAAATATTTAAACAATCTTTTGCTTTGAAAAAATAATCTTTTCTAATGTTGACAATTATAATCTTTTTTATGTAAATAATTATTATTATTAATGCAAATTTAGTATAATATACAGTACAATATATACAGGTAATAGTATATATATGTATAGTACAGTATAGTTTTATATATCTTAAAAATTAAAAACAATTTCATTTGTTTAGTGGCCATTTAAACGGCATTAATAATGCATTTAATAAAATTTAAATAAAATGGCAATTAATAATATATAGAATTTCATTGAATTATTAAAACAACCCATTTTGTGTTTTCACAAAATACTTGATTTAAAATCAATTTAAATAAATGACAATTTTTCTACACTATTATTACGGGTACACACAATAATATTAAGTGATAACATATTTAATAATTATAATAATAATATATACTTATTCTATTGAATTTTTAGCTACAATTTAATTATTAATAGCGTTAAACTTATTGAATGGTTAATGAATCAAATCAATGAGTGAAAGTGAATAGCCTTTTAGCTATTGTATCGTAATATAACATAAATTTAGTACAATATTATTAATAATACAAATAATAGGATAGCATTTCATTATTGAAAAACTAATTGATTCATAAACAAAACATTCAAAGCATTTTCATAATAATATACATTAAAATATATAATAAGTGATGCATTCATTATATATAATGTTGGATTGTTGTCATTAGTTAATACATTTAACTCCAGTTATATTTATAATTGTTAGCTCCTGTTCCCGAATTTTTGTGAGACTGAGATATAGATCTCTGTCCTGCAACTCCCGGCCCACTTGTCTGCGAGACATCGTTTTGAAGCGATGACATAGTGTGTAAAGACATGGCTTGTTGTGAATGAGGTAACACATAGGGAGCGCCGTATGTCGACGACATATTGCCCGCTGATTGTGTTCCGGCTGTCAGATTGAAGGCAGGGGTTGCCGTTTGAAAGCCCTGTTTATCATAACTCTGTAAATATATACATTTTATTATAATTATTATATAAATTAATAATAATTAAGTAATACTTTATTTATTTGCGAATGTGATTTGCCATAAATAGATGTATTTCCAGAGGTCAAGTCCGATGCATTGGAACCACTCATGCCTTTGTTGTGTTGTTGCACTGATTGTGGATAACTTTGTTTAACATAATCCTGGTTTTGAGCCACACCTGAAATGGAATCGTATCCAGAATTGTAAGAATGAGATCCATATGTAGTGCTAGCCTTAGCAAAAGCATTGCCACCTGAGCCGGTACCCTGATGTTGAGCCACAGGATAAAGGGGACCGGCAGTGGGATAAATGCTCTGTGCGGGCATCATATTAATGCCAGGCGCTAAATAAAACCCATATCCCGGTGGAAAAGTGTTAACAAACGTCTGATTGTGTGAAACGCCCGTTTGACTCGTCGATACCGGTATTACTTCATTTTCAGATCCGCGACCGTACTTCACATCTATATCACAATATAGGAATAAACTATATATTATAATATTCTTTCAATTTTTTTAAATCAAATCCTATACCTTGTGTGCCGTACGGACCAAAATTGTGTTCGCGAGCCGTCGGTTGAAATTGTAAGTCATAAGGAATACCCATCGGATAAATAGGAACTCCTGTGTTCTGAACAATATAAGGAGTACTTAACACAGGAGTAGCGGCAACACCGGGAGGAACATTATGGACACCTTTTCCAGCTATAAATAATTATAATTATTATTTCATTACTTTATCAATATTAACAAAATTAAAAGACTTACTCGCAGACAATGTATTTTTCAAGACATTTGTGGTAACCGTAGAATTAATCATTCCTAAACTACCGACAGAATTGTTGGTCACATCATATTGTTTTTGTTGTGGATTCGTATCCATATCTCTTAACTTTTGATTGGAACTATTGGATGTATTGCCAATTGCTGTACCAGAGAAGTTTGTTGAATAATTGCCATAAGATTGACTGTTTGTGTAGGGATAAGTTGAAGAACTGGTCGTTGAATAGCTTGAGTTATAGGTATTATCTGATGAATATGTGGTCTTATAATTTGAGGTAATGTCTGTCGAGCTAACGGTCTGTTGCGGCGAAACAGAGGAATAATCAGATTTGTTGGTTCGGTCGAGTACTTTGTGCGCATACTGTCCAACACTTGACTTGTTGTGATCAAGTAGTGTATCGCCAGTAAGTGATTGATGTCCGAGCACTGAGTTCTGTATGATTGAAGAAGAAACCACTTTATTGGCGGAATCGTTGATATTTGTGTTGGAGGGTCGGTATGTATTATCAGTAGACTGTGTTAAGATGGAACTGCTCGACAGTGAATTAGTTTCGGACTTTTTCTGTTTATTCACATGACTGACTGCTTCTTGGAATACGGCGTTAGTATCAGAACTCAATGAAAACTGGTTACTATCGGAACCAAACTCAAGACTTCCAAAATGGACACCCAATGCGGCAATAGTATCGTTTGATGGCATCTCGACAGCTGATTCTGGTATTTTTGAAGGTCTCGTTTGTTTTATTCGCGCCGTCTTATTGGTCATAGAAATGTTTTGAGGGTTAGTCAGTGAATCTAAATCCCGTTCATTAGTGGACAATAAATCAGAATTATTATTGTTGTAATTAGATGAAGAAGTCAGTCCAACGAGTGATTTTATGCTTTCAGTCGCCTGTTTATTATAATGTGAGAACTGATTCAAAGATGATGTTTGACCAGCATTTGACTGTTGTATTTGCTGAAGAAGTGTTTGACCGGCGGCTACGTTCGCATTACGCGATATGTTTGCCGATAATAATGAACTCATTGATTGTTGATTAGAATCAACGCTTGATTTCGGCATAAATTGCGTTAAATTAGGATTTTGGTTGTTTTGAGACAATTTCGATGACATTTTGTCTCTCACTTCTATCTCTTCCTTTTCAGATATCTTAGTGCTCGGAGTAAACACTTTGGTCTCCATGTGCTATACAAGTCAATGAAAAATTTATTATAGATAACATAAGATATGCCGGTAATAGCAAAATGACTTACATTTGGATCCCAATCCTCTTCACTCCAGTCTTCATTAGTCGCAATGTCAGACCAGTTGCCGACAGTCATTGTATTAACAGTTAAATTGGCTTTATTTGACGTTTCATCAGCGGTACTATTGGTCCACGTGTCTATGGAGTTAGGAAATCCATCGTTGCCCTGTAAACCACGGTTTTGAAAGGTACGTGACCCCCGACCTGAACCACTGAAAGCTCCTCTATTGCCGCCTCCCCGACCTGAACCGCGTCCACGACCTCTCCTTTCATTTCGTTTAGGAGGCGCAGACATGTCTGATAAAGACCTATTTGTTGGTTGTTGTGAACTATTAAACACACCGATACTTTGGTCATCCGATGGTTGTCTATCACCAGAATTTCTGTTTTCCTTAAATCCCGGTCTTCCTCGTTGACCTTTGAATGCCAAAGCTTTCTGTAATCTCGGAGGTCCTCCTCCGCGACCACCACCGACTCGATTGGATTTACTTTCTGATCGATTGTTCGATTGCTTGGCGTCTCTGTTGTCCGATTTATTATCACGACTGTGGTCTGGCTTATGATTTTCATCATTTGCGGAATTGGCTGCACTTTTGGGAGGTTTCTTCTTTTTGCCGGTCGATCGCCACTCAGTGTCGAGACTATCGCCTTCTAGTATCATATCAACTGCTTTGGAGACATCGTTATCGCAGTCATGAAGTGCTACCACAGCGTCATCACGTGAAGCACCCGTCAACTCAACTATTTGATCAATTTTGGCCTTAATATCGTTGTCATCCATCTTGTCATTCATCAGATTTGCTATACGGATCTGTTCTGCCGTTGGCTATTAAATTAATAAAAATTAAAACATTAATAAAATCTTATAATAAAATAACATTAATTCAATAAATACCTGTAATTTGTGATCAACTTTTTGTTTATCAGAAGTATGGTTACTCTGATTATTATCATTAGAGGCGGTACTGTTGACCACATGATTGCTTTTATTTGATTGACTTTTTTTGTCTTTATTTTGCCGCCGCTGTTGACCACCAGCGGCCGTAACACTTCCGATAATTGAAGTCATGGTTTGATTTGATACCAAATCACTTATTTAGACGATGTCTTCGTTAATAGAAATACACTGATCTCTCGATTTATTTACAATCAAATGCCAACACTTTGTTGTCAGTTATGTACAAAAAAGCCAAACCTTATTAAAGACAACAATATTTTTGGTTAATTAACAGTTAATAGCATTCAAATAATTAATGAAATCATTATTAATTAAATGAAAATTAAGCAAAAAATTAAATCAAACGTTTAGTCATTGATTGACTCAAATGTTGTGTAAATGCAAAATGAAATGCATTTTACATTTGATTGCATTGAAAATGCATTGAAATTACATTGAATTCAATGAATGAAATGCGCGTCACTTAACAAACAAAGGCATTCAATATAACATATAATACATAACACACTCAACACACACACCGACACTCAACACACACACTACACATACCGGTGCCACACACCTGACCATTACTGACCATTAGTATGACACCCGATATGACTATTATCGTCAATGACTGTCAATATAATTAAATGTAAACATAATTACCATTTGAATAAACAATTTACAAATTGAGCCAAACTGTGAACACTTGTCGCACACCAACACAACACTAATTACGTGTCAAATATATGAGTCAATTGAATGCAACCAATCATTTGTATGCATTAGACTAGTGTTGTATTTAACTTAAACAGTGATGCAGTTTAAGTGACTCATCAATTGAGTTGTTATGAGAGTCAATACTCAGTCACTCATAGACTCATTGATTGAATGCAAAACACTATTAGGTTTTGACATTCAAATCAAGACTTGAGATGACATTCGTGTCCATTGATTGACTGTTATGAGTGATCCAAGAAGTGATTCGAGTGAAGACATCTCGATATATGAAACACCCGTCACATCGCCAGTCAATGAGTCGCTGATTGATTCGTCTCTTTTTGACAGTCAGTCCGTCGATCTGTTGGACTCATTGCGCGCTTCGGCCGCCACTGACTCGACAATCCGTCCATCTCTTTATAATTTATATAGCAATACATTAAACGAGTCGTCAATGTGGCAGACAAGACAAATGGTGACCTCAAATGATCGGTTGGACACAAATCGGTTGACCGGTTATCAGCTGTTAATGAGATATCTGATGGAACTGGAGAACGACCACTTGGAAGTGATTGGCATTGAACAACAAATGCAAACATTGAGTCTTAAGTGTCGCACAATTAGGGAAAATATGACCACAAAAACCAATTCAATTAAAACTATTATCACTGAAATGTCATACAAACCGAAACAAACTACACAAAAGCAAACACAAACTGAAGATATCAGTGATTATGAAATTAGTTTACAAAACTGTTTATCTAATAATAAAACAATTGACACAAAACCAATCATTTCGGTGATATCTTCAGCATCTGAACGTAAAATTCGTGTTAAGAGTGATTCTCAATCGGAAAGTCAATTGTCTTCAATACAGTCTCTTAGAGTAAATGCACACAACTTTTAGTTTTAAGACATATTTAATAATCAATTATTTTTGGCATTTTATTAGGGATTATCCGAACGTACGAAACAATCCTTACATCGCTTACCCGCTCTGGTCAAAGGTTATCTTACCCGAAGACTTATGAAAACAGAAAAAGTTTTACAAATTATCGAAACAATCAAAGAGACGACACAACTGCTGACCACTTATCGCAATTTATCAACGAATAGAAAGATTACCGCCGAAGATATTAGTTTACACAAGAGATTGATTATTCAATTAGAGAACAGTTGTCATGACTTTTATGATATATTCTTTAATTATCCCAAATCGGCACAAATGGCACTAATTAGTCAATCGCGACAACACATTCTCGATCGACATTTCCGTATGTCATCTGTTTTATCAAATTCTACGAATAAATCTCAACAGAGCTTTCGTGTGTCTTCAGTGACTAAAAAAGTTTTGGAAAGAAAGACAAAAAAGATGAAAACAGACTCTATTTCTTCAAAATCAAGTTCTGCTCACAAATAGTATTATAATTCAAAGTATGGTATGTTTTATGGTTACCGGTAACAATAAATATCGGTAATAAAGAAATTATCGGATCTTAATCGTCAACTAAATTTTATTTACCGGTAATTTTATTCAATACATATCAACATTTTGTGCCAATCGATCTCAAAGCAAAAAATAACTCAAATTTGAAAATAGTATTTTTATAAATAATTTTTTTATAATATTGATTTTGATTATAATTATAATTTATTATATATATTTATAACTCCAATATTTGATATTATATAATATATTTAGTAACAAACTTTATATTGTATTTTATACCTATATTTGTGATTTTATTTCAATAAATTAACATTACATTAATATTTTATTTAATGAATAATAGAATATTTTTAAAAATATACTATCGGTAAATATATTACAACTATTATGGATATACTGTACTTAATATCTCTGTTTTAAGATATCTAAAATTTATGAGATTATTTGCAATTAACTTTATATTGTATACAGTGTGTATGTATGTAATTTATTTATTATTGATTATACAGTAATTTAAAGTGCGTTACCAACAAAATCTCATTTTAAAATAATTTATTTTGATCATCAATAAAAATTTTAAAACTAATAATAAAACTTTCAGATACAGTAGTATTAAATTAAGTGAAAAACTAAACAAAAGTGAAATTGTTGGCTACTATGCAATTGATTTAGTTTTTAAATAAGATCGAGTGAGTGAGTGAGTGAGTATATATATATATATATATATATATATATATATAGGAGTGATTGAGTGAGTAAGAAATAAAGAAGAGAGAGAGAGATTTGAAGTTATTTGTTATATAGTGTTTGGTTTTAAAGATGCATTGAATCGGTTAGTATTGATAAGGTATCCCATAATAGAAATAATTGAATGTTTCTTTTGCAATATGTTTGGTATGTCTTTGCCATCTCCTAATAGTTGTAGTGTTTGGCGCTTTGAAAATCAGGTTCATTTGGACGGACAGTGCCTAAAGCTATATAATTTAGTAGTGCCAGTGGGCTCAGGTAGAGTCAGGCAGTCAGGCTCTACAGCTTTTATCTAAGCTGTCATTTAAGCAATGTTAGAGTCTGTAGAGTGAGGTCGTCATCGATGAGGCACTTCTTTTCACAGGTAGATATCCTTTATAACACTTCACTACAGAGCACAGCCATCCAACCAATGCCTTTCCCCTTAAGATTCGGTGCCTTTTAGCTGACTTTGCATTTCTTACATCAATTCACAATATGGTCGGCGCTTAGAGCTGTACCTCATATTAGGGTTTTTGCAGTTTTGAAAATTTGCAAAAATATAAATATGATTTTATACTATTAATTATTTCCTAATATAACAAACTATATAAACATTTAGTATCAATGTTTTGTTTTGACAATTAAGTGTCTCATTTGTTTAACACCTGATTTGTGTTACAATAACTTTAGTGAATAGTAATACAAGTGAAACTATTGTGTGATTATAGTGATGGCAACTGCTGTCGGACTTTCAAAAGTATTTATTTTAGACAAATATTTTACTGAGGTTTGTCTTAAAACAATATTTTATTTTCTCAACAATAATTGTATTATTTTGTAAATACTTACTTGTCTTTTACTAATAATTAGTTAACAAAGTATTGGCAAACTGAACGACAACTTCAAGGTATGAAAATTATTACTATTAAGTAATTTATATTTAAAAAACTTATCAAAACTTATCAAAACTTATTACTTAATTATACAGTAGATATTCAAATATAGCTACACTAGTAATATATTGATACTATATATAAATTTATATAAATATTAATATTTAAGTTTTATTTTTATATTGTTAAGTTAATAATTTATTTTCTATTATTTAAACTCAAATTAATATTCAAAGTTTCTATAATAAATTTATATAAATAAGCTCACGATTTATTTTTTATATCATATAATCTATTGAATATATATAATATTAGTGTTTAAAGATGTGATAATTTAATTTTATATCATTAGCTGATAATAAAGTATAAAATAAATAAATTTAAAAATATATATTTATTGATCAGATGCCACATCCAATGAAGCCGTTCATCTTCAGCAACAACTTAAAAACTTAAGTTCAGAGTTGGTTACACTACGGACCAGATTAAGGATATCACCGGTTGAACCAAATGGCAATCCTAATGAGCGTATGTATTGTAAATGTTTATCTTAACTATTAATATTATAATAAATATGGGTAAATTATTGTATTAATATTAATATTATATAACATTTTAATTTATAATAATTTTAGTTATTTAAAAAATTAATTAAAAAATAAGCTAACTTTAATTTTTTTATTGTTAAAAGTAATACAGTATAAACAAAGTAGAATTACAGTATAAAATTTTATAGGTATAAGATTTAATAATTTACTCTCTAATAGTGTTTATACAATACATAGTTATATGAATAAAGGAAAGACTGCAAAAACTAGATTTTACCAAATATTATACTTCAAATATGACATAATAAATATATAAATTATTTATAATTTATAAATAAAAATTCATTGAAAATTCATTAATAGAGGCATTAAAGCCCTGTTCGCCATCAATGGGCAGTAAAACTCGGAAACAGGAATACACTTATAATGAAGTCAATGATTTGATACACTTATTGGGTCCGCTGACTGAAGATTCACTGCTTCGGGCACTTCACTCCAGGTTTATGGCCAATCAATATTATGTGAGTTTATATTATTTATTATATATATTTTTAATATCATATTTGTTGACTCATTATATTTTTGTTAATTAACAATTTTAGAAAAATTTTGCTTGTGATTAAATATTTGCTTGCTTAGCCTAATATGATTAATAACATAAAATCTTATTATTTAATTAAAAATATTGATTATACTCTTTATTATGTTTAAAATTTATAAATCTTATTTACAATATTTGAGAATAACTCATCAATTTTATTGGCAACTTTAAATTTTATTACCGGTAAAAAATATAATTTTAAATGTTACCCGAATACTCTATTTAATGCATTATACTGTTTGCATACAAAATATAAATTGTATAAGTAATTAAATTTTTTAGTATCACTAAATTTTTGTTTATTTTCGCATTTATTTAAATATAGAAATAAAATTATTATTATTTTTTCATGATTTAAATCATTTTTAAATATCTAAACAAAACAAAAATATAATACTTGTCTTTTGATAGATTGTCATTTCTTATAATTGTAAAGACAATAAAAAATATTATTTTGCATTTATAGACAAATGTTGGACCTGTTTTGTTGTCAATAAATCACTTAAAGGACAGGAGATCCGCTTTGACATTAAACAGCACTCATATGGAGGCTCTTGAATGCACACAATTATTACGAATAGTTCACGAAGCGGTCCGTCAGCACAATGAGACCGGTTATCCACAGGCTATCATCTTAAGGTATCAACACATCTGTCACTTGTATTGATTTTTTTTATTAAACTAGAATTGATTTTATCATAACTTTCAGTGGAGTGAGTGGCAGTGGAAAGACATACTCATCAATGATTATATTGAGACAACTATTTAATGTTGCGGGCGGTGGACCCGAAACGGACACATTTAAGCACTTGACCGCCACTTTCACAGTATTAAGAAGTCTAGAAAGTGCTAAAACTCAACTTAATTCTGAATCTAGTCGTTTGGTGAGTTGGGATCAGTTTGCTTATCAAACAATCTCTGATAATTTATCTCTAATTTATTAAATGAAACTCATTTATCAAATTAGGGACATTTTATTGAAGTTCAAGTGACTGATGGGGCTCTTTATCGGACAAAAATTCATTGCTATTTTCTCGATCAGGTTTTTTTATATTAATTTTTAAAACTATTTATTTTATTAATTGTTTTAAATGTTTATCTATGAATTTCAAATGATAGTCAAGAGTTGTTAAAACATTGCCAAATGAAAAAAATTATCATATCTTTTATCAAATGTTGGCCGGTTTGACACCAGATGAGAGAAGTATAGACTTATTAATAACAGAATTGTATATTAAAATTAACAAAATATATAAAATTTATTTTATATATTCAATTTGATAGCAAAACTCAATTTAGACGGAATGACAGTTGAATCGCTTCAGTATTTAAATAAAGGAAATATTGACTGTAATGATGAAGAGGATGCCATCAGATTTGAGGCCTGGAAAGTATGCTATTATTTATATTAAATTATTTTAATATCAATTAATGTTATCATATCATTGTTAATGTTAATTGATTTACAATATAAACCATTTGTTAGTCATGTTTGTCAGTGTTGGGCATACCATTCTTGGATGTGGTCCGTGTTTTGGCTGCCGTCCTATTGTTAGGAAATATAACATTTAATGAAAATCAAAACCCAATCGATTCAAACAATGATTGTAAACATAGTTTTAGTAATGAAGTGAAAGCTGTGGCATCACTTCTAGGAGTTTCCAGTGTTTCTCTTTATAGAGGATTCACCACAAGAACTCAACAAAATAGAGGACAATTACTGAAGTCTCATCGCGACTCTCAAAGTGTATGTCGTTTTTTGGTTAATTTGTTTGCAAATTATATTATAAATGAATGTTTAAAATTGATGTAATCATAGGCATCGGCCACAAGAGACGCATTTGCCAAAGCACTGTACTGTCGAACTGTGGCTACAATTATAAGAAGAGCCAATAGTTCCAAACGAATTGGTTCTTCTTGTGGTACAATCAGTTCTGATAGCAACGAATCTATTCATAATCACACTGAGACAGGAAGTCATCACACATCCAGTATTGGTATTAATATATAATTAACTTTATATTTATCATAATATTGTTTGACTTAAACTTTGTATTAATTAATATGTAATGTTAGGATCAAATGGTGCCAAATCACATAAATCAATGAATGTACTCAATTCTGCTGTAAGACATGCAACCGATGGCTTCATTGGTATCTTAGATATGTTTGGCTTCGAAGACGCAAAAGTAATACCTATTTGTCTTATTGTTTAAATATACTAATATTTTAATTGGTTTGTCTACAGCCCAGCCATTTGGAACAGTTGTGTATCAATCTATGCTCTGAAACAATGCAACACTTCTATAACACACATATATTTAAATCAAGTATCGAGTCGTGTCGTGAGGAAGGAGTCAAATCTGATATTGAGATCGATTACGTGGATAACGTTCCCTGCATTGACTTTATATCATCTTTGGTATTAAAGACATTGTATTTGTTTTTAATGATTTCTAATGATATGTTCATTATATTTCTCAATCACAGAGAACTGGTTTATTCAGTCTATTAGACGCCGAGTGCTCATTGAAGGGAACACCTGTAGCATACGTTCAGAAGATCAAAGCACAGCATTTGTCAAACAGTCGATACTTTGAAGTTCCGATAAATAGGGATAAGTCAACAGCAGATCAATTACAACAAATGTCTCGACAGTTCGGTATAAGACATTATGCCGGAAATGTGACTTATAATACAATCAACTTTTTGGAGTCCAATTCCGATCGACTCAGCGATGATGTCATCTCTATATTTCACAAGTCTTTGTGTACCTTTGGTTTTGTCAGTCATTTGTTTGGAGTTGAGCTGAAACTACTTTATAATAAGGAAACAGTTCCCAGAGGTCTAAACTTTAGGATAGCGCCGACGGCACACGTGGACATACAGAATGGATTCAATCCGGTGACTACTTTGACACAAGATTTTCACACAAGACTTGACAATTTGTTAAGAACTTTAGTACACGCGAGACCTCATTTTATTAGATGTATTAAAGTAAGTATTTTTAATATATTTAATTTAATTTAATTAATTAATTAATTATATCATATAATAATAATCATATTTAATAATAATTAATTTAATAAATTCAATTTGATAAACATTTGATTAATTAAATAAAATTTTTTTGTGCAATACTAGGCCAATGACACGGAGCAACCAAACTATTTTGATAGAGGAGCTGTGGTCAGACAAATACGGGCCCTTCAAGTGTTGGAAACGGTTAACTTGATGGCCGGTGGTCTACCACATCGCATGAGATTCAAAGCTTTCAATTCAAGATACAGACTTTTGGCGCCATTCAAGTTGCTTAAGAGAGTCGAAGACAAAGCTATTGAAGATTGCAAAGTATATACAAATTAATTAAATAATTATATTATTATTAGTTTTATTATGACTAACATGTTTAACATGTTGTTAATATAATTTTATTATAGTTAATATTGGATTGTTTTATTAAAAACCAAAAAACAATTGATCCGGTATCGGGCGCCTCCACCACTTGGGCTCTCGGAAAAAGACATATATTTCTGAGTGAAGGCGCCCGACAGCAGTTGGAAATGTTGCGAAATGAGCGCCGAATGATGTCTGCTGTCCTAATTCAGTCCACTTGGAAAGGCTGGAACTTCAGGCGCCGGTGGCCTCTCATAAGACAAAGTCTTTTAATGCAAAATGTTTCATCAAAAGTTACCGCCAATACTACTGTAAATACTATGTCATCGAAACCTCGACCACTTCCTATCACCGGAACTCCGCCGCCATTCGGGACGTGTCCGCAACAAAATAAGTTGAAATCCATTGAAATTTGCGATCAAAATGTCATACAAGAAACGTGTACTCTATTTGGTATTGATTTGGTATGTTTTATATATTTTTATTGATACTATATTTATTTGTTAGTAGTATTTATTGTAATTGATGAAACTATTGTTGATATATAATTTGCAGAATATACCACCTCCTGTTCCTCCAAGTCGTTCCTATACCATAACTGGAAATGCAAAATTAGGATATCCACAAACTAGAGTCATGAAAATGGACTATCCGGGTATTATTTAATTATTCAAATAAATATCCATTTATAATAATTTGTTGATCACTGATGAAATTGCAGAGTCTGGTCCTAAAATGCAATTAGAAAAAGGCCAGAGAGTGACAGTAGTGGGCGCCTCAACAAAACGGGGACACCTATTGGTTGATAACAGTGGCATCACTTTAACAGTTCCCTATCAGTTCCTCGTGTTGATCCCAACCACTAATCGTAAACTAAAGGGATCGGTTGCTCAATCAGATACATGTGGTGTTAATATATAACTTATTTGATAACTTTTTTTACTGTTAATTATTAATACTATACAGTAGTACAGTATATAAATACTCATATAAATCATAGGAAACCTATATTTAAGTGCAATAAAATTTTTATTACTTTATATATAATATTAATTATGTATTTACTATTTAATTAAAAACAAAATCGTTTCATTCATTCATAATTCAATATATTATTTATTTCTTATCTATAATTTAAATAAATATTATTATTTATATTTATATATTTTTAACAAACATTATACAGTATTCATATCATTTGGGGTAAAATATAATTAAAGCGATTGGTTTATATCAACTTTTTTTTATTGTTTATTATAAATTAAATGTTTTTATGAATTTACACAAACAGTGTTGATATATCTAAGAAATGTAAATAAATAAATATATATTTGATTTTCATTGCCTAATAAAGAAGTGAATCCGTTTTTTTTATAAAAACAACTTGTATTCAAATAATTTGAACCAATTTTATTAGAAATATGGGTCATATTATATAAATTATTATTATTATTATTATTTGTTTATTTCTTTCTTTTGCTTTTTAATACAAACGAAAAATATAATAATTTCTTTTCTTTTTTTTTTTGAAATAAAAAAAATGTTTTTATATCTAAAAATTTGGCACAAAATTCATGTCTAATATATTTTTATCAAAATTAAATGAAAACTTATTTATATTTTCTTGGTTTACAAGTTATTTGATATGTTTGTGTCCTATAGACTGTGAAGTATTTTAGAAATGTTTATATATAAAGTGTCATGGTAGATTTGTTAATTATAAATTAAACCTAGATTCAATTATTTCAATATCTAAATATAGCTAATTAATACTATAATATACTTTTAATACATGTTAATAAATTTAATAATAATAATTGTATTTAATTTAAAACTATTTTACAACAATTATTACATTATTGTTCAAAAACTACTGTTAAATAAAATCAAATGAGGAAAATATTTGATAAAATAAATGTTTAAGTAATTTATTTACTCGTTAGTCAATTATTTAATAATTATTAACTTGTATTATACAGTAGTGTATATAAGTTAATATACAGTACATTGTAATGTATTGTAAATCAAATCAAATCAAACAATATAAAAGATGCAAACTTTATGCAAACTTATGTTCATTAAGTGCTTTATGTTCATACTATACAATGTGCACAATATGTATACATATGTATAATACTGTATAACATAACATATGATATGTCTATGAATTGACAGCAATAGTAGAGTACATGTAATGACCAGAAATTGAGACTTAAATGTTTGTAATGAGTGTTTAGTTTAGTATAACTCAAGTGTTGGACAGTTTAGCGCTAAAACAGTTACCAATCGAGTGAATGGACTCTCAATGGAGTCAATGTTAAACAACTCAATGGACTCGTACTGTAGTGAAGCCAATGGAGAGCTAATGCATAGCAAACGTCACAACATTTGTGTTGTTTTGTTTGCTATAACTATGAGACTCACGCCTATTGACTGTTATGTTTGGGTTTACTGTATTCAATGCATACGTGTTTATTGTACTATAAGTTACAGTCAGTACTGTCTATATGTGTAATGTAATGGTTAAGCAAATGGCGGATTAAAATACCACAACAAATACAGATATCATTTGATTTGAAAAGACTGTTACGACCATTGATTTAATATTGATTTACTACTTAATTATCATGTCATCGATGGCCAGTTGTGGTGATGTTAGTGTCTGATTGTGTGACAAAACAATGAGGAATCTGTCGATTCAAATGACAGATCACACCAACAATGGTATGCATTATATGATAATATAGTTTACTGTATATTATATACTCTATAACTATAACATTATTATTATTATTATAACGATTGTAACAATTTTAATGATAATCAACAAAATAATTCAATACATGTGTAGTGTTTCCATACATATGTTTGTTATCATCTAATCATATAATAGTTGATAACATTTATAACACTTTATTATTAAAAGCAATTAGTTTTCATTACGTGCTCTCAAACACACATCAATTGTATTAATGAATTAATTTTAAAATGAATGTCAACTTATTATTAAATATTTAGTATTTTTATTATTATTTTTTAATATTATTTATTACACTTTATAATTGCTTAATGAATGCTAAGCTATGCCAATACATAATGACTTTTAAAAATGCATACAATTTTGAGTTAATTTTATTCATTGATTTAATGTTTTATTCACTATATTTGCTTTAATTTGAATTTTGATTGTATATTGAATTAAATAACAAGTTTAATACATGACATATCATATATATTTATGAGTTAAAGTGTTTATTACATACAGTAATATAATTTAATAATTATTTGACTAAACTTTGATTGCAATAGACATCTGATATGAAGCCCTTTTTGAAGCCATTGACTAATTGTAATGAATCTCATGTTTGCTTATGATATAGTTTTGCTAACTGTTTAATATTTGATTGATTATAATATATTGTTTTGCAATATATTGGTCAATGTTTAAGATATTTGATATGATATATAGTTTGTTTAGTAAATAAATATTTGATTACTAATGATATGATAATATGTAGGCAACGGTGGTATAGTCCGTCAAAGCCCTTCGCGCACAAGTATACGGATATCGCCTCCAATCGCACCAAACAATGCCAATAGTGACCAAAACAAAGGCAACCCGAGAATCACTGGAAACGGTGATCCCGAACCACAACTGACATCTCCAACAAATAGTTAGTCTTAATCCTTATTGATGTTTGTAATCAAATTAAATGTTTAATAATTAATTATTTGCAGACTTAATGTCACAAACAAATGATGATTACGGAAACATGTATTCCCATCAATACTATGATTCAAATGTAAATAATTATTAATTAATGTTATATACTATTAATACTTAATTATATTATTAATATATAATTATTTGTATGATTGAAATCCAGAACTATTTGTCTCATATGAAACTCAATAAATATGCGGCAAATGTCAACCAATCAGCTATCAGTGCCTCCAATATGTGTACATTAAGTGTGGGAGTGAGCGGTCAGTCCATCACTACCCCAATAACAGCTATTGTGAATGGTATGACATCTGTAAACTTAAACCCAAATTCAATGAACAACTCTAGAGCCTCACTTGAGGACCATGGAGTAGATGTGGGACGTGTTAGTCCCAGCACTAGTAGTAATGATAGTAGAAAATCACGATATAGTTCGGCGAGTTTGGATAGTGGACGCGGAAGTGACACTAAGGTATGTCTTAATAATTGCTTACTGGTATATATATATATATATATATTGACTATTAATAATAATTTGTATAGACTTCGGCTCAATCGCATCGGGTGTCAGTTCATAGTTGTGAATCATTAGGTTCTCAATTAAGTACTAAAGACAACTATAACCACAATTCTGCCTCTTCTTCGAGTATCGGCAGTGGAAACAGTGTTACGGTTGACGTCGATATAAACACAACAAATAATGTGTCGACTGTTGCCGATCCTAATTGGACTCCTGTAAGTGCCAGCACTTCCATTACTGGACCCCTGAGTATACCCGAAATGGTTTTGCATGGAATACCCGTAAGATAAACTGTTTTTAGTTGATATATTTTGTAGTATATATATTTATGTTTGTTTATATAATTTACTCCAATATTTGTTTTATTATAACAATTTTATATCATATAATTGCACATAAAATATATTTTTATGACTTAATTCAACAAATCATAAATTCAGATCATATATTATCACTTGAAATATAAACACTTGAACTCAATATAAGTTTAGTTGCGATTCACTTGATTTTAATATTTAAAGACTTGCATTCAAAATATTTAAATTTTAATATAATATTAAATATAACTTTAAAAGTTGAGGTATATGTAGATTCTATGACTTATTTATTGACATTAAGTTTTGGCTAAAAATTTTTATAACATTTATGTGACTTATATTAAAATTCAAATTACCGGTATTAATATTTTTAATTTTGAAATATGTTTATTACATTATATAGAAAATAAGTATCCGAAGTAATTTACTAATTGAGTTAATAGTAAACATTTTTGAATAGAAATAAAAATGCAAAAATATTAATATTATAAATATTGACTTATAATGTTTGTAAAGGCATCAGTCATGAGCTATCAAATAAAGTACCGACAATTCAATTTCATTATTATAATTGAATTCATCAGAAATTTAATATTTTTGTTAGATTTACAAAATTGACAAAAGCTTTTATATAACACACAAGTTGTAAATATATATCCAATTAAGCGATATTTTATAATTTATATTTCAATTATCTTTACTAAAAAAAGTCATTCAACTTAAATTTTCATTATATCTAAAAGTAAAATTATTTATAATAAAATTGCGTTTTTTCTTATTATTATGAATCTTAAATTACAGTACTATAATCACAAATTGCATTTAAAAATAAATAACTTTTTAATAAATAATACATTTATAGAAACTGTAGCGTTAATTGAGTATATGTTTAATAATTTTAGTGAAGAAAAAAATCTATTAATACATTTTTTTAATATTTAAGTACTAAATACCATTTGAATATAGTTTTTGATGCAATATATTGTGTGTTAGATTAATAGTGGAAATCATGTCAAACCCCTAATAGGCATTTACTATATAACATGTGACTTAAAAGATGTTTTATTTAAATCAAATTAACTCGCGTTAACACAAAACTTGTTTAATAACAAGTTTTTGTTAATGTTTTAAAATCTAAATTTACAATAAGCTATGTTTTTGTTTACATTGATTTTATTTTATGGTACTTTAAATAATATTTAGTCTTTCAGTCATATAATATCATAATCATTAAGCGCATCATTTTTATTGTTTTTGTCATTTAAAATGAATAATAATTAATATATAAATGTTTGAATATTATGTAAAATTACAATAATAATAATAATAATATGAAATTGACATTTAAAGCTGTACATCATAATACTTCATAAATAAGCTAAAAAAAATGAAAAAATGGTATTTATAATAATTGAAACGATTATTTTCAATGAGATGTATAAAATATATATAATATTAGTGAATATGAATGAAAATTTAGTCAAAAAGTGATGTAAAATAAGTGCAGATGTGATGTGATGTCAATATATAGAGACAGCACTGGTGTCAGCACTACTCACTCAAAGCACATTCACTTAACAACAACCTCTCAACACATCAATACTGTCTTAACATATCTCTATCGCTCTCTAAACCCTAAAATTTATAAATAATTTTAAAAACTACATAATAACTATATATTAGTATATTTTGTTGTTGTTGTTGTTGAATGATTTAATATTTGTGTAAAGAAATGATTTATTTAACATATGATGTGTATTCAATTTGATTGTGAAAAATGTATACAATATTTTTGAAGACACTTTCAAATGTGTTGATTACTGATTTTTTGGGGATATTTGGATAAACTTATTAATACTTAAAATATTGATACTAATGGTGAGAGACAAGGATTTAAATGATTTATCATTATTTATTGATTATATATATATAATGAAAAACTTTGATTGATTTCTTTAAAAGATAAATATATATATATATATATTGTGAAACTTACTAAATACCAAATGAATACTTAAATAGTTATTTCTAATATATTTAATGAACCATTTAATAACAATAATTTAAGATAATTTTGAATGCATTTTATAATTTCCACTATGAAATTGGTTATCTTTTTACTATTTATTAAATGATAGATATCCAAATGTGTTATCGCAATTTAAAAATAAATATTTTTATGCAATTAGACTATGGTTTTAATTAAAAATGTTTTTTATTTATTTTTTTTAATTTAAAATTATAAATAAAATATTTTGTTTATTATTAAAAAACTATCAGATAAGTTGACCTGATAAAATTTTTAACTTAAATTAAATAAGATTTTACACTTTTTTTAAAGATTTATATTTAATTAAATTTGAAAATAGTAAATTTATACAATAATAACAAATATTGAAAATGTTATTAAAATTTAAAGCTGTTTTGATTATTTAATATAATGCTTAATATACTGTATAGTCTGTTATTTATAAAGTATTATTTAATACTTTATTATTGCTATGTTTGCAAATAATCTTTTTATATACAGTTGAATACGTTATATCTCGAGTATACTTTAAGTTTAGGTGTTTTAATACCATATTTATTAAGAAAATGTTTTAAAATGCAGGCCTTTTTGAATATTGAGATCATTTACTATGATTTTCTTATTTTTTAGATTACATTTTCATTTGTTTCAATTAAAATGAGTTATTTGTTAGATTTGTACTAATATTTATAAAGTTAATTTTAAAAATTATTTAACTGTAACATTATATGACTCGTTGACAATAATATAAGCCATAATATTATACAGAATTATATTTTAGTAAAAATGTATGAAAATATAATTTATTTTTTCAATATATTTAAATTAAAGAATTTAATGAAATATTTGACTATTAAATGTTTTTATACAAAATGTTTTTATCTCATAAATAAAAAAATAAATGCAAAATTCCTGAGTCAAACAAGTTTATTATATATTAACATAATTTATATATAATTATTGTTTTATTATATGATATTAAAAGTATAATTAACAGCATATAATCATAATTAAGAAATGAATTAATTGATAACATTTGTGAGCAATTGATGAGACCATCATTTTATGGTTTCTATGGAGATATTTGATCGGATGTCCGGCGCCTTTGCTGTCATTAATTTTTGCAAATAACGTTAGTTTTGACGACACTATACTTGTAGTCAATATTTGTTTTATTTTTATTATTATAGAAAAGATGTTTGCTTTCAATCACAAGTATTCAGCCATTGACTTGCAATTTGACACATCTCTAGACATATATATCGTTATTTTCAAACGATTTCTATTTTTACTATAATATTAATTTTTAAAATTAGCTTAAATTAGCTCTAAAATACAAGATATAATAATAATAATAATAAATAAGATAATTACAATTGTATTTTGTGTTTAGTATGTCTAAACTTATGAACTATTTATTTGTAGTTTAACAACAATTGATTATTTAACTATAGAAAGCAATAGAGAAAACATTTGTGAACTAATTAAAGATTTTTTTGAAAGATAAGCATTTTTATTATTATTTCTATTAATTAATTTTCACACTGTTGATTTTTCGCACTAATTTTTTATTGTCTATTTGAGTATTAAATTAGTTTGTAATTTATTAGTAGGATAAAATTATCGATTATTATGTTTGTTTGTTAATTTATTTAATATAATGTAATGTATAACATTATTAATTAACTAATTTAGTTTTAATATAAAATGTATTTTTAAAAGCAATTGAAAATTAATTAATTAAATATAATTGCAATTAATTAAAGGACGAGGAGATAATCCACACGTGGCTCTCACGAATCCATTACGAAGAATACGTTTCAAACTTTATAAAAGCCGGTTATGATATGCCAACCATTTCACGGATGACACCAGAGGTTTGGACTTAAATTATTTATAAATGCATTCAAGTGTTTCAGTAATTGTTAATTGTTTGAACAGTTATTGTAATATGTTTATCTAATATTTGATAATATAATAACATAATAACTATATATTTTCTCATATTACTGTTTATATCAATACCATAACATAATAAATATAACTATAATATGGTTTAGTAATGTTTAAAGTCGGTTGTCTAATATAATATAATGATAATAATACAAACAATATATAATGTTATTATAGGTATTATAAACATACGCCGATACTATAAGTATGTATAACATATATTTTATGATCAATGATTAGCCATTGAAAAGCTGTCCTAATTTGATGGGTGTATGCATTAGTAACTGTGAATTCATGTTATTATACAGTATTTATTACTATATAATAACGACTACTAAACATGTCATTAGAGACTAGAGAACCTAATCTCTTATATATTTCTGTTAATATTATATTTCAATATAACTCAAATAATATGTGATATAAAAAGTTATATACAAAAATCCAGTTTTTATTATTAAAGAGTTAGTCTTTTATATAATCGATTGTACTGTACTAATGAAATTTCCTATTGTATAAAGTAATACTATATTATTACATATTTTTTAATTTAAACTTAAAATGGAAATGAAAAATTACTAAATAAAAACATTAAATTAAATACAAAATCAATAAAATATTGATTGATAGGCTAATACTTTTTTAAAAGGGTTAACTAAACTTAAGCTAAAAAGTCTAGACATATATTTATAATGGTTAAGAAATGGTCGATTAATTTGTAAATATATTGTTTTAAGGATTTGACGGCAATCGGTATAACTAAACCACAAAAGAGACAAAATCTTAAAACAGAGATTCAAAAGCTTACGATCGCTGACGGCATTCCTAATTTCAAACCCGTAAGCATTTAATCAATACTTGAATGATAGACATTGTCTATAATATAGATGTCATTTATTTTATGATTTATCATAGAATTCACTGCTTGAATGGTTAAAGTTATTACGTTTGGAGGAGTATTTCACAATACTATGCCAACAGGGATACAACTCAATTGATAGGGTCACTGAGTTGGCCTGGGAGGACCTCGAGGAGGTTGGCATCACTAAGTTAGGTAATTTGTTAGCAAATGATTGCATATCACATCAAATACATCATTAATTGAATTGAAATTATTTTTTAGGACATCAAAAAAAGATAATGTTAGCCATCAAGAAGATCAAGAATATTAATAATAATATAAATAGTTGTAAAACGTCTGAATCGACTCACAATTTATCGCTTCCATTGATATATAATAATAACAGTTCCTCTTGTGATGGTATGGCACGACCTAATAATAATGGTTACAATATGTCCTTTAATAGTCAATATCAAGACACTGTTGCCATCAAAATGTTTGCTCCGACTACCAAATCAACGCCTTCCCCCACAACTGAACAGTTACCACCCATTGCTCCACAGCTAAAGACTTTCCAACAATTGCCAATCAATCGATTCATGTATTCCAGACAAAGAAGTGATGTTCCATATACTGGATTCTTATCAAATGACACTCAAAATATGCTTCAATCATCTCGAGGCAGATCTTTAGAGAGTTTAGATTATAATGATAGTAATTATCACTTATTTTGGTCAAAACAATCAAATCATATGTTGAATGGATTTCCAAAACAACAACAGATGCCTTATTCTGAATCATATGAATTAACACAACAAAGAGAATCGGAACAAATTCATGGATATGAAACAGACAATGAAGTGATTAATAACTATGCAAATAATAGACGAACAATGTATGAAATCGATGGCACGGCTACTTTGCACAGACCGAAAGGTATGGTCAAAGCTAAGCCAGTGGCGAAAATTGTTGCAAAAACACGACCTCCGACTCAACCCGATGTTAATACATTTAATCAGATATATGACACACAAAAGAAATACGAACCAATGTCTCAATCGGACAATAACTTGAAAAATAACTTTATCTGTGATGACAACTCCAGTTCATACTATCAGGACGTAAATCCTCAAATCTATGCGAGTATAAAACGCAAGAAAACACCCCCACCCCCACCAAAACGGGTAAACTCGATGCGAAACACACTCACCACCAGTTCTCCAATATATTCAGGAACTTCTATTCCATCATTTTCTTCACCGCTATCACCACTTCATTCACATCATAGACAAAGTTATGACGGTTACGATCAATTTCAGGAACAGGTGTTTGCCTCTTGTGTTAAAAACTTGACATCTCGTTTCTCAATGAAGAACATGGAAGATACGACTCCAAGCGATGATAAAACATTTAAAGGATGTGCCGATGATTTTCCTCCGCCACCATCGCCACTATCATTCAATGATTGCCAAAACTATAATACATTACAGCGAAAGAAAAAAGATAAGAATGATAGACAAGAGTGTAATATATCGAGTAGTTCTTCAACTGAGTCGATGCCTTTCGCCAACGACAACATCGGAACAATTAAACAAAATCGTGTAAATCCTGAATATAATAAAGACAGAGAAATTCATTCGCCTTCGCCTTCATTTACATGTTCAGCGCCCCCTTCACTAACTAACTCACCCTCATCTACATCTCCTCATAGCATTACCAATGGTATTATATTTGATTATATTTTCAATTATAAAATCATTAACTCAAGTAATTGTAATTATTTTAGATCAGAAAAATTTTGTTGCAAATCAATCTCCTGTTAAACTCCGATCAGTTGACAATCAGAGGTATGAAAGCAATGAATGAAACATATTTTGATAACAAATAACATAACAAATTTGTATATAGAAATGGTATTAGACCTAATGGTATGCCATTATCACTAAAAGACGATCCATTAGATGATATCGAGACAATGCTCGTCAATTTGTCCAATCAATTGGATTTAATGCTTGAAACAGATCATCGCAACAAATAGTTTTTACATCTAATACATTGACAGCTATTTAAAATAAAAAGGTTTTTCAAACTTTGAGTACAAACAAATCAAAACATCTAAGAAAAAATAAAAACCAAATGTAAAGTCAAAAGCTTTAGTGATATATTAAATTTATATTAAAAATCAATGAAACTTTTCGCATGAAATTTACATGACTTTTGTACTGTAGTCACATTGGAGTATATGCAACATATAAATTATATGTAAATTAAATTTTATATAGAATTTTATAGTATTTTTTAATAATCATTAAATTGTAATTATAAACACTAGTCTCTATCTTATAGATATATACACTTTTATATAGAATTTTCACTTTATTGTTTTTATTTTTATCAATTTTTAAATATTAATAATACCAATGATTAATTTAAAATTGATATCAAGGTATAAAATTATTAATTAAACATAATTTTAATGTTAATAATTTAAATTGTAATATTTACATCATTTTCAAGAGTATTAATTTATAATCAAAATATTAGTTATATAATTTAATTAATTAAAATATTAATAGAGTGCTAAAGCATTTTTAAAATAATCTTATAGCTTAAAAATTGTTAATTATTAAAGATACAAATAATTGAGACAATTTATAAACTCTAACATAGATTATAATAACGTAAATATTTACTTTATCGCGTGAAAACTTAATTTGAATTAACAGTAAAAATATTGTCAATTTCAAACATTTACTTTTTATTTAACTTTATAACAAATTAATGGTCCAATATATAGCATTTATATAATTAATTTATGATTTACTGAATATGATATACAATTTTTATAAGAATTGTTATTAAATTAATAGAATTTTGATGCATATATAAAAAATTATTAAACTATTATAAATATTTATAAAATACAAATATTTGAAATCAGATGTAAAATGTTTTATAGAAACATGTTTTACAATTAAATCAGTATTAATTGTACTTGATAATAAATATATAATTATAGTATATAAATGTTTACAAATTATATATAGTATTGTAATTTAAAATTTTATTCATTTACAATTGTTTTATGAACTGAGTGATCATTAATGCCCTTAAATATACAGAAAAAAATTATTATATTTTATAGTTTTTTGTAAATATTTCCATATAATTATTATTTAAATGAAAATTTTTTAAATAAAAAAATCATTTTAATCATTTGTGTTTATCTTATTGACTTTCAGATATATAATACTAATAATTATTTTCGACAAATTAATATTTTATTTGAATGCCGTCAGAGGGGAAGATTGTCTTAAAAAAGGGATTAAAAATTTGATAATTTTTTATTTAGTTAATAACTTATAAATATATGTTAATTACTGTATATTGTTTTTTTACAAACAATGAGATAAAATTGATTAGAGATTTATCAATTTTGGCATAAAATTGGTATAACATAAAAAATAAGTATATGGGAACTTGACAGGGAACAGGTAAAATTTGGAATTTTCCACTAATATCACTAGGGAATGACATTCCCGATCCCATAAATATTAATAAAAATTTATAATTAATAATAGTATTTTTGTTAATACAATTTTATGCGTTAAATTGCAATATAAAAATATTGTGAGAAAACCTATTATTAGTACAATAACTTGATTTGTATTATCATATACTGTACTCTATAAGCTGTACTAATAGAAGCTAACATATGTATAGATGTCAAGATAGAGCTAATTATAGCGACAAAAGCAGATAATCTTGAATCAAATTTAGTAAACTTTTTTGAGGTCTTATTTTTGTTAACAATTGATATAAGATTATTGTTTGGTTAGTTTGGTTTATAATCAATATATTCTTTTAATGGTTTACCTCATTTGATCACTTGTTTGGACGAAACCATTGGTAGCGCCTATGGATAAAGCTCTGAGACGGGTATAACTGGTTGATCAATGAGATGAATGAGACGCTGGAGTAACGCTCTCTCTCTATATCTCTCTTCAATGAGATCTCTCTTCTACAGCTAAACGGAGCGCTAATTCCAAGAGATTTATACCAATTGATGTCAATTAAGTGATTTAATATAATAAAACATCAATTCATTGCTTCATTTTATCAAATATGGCATTTTTAACGGCTTTTATACTATCATTAAAAAGGTTTGTCTAATTGTTTGCATTATTATTATTATAAATAATTAATTTTTAATTAGACGTGTTATATGTTTATACTATATTTAGTTTAGTTGCAATCTTAGTAGTGTATTAATATCAGAAATAATTTATTATATATAATACTATAGTTTAACTAATTTAGTTATAATAAAGTTATTCACATATTAAAAACACATTTTAAAAAATAAAAAGAAAAAATATTCCGTTATTTTAAATTTAACTAAATCTTAAAAACTAATTTAATTAAATATTCATTTTCTAAATTGTTATAAATTATTATAATAAATACTTAATAAATATTTATAAATTTTGATTTAATCTATTTTAATTGTAATTAATTAATATTAAAGCAGATTTTTAAATTTAAAATTTCTATGAATAATAACAAATAATGTAAATTGTACAGTATATATATTATCAGTTGTATAATTTACAACTACCTGCTAATTGCTATTGAAAAATATATTAAATTATTAGCAATACACCCCCGATTTAGTCGTTTTGAATTAATTAAATTGCAATTGATTAATGATTTATTTTTATATATGTGTTTTTATTAAACTATTTTAAATCAGTAGTTTAGGTGAGGTTTAACTTTAATTTTGTTTTTAAATGCTTGAGGCCTTTGAAATATGATTAGACCAAAAAAATCTACTATTAATTGCCAATAATATTGTCTATTTATGGCTTTCTTTTTTAAATTAATTTTAAATCAAATTCCTTAGAAGAAATATATAATTAAATATTATTTATAGTTATAATCATTGAAGATTCATAGAAATTTATTTGTCATTATTAAATAATTAAAAATTTATTCAAATTTCTACACAATAAAAAAAATTTCTTTTATTATTATTCGTAATAACTTTTATTTTGTTGATGAATATAATAGATTAAATTATTGACATTGAAACATTTTTTAATTTAATTATTTTATAAAATAGTTTAGATATACAAAACATTTTTCAATAAAAAAAGTTTTAAAAAATTATTGTAAAAATAGAAGTTATATAATAAGTGAATGCATTTGTTTTTTGTACATAAATAGCATTGATTTATAAGGAAATAAAACAGTGTAGTATACTATACCGTATACACTGTATATAAAAACAAGGAAAACAATTTGATATTATATATGAAATATTATTTAAGGATATGTTTGCTTGTCTTGTATTGCTTTTATTTCTTTTTTATACAGAGTTTACAATTACTATTAATGTTTACAACAATATATATCTTTTTTATATTTAAAAAATATATAATTTGTGTTATTATACATTACATGTAATGTTTAAAAGTAAATGTATTCAATAATAACAATATAGCAAATCATAGCATCACTTAACGAAAAAAATTACATACCATATGATATCATAGGATAATAGCTATGAAAATGAGATAAGCCGTAAATGAATAGCCATTATATGAATCGTTGTATGAATTTTTTTATTCAAATTCAAGTCAAATAACGTTATTTATAATTTTTAATTTGTTTGCATATGAAATCCGATGAATTATTATAGCCTTGAGTTAACTGTTTTGCGGCATTTATTAAATATGAAAAGAGGAACTCTTTAATACATTTCATTTTTGAAGGGTCAGTCAAAAGAGAGAGAGAGAGAGAGAGAGAGAGAGAGAGAGAGAGAGAGAGAGAGAGAGAGAGAGAGAGAGAGAGAGAGATCTAATTAATAATAAATTTATTTTTGGTTAACTTTTCAATAAAATGTTTATCGGATAAATAAGTTTTAAAATAAATAAATTAGTAAATTGATCGATCGATCATTAATTTAGTGAATTTTAAATCCCTGGCAATTCAATTACTTGCTTTAAATCTAATATACATATCTATATAAAAATTTACTCAATATTTTTCACATTTCAAATCATAATTCAAACCATTATTTGTAAATTTCATGCACTTTAATGTAATAGTAGTCACGATTATATCTATCATATCTTATATAATATTCACAGTTTTTAATCGTTGTTTTCAATTCAATGTTCAATTTCCTCAACTCATACTTTATTTACTCTTTACTTAACTCAATATGTTTTTATACAATGAAAGTGTGGGTAATTGTAAGATGCATTTTATTTTTAAAAATTGTTCAATTTAATAGTCTATAATCAATATAATAATCAATTTAATAGTCAATAATTAATTTAAAACATTCAACAATTATTTAGTGTATTAATAAATCTGATTGAAATATATTGCATATTATAAATAATAATATTATTTACTAATATGAACACTATTTTAGTAAAATAAATATATTTAATAGGACTTTATGGAGGAAAAAGCTATCACTAAATAATAGGTTTTTGATATTATGGTTGTTATTGACATTAATGATATCCATTGGGAGAACTGATATGACATCCCGAAGAACAACCAAATTAAAGAATTCCCCCATTTATTACATATCATCGCCAATAATGTCCTCACAATTTTGGCCACAACTCCGACTACCGATGAGGACAGTGTCGACACAAACAGGCGTCTCTCAAATAGCAGCTTCTCCTATAAAATACTCGTATAGTTTACCATACAGTTACTCATCATTATATAAACTTCCCATTAATTTCAAATCAAATGCAAAACCCATTGAAGTACTTAAGGGTATGTTTTTCATCGCTATATAATTACTATTTTAATTAATTATTTTTATATCTCTTTGATAACTTATTTAAATTAATCATTTATAAAACAAATAATTAATGAAATTTTTACTGTATTTTATTTAACGGGTAAACATTGGTAACCGCCCTCACATTTAATATGAATTCTATATAATTAATATTTGCTAAATTTAAATATAAATTTTTAATTATAAATAGATTTTAAATATTATAATTAGTTTTCAAAAGAGTATTTCACTATACAATATATATATATATATATATATATATATATATTTATACAGAATATAGTAATTTATTTACTAACAGTATTAATGACTTTAATTATATTTTATGTTTAATTGATGTAAATTTCCATTTATAACATAAAAAGCTTATTATTTAAGAAATAATTAATTAAGAGTGAAAACAATTGTCTATTACAGGTATAACCAAATCTACGACCAAAAAGGTTATGTCAAACAAGTATCGGATCCCATCATCCAAGATGTCAAATATGATTTATCTTCCCATAACTTATCTATCAAATGCCAAACCATATAAAGTAATGATTAATTCATTTGGCAAAACATAACTCTTTTTACAGTTAGTATAGCTTTTATACTATAGAATATAACATACTATTTATGAGTAATTAATATTCAAAAAACTTAATCATTAATATATATTTCATAATAACTTTGTAAAGTTATCCATTTATTACAATTTTTTGTGTATTTGATTAAATTATTTTTGTAACAAACTATGATTAATGTAAATTTTCTTATGTTTAATAATATCCAAACGGAAATTCAGTTAAATTAACTGTTTATTTTCATTTTTATCGTTAATTTATATATTTTATGCTATTCAATAAAAAGCATAGTTTTACTTACAATAAACCAAAAACTGTTGAAACAAAATGTCATACATTTATTAAATTTTATATTTTCATTCAAAAAGTCTTTAAGCACTTAATGGGTGTTAGAAATCAAAAATCAGAAAATGTGTTAAAATTAAGCTGATTTTGAAAAAATAAATTTATGAAAACACAAGTATTTTGTTAATTTGTTATAAACTACTGTACTATTGAAAACATAAATAACTTGATTGATATAAATTACTGTACTTATAAACCTTTGGTTACTCAAGTTATTTATATTATATATAATTTAATACATGTATGTATTGTTTATATTAAATAACAATATTTTAAGGAGTGTCAGATAAGGAATGACTAATTTTTTTATATAATACAACTAATTTCAACTCTAAACCATTTAATTTAATATTTAAGGATCTAATATAAATGTCTTATAATAAACATAAAAATTATTTATATTGCTTTTTTGAAAGTTAATCAAATATTTATACTGTATATTATAAATAAATTTGTGAAATAATATTTTTATTTTGTTTGATATAAATTATATAAAAAGAAAGTTTGTTCACATGTTTTGATATTAAGGTTCATTAAAAAAAATTAAATTTATAAATATTTATTTATAATTAATAATGATTTATAGAAATTTTTAGAGACAAAATTCAAGTTTAACAAAATATCAAATAAAATACTAAAATTTATAAATAGTATATACTATAATATAATTCCGTTATTTCAAAAGATATAAAGATAAGATATTGTATGAATTATAGCATAATTATTATTATCGTAAACTAGATAAGTATATTGAAATTGTTTACTAAATTTATATGTATTGTATTATATGGTATGGCTTTAATTGTATACAACAATATCTAGTAATAATAAAAGTAACTATTTTAACATTAATATAAAACAACTTATTTTTATTGATTTTTGTTTTAGTATAAATACGAAATGTTTTGGATTTTAAAAACTATAATTATCATTTATATGCAATTTTTTAAAAATTGATAATTTTTATTAAAAGATATTATTACTGTAGGATTAATTGTACTAATGATGTACTACTATATCGATAAAATGTTTGATATATCAATCAATGATATAATTTGATAATAATACTATATCATGCATTTAGTTATATATTATTATAATATCAACAATTTTTTTGTTGTTAATATATTTAAATAAATAAAATTATGATTACAGTACAGTATATGACAATTATTTATTTAATTAGTCTATAAATTATGATATCTTTTTGCTCTAAGAGTTGCTTCTTTGGTCTCCTCGATGTTGTAGTATTTGTCCACAAGAATGACTGCGTGAAACTCGACCGCCATTTAGTTCACTCTATATTTGAATAATAGATTTAATTGAAATTATTTAAAAATATTGTTATTAATGAAAAATATTAATAATATTAGATGACCTGTGAAGATGACCTGTGCACCGATGAAGCTCTTGGAGATCTTTGGATTAGCCATCGATCTCTTAGATATTTATTAATTTCGGTTACGGGATATCGTTTGGTTGGTTTTAAATCCATGAGTCGGCGAACGAGTCTCAAGAATCGGGGAGAGAATCCTCTAAACTCTTTTGGTGTTCTTGTGGTCTTTCTTTTGCTCCATTGAACGAATTCAGTGAATTTTGGATCAGTTATGTCTGCCTTTTCCCACGGGAAGTGAGTGGTCAGACATACGTAGATCATCATTGCTAACTGCCAGACATCACTACCCACTTGTATATTATATCCTTCTAAGAGAACCGCTTCCCATACTTCTGGCGGACACGAAGGCAACGATTTGACTCTCTTTTTGACTGATTTTCAAAAATATTTACAAAAAATATTAATATCTTATGTTTATTTATGAAGCAATTATGTCATTGCTTTTGGTAAATAACTTAAAATACCTAAAGTTCCCACTTTTCGTGTTAACCCAAAGTCAGTTAATTTGACTTTTGTTAAGTTTGGCGAATAAATTAAAACATTTTCGGCACTATTTATATGCAAACATGAGAAACAAGTATTATAGCAATGAATGGTTCAATTTATTTATTAAACTAAAAAAGGTCTACAAATGATAGTATGTTAGGCATTACCGGACGTCCCGGTGAACCAATTCCTTGTCGTGCATGAACTCCAGCGCCGAACTGATCTGCTCTACAACTATGGGGTCAACAAAATTGGTTTAATAGGAAACACATTGTAAATGTCATTTCAGTCAATTAATTACCAATTTTGACGTCTCGTTCATTCAGACCGACGCCGTTGGTTCTCTCGACCGCCTGTTATATCATTTCATATGATTATTGCTATTATTTATAGTTTTATATATATATAAATAATTTGCAACCAATAATGTTATGGATTATCATATATTTTATAAAAATTTAATAAATTGATGCTAAATTGCTAAATGATTGTTTCATTTGAAAATAAAACAAAAATTGTTTAAGACCTGCCAGAGATCACCAAACGGTGCCACTTCTTGAGCAAAATAATAATGTTCTTGTGTTTCAAAGGCCACATCATAGGTGTCTAAAATGTTTTTCTGTGGCGAAAGGAAATAACTGTAATGAAACTCCATTAAGAAGTCCTTTATTGGTGTCGTGGCCTTTGGCACAGCTTTTAACGCCACCTTATATATGGATAAAAGGCATGAATTAATACAATAAAATGATTGTGTGTTTTATGATTTACCTCAGAACCGGTATCTCTATGTACAGCCAGAATGACTTTTCCATAATCACCGGAACCGATCTCTTTGAGTACATCATAATCTTTATCGATATAAAGTACCTCTAATTTAATTTCCCTTATCTTATGAATACAACTCTGTTTGTTGCTCTGAGTGTTCATTCTTTAGCGCATTTTTGCCACAAGAAGTCCATAAAAAAATTTCTGCAGTTTTTTGTTTGTTTTGTTTAACTTTTTATTTCATTTTCTGTTTAACTGATAATATCATTTTGTTAGTCAACAAAATCGTGTTACTATTTTTATACTTAAAATAAATAATAATTTTTAATTTATACGTTTAACAACCGGTAACTGATTTACATATTTAGTCTTTTTTATGTTACTTTATAATGAAAAGTATTATCAAATGCAACCAAAGTTTTCAACACTATTCAATTATTTGTTAATCAATGGCATGAAATAATTTGTTTTTTTTAATTTACAAACTTATTTAACTTATTTGCTTAAATTTTGTTGTTGTAAAAATTTGCAATTTATAGGACTTAATTAATGTATAGAGAAGAGAGAAAGAAAAGAAGAGAGAGAGAGAGAGAGAGAGAGAGAGAGAGAGAGAGAGAGATTTATCCTTTGATAAATGACATAACTGTCGATTAAATGATAAACTGATTCATTTATAAAAAATAGTTATATAACTTTGAAAATCAATGATTAAAATTGTGATTATAACGTATATACAGTATAAAGACCTGAGGCATTAGTGTATATATTCATTGCAATGAGCTTTGGCTGAGGTTTTCTTTAGGAAAAAATAGGATTTAAATATTTGGCTAAATATAAAAAATCTCTACATTTAATGATATCTATTTATAAAAATAGATGACAACTAAAATTAGTTAATTTTTTTTGCAGATTTTGTTTTATTTACGATATGAATGTTAATTTGTCGAATTAGTTGATGTCATTATGTTTGAAACATTATCGATATTTTTATTTTTTAAATATTTTAAAGTCCTACTCATTATTGCTGTAAGAAAAACATAATTATAATACTGAAACTAACTGTTATAACTTATATACAGTGTATATACTGTAGTACTTAAACAAATTTTTATGAGCATCAAGTTTTTAATCAAAATAAAAAAGTTATTATATATAAAACATAATTAAATATAGTATTATTCTATTAAATATAATTAGATATAAATGCAAGTTTTCATTCAATATGTTTAAATACAATTAGTAAGAAGATTAACACAATTATATCACATTTAAAACAAATTAATTTTGAAATCATTCAATAAAAAACTAATCATTTTTCTTGTTTTTCGTGTTGTAAAACTATTTATTAAATAGTTATAACTTATAAGTCAAAAGTACTATATTAAGAGTATTAACTTAAGAAAGTTAAAATATTTATTAAGTACAGTAAGTATTATTATATTGTAAATTATATAAATACAAGTATAAAAAAGTTATTTATATTATACTATAAATTTACAATAGTACACCAATAGCTTTTCATTTATACTGTATTATCTAAATATAATACCGGTACTTTAATAACAGTAATATATTATTTCAATTTTTCTATTAAAAATAAATATATATAATTAAAATCCTAGATTTTTAAAAGAAATATTTCATGATTCTAAATGTTAAACTCAATTTTTATCAAGTTCAATTTTTAATTAATTTTATTATATTTATTTTGTTATATTACGATTTATTTAAATTTAAAATTAAATATTATTATTTAGATTTGCCCATTAAACACGACTAAATTAATAATTTATTTATTTTTATATTAACATAAATATTTTCTGTGTTAATAAAAATTGTAATATTAATAAACTAAATTATAAATCTTTTTAAGTTTACTACACTATACTGTAGAAATTATAAATACTTTTTGTTTAATGAAACTTAAGATTAATTATATATTAAATATTTAAACTTTTTAAAAGTTTACTATTAATATAATTTAGTACATAAAATATGAATATTCAGTATGTTAATTATTTATTCAAATAAATTTATATATTTATAGCATAAAATATTCAATGTAAATATACTGTATTACGTTTATTATATAATATTTTTAGTTTTTTAAATTTTCTAAAAATAATATATTTTAAATAAAATTAGCATGTGTAGTAAATATATAAAATAACATAATTAATTTAATACATATAATTAATTTGTAATTAAAATAATTATAAGAAAACGGTAAAAATATTTTAAATCGGAAACAAAATCGTTTAAATGTCGGTTAAAAAATATTTTAAGGAATTAAAGAAATGACAAAAAACACATATTTTGGTAGATCTCCAGTCATTTGAAGTCAGATTGTAGTAAATAATGAATTATATGTTGCATTCAATGGCTTTTTCATAAATAAATTGCATATAAGACATACACAAGCACTGGGATGTGGTATCAGTTAATAGGAAAATGTGAACAAACATTAAATGTTTTTTAAGTTTATATATATATATATGATATCTATTTGTTGAGAGACTCTTAAAAGTTTAAAACAAAACTCATTGCAAGACATAAGCGACGCAAATGACGGCCTTTTGCTTAAAAGTGAGTTATATTTATAGTAATTGAAAAAATTTATTTGCTTTCACACCAAGGATTGAGACAACATTTGGTTTTAACGAAGACTATTGCAGACAAATACCACATTTCAAATCACTTATTACTTTTGAGAAAGAAATAAAAAAAAATATTTTAGAAAAATTAAAATATTTGCCAAACATTTCATATTTATTGTGTTTTTGAGAAAGCAATTAATTATTTACTAAAATTATTATACAGCTATTATATATACAGTACTATATATATATATATATTTATATTATAAAGTCATACTGTATATAACAACTAAATTATAAACTAAATTATTATATTTGAAATAAACATTTTAAACACATATAGACTTTTTAATGTTTTATAAATATAATTTAAATACCATTTATATATTACATTACATATACAGTATATATAGATTATATATAAATTATGAACTATAAACTTTCATAATTTATTTGATAAAAAATAAATATTATACGGTATTTACAGTATATATATTATATAAGGTATAAATAGTCAAACCTGTTTTCATTTGAACTAAATGTTGTTAATCACAACTTATAGCAAAATATTTATAAGATATAGTTAGCGATGAATTCACTTTTAATTAACAATTTTTGCAAATTATAGCAAAATGCAAATCACAAGTTAAGAATGTTATAAAATGATGACAACATTTATCTCTTCTATTGTTTCTTATTTAATAAAATTTGTTTTAAACCATTAGTGATATTTTTAAACTAAAAACACACACATTTAGTGACAAAGTTTAATATTATTTTTGATTTCACTGATATTCACTGAATTCATTCAAACATACCTTTTGGTGAGTTTTGAGTGTATATCTAAAAAAATATCAATTGATAAACACAATTAAGATATGATTGGATAGTTAACTGTTAAATATCTTTCAATGCGATTAAAAAGCTAACTCATGAAGTAATGTTTAAATGACTCCTTTCATTGGTATCAGTGATGCCTCATATGATGCACATGTAGTATCTACTCTCTCTCTCTCTCTTTCTCTCTCTTTCTCTCTTTCTCTCTCTCTCTCTCTCTCTCTCTCTCTCTCTATGTTAGTGTTTAGTGGCATAATGTCATCCCATTTGTGAATTGGTGCCAATTGTGTACTATTTTTGTGCCGATTCTTCTTTAATGACATTAAGTATAACTCAGACGTCAAGTCTTAATGCAAAGTGAAGTCATGGAAACCGCATCACAAATATTGATGCATTTGTTTCATTAGTTGGTCTCAAAATAAAATATTAAAAAAATATTTCCAAACAAAACATAAGTTATGCAAACAGTTTGTCACAACAATTGTCACGCTTTCAAAATTAAGACATCACTTCAATATTGCATTTATCCTTCAAAGTTATCATAAATTATATAATAATTTTGTTTAAAACTTTAGCAAAAATATACTACAGATCATTGATTTATATAATCGATTGAAAATCTTGTCATTTATTGTTTTCTAATTATAGAAATACTTCAAATTTGTTAACTTATTTCTTACACTTTCAAAGACATCTTATATACATAATTTACTTTCAGTTCAATTTTTATTTTAAGTTTTTTCAAATATCGATAGTATATACTTATATACTGTATATTTATATAATATATTATATATATATAATATTACAAATATAAAAGTACAAAACTGAGTGGTTTAAATTAATTCACTAATATACGAAAAATTGTGATAATTGCAATTAACTAAGTAGTGTCACTATAATGCATTTTTTGTATCAAATTAATTATACAATTAATGGTAATCTATTTTAATGATATATATAATTATATATCTTGTTTCATAGTTAGAGTTATTATGCTTAATATGCTATATTGTACAGTATATACTACAATTAAATGTGGTATAAAAGTTTACACTGATACTATACAATATAAATAATAATATACTGTATATTTAATATATTATATATATATTAAAATTTATATTTTTGTTTATTAAATATTATTTTATTAAAAATATCTGAATTTCATAGTTGATTATGACATATCAAAAGAGATAGGGTTAACGGTAACTTACGTACACACTATATATTTTGAAAATTTGACACTTTTTCCCAAAGGGGGGTAACTTATAATGAAACCTCCGGTATGATTGTTTGACATTTCTTATTAAATATTTGACGCATATTTAAAATGATAAAAATAATCAATTATACACTAATAGAATATTAAAAGTGTATAAAAATAAATATTTATAATTACTATTAAAAAATTGCTAATTAAAGTTTAAAATTTAAGTTATAAAATATCAAAAACAACTTGTCAAAGATAACAGTTGTTAATAAACTAATAATTTTACAAATGACAGTAATTTTTAATATTTTGAATTTTAATCATTAAAATAAAAACAATTTAACATTAAATTTTAATAAAAAATTTAATTTGCATATATTGTATACTAGTATTTATATCATTTTTAAAAATGCTTTACATATAAAACAAAAAATGAAAATAATGTTATTTTAAATTTCAATAAAAATAAATCAGTAATAAATAATATATTAAAATAGAAATCAATTTATATTAAAATAAATAAATAATAATAAAATGATATTACAAAAAAATCAATGATTTCTTTCATTAATTTTCTTCAAAATATAGTACAATGACATAAATTTTTAAATAACACTTAAATTGACATTCAATTATTGATTACATTTTATACTATTAATAATCAAATCTTAAATGTATTTGATTGAATATTATAATTTATTAATTTAGTGTATAAAAACTAAATTTTGAATTAATTAACATGAATTTATGTGCAATTATTATATATATTAATATTAACATAATTAGATTTTTATTAACATTTTATAATAATATTTATAATATACAATGAAATTTAAATACTTTAATAAATTACTTCATATCATCATTTGAAAAATTTATTAGACTTGAAGTAAGTCTATAAACCTAATAGTTAAGTGAAATATTTTTGCTTTAAATTTTTATTTTCCTTTTTATTCTTATTTTTCTCTAGATTTATATTTTTTAATAAACACTAATAGTCTATAAATATAATTTGGCAAAAATTATAATCTCAATAATGGGCCAACAAATGATTAGACTTTGGAAAATTGTTAACATATATTACTTATTGAAATATTATTAAAGTATAGACTAATTGGACCAAAAACATTAGCTAACATTTGGTTTTGTCTGTTAACTATTAGTTTGCAAAATTGTTAACAACTATTGAATAATTTTTTTTTATTATAAGACTTAAAACGTGAATTTGTTTGTAATCTCTGTGCAAAAAATCACACAATTTTAAATCACACCTCTCTATTTAAAAAAATATAATTGCAAACCAAATAAAATGCAAATTAATAAATTATACATAAATTTTGGTTATTTGGGTAAGTTATAAGTAATATTAAATTGTCAATAAATTAACTTTTTTTATAAATGTATGAGAAAATTAAAAATTAAAATGTCAAATAAATATAAAACAAAATGATTGGCAAACAGTTTTGTATCGGAGTTTTTGGCCAAAACTTTTTGTTCCGCATAATAAGCGGCACTTTTGGTCAAATTTTTGGGATCATAGGTCTCGAGTAAATACTTCAATACGTTTGTCTCATTAAACTCGTTGTTGTTTTGAAAGCATTGACCACACATTTGATGGGTTGGGTATTGAACTTTAGGAAAGTATGGATCTTCACTGAGACTGCCTTTAGTTCGTTGGTTGACCTGATTGTGAACTCTCCATAACCACAGCACTGAACTCTCATCGGTGTCCAAATAAGAAGTCAGTCGTCTCGAAGTTTTTTCAAAATGTTTGGCGCAGTCTTCACACGAAAAGAAATTAATTATAAAGTCTCTCATCAGTGGTAAGACTTCGTGAGTATTTTGAGTCTTATTTTTTTTATTCATTGTATACTCTCTAACAGTTAATACGTGAAACAATGACCACAAACCACAGGAATAGCCACGAAAATTGGGTTTACTTCCAGAACAATGTCTCCATTGAACCATTGGTGGTAAATAGCCATCACTTATCTTCATGGCTGCAATCAATGTCTCGGACTTGATTTCATCCGTTTTATTGGAAAACCAATGTTTCATACGTTTAAAAAATCGGCGAACATTTTCGTTATCAAATGGAAAATACTTATAAATAATTGAAAAATAAGTTTTTAATATTTTTAATTGATTTGAATTCAATTTTTCATAACGAGTCACTTCTGAATGAAGAAATTGTCGTAAAGTATTGTAGAGATCAGACAAACTTAATGGCAATTCATTTCTAATTGATATTATTAATGAATTTGTTGTTATATTCTTCTCTCTATTATTGGTTTCGTTGATATTTATTTGAATTTCACTAATATTTAATAATTCTTTAATTTTAAGACCAAATTCTTTACGGAGAAGCTCTTCATTTGTTGAATGAGCACTAAAATTGTGTTTAAAATAATAGGAAATATATATATAATTTCAAAATCTTTAGCTCAACTCATATATTCAAACCTTGCAATCAATTGTAAACTATGGTTAGTGTGAGCGTTGATAAGCGCCGGAAGATTGACTGAATGGGAGAAGAGTTGACTTCTAAGTCGACCACTCCTGTCGTTTACTGTTATTATATTAACCGCATCTGAATGTTGACTGAAGTCCAAAATAATCTAATATTTAATAAAACAATTTATTACTCGTAATTATATTAATATTATTAAGCATTAGTGACATAACAACTATTAAAAATAATAAGTCTATACCTCAACAGCTAAATGTGTCGGATTGTTGACCAAAAATATTAGATTATATTTATGTAAATTAAGTGGAAGAGCGTTAAACAGTTCATTCTTAGAGACGATACTAATGGGATATAAGTTGATGTCATGTCTTAAGTGTTGGTGTGATGTTAGCAACCAATCAATGAATTGTGTCTTAAGTTGTTGAACTGTATCTCGTGTTTCAAAAGTCTGTCCCAAATCAGCGGTGTTTGCAAATGTCTTGAAGAGTCTGATTCTTGGGAAGCGAGTTATGCCATGTCTTCGACAATTAGCTTCACTCGACTTATTTGCACAATCAATGGCATATACTTTGACCACTGAATGCCAATCTTTTATATCATTTGCAAACTCTTTCCATACCTTCGAGTATGTTATACAATGTGGACACCAATGGAGATAAAAATTTACTAAACATATATGACTTTTACTGTAAATATTATTATTGAAATTATTGGCATTTAATTCAATTACTGAATCGTTTTCATTGAATACAGAAAACCCATAAAAATTACTAATAAAACATAAAAATATGAGAATTGCATGAATTAAGCTCATGATTGACACTATAGTGTCTCTAATATTAACTCAAACTAAACACAAAATAATTATAAGTATTTTTAATCCAATAAGAGATGTCTTAAACAAATAAACACTAAGAATGTTATAAACGTTAAGATGGGCTCAGAATAAGTGTTTGCAGAATGCGATCAATAAAGACATCCAAAGACTACAGTCATAGAGGGAAACACACTATCAGTGATGTAATGACAATCATAGCACCAATCAGTTCATCATTTCATCCAATGATCATATATTCACAAAATATTAATTATTTCGTTATTTTCACAACTAATTCATAGCAGATATCAATTGAAAAATAACTTATTTTCATATTATATATAAATATATATATATGTATAAAATTGCAGTAATATATCAATCAATTCTATAAGTTATGCAGAACTTACTATACAGTAGTATAGCTTTTCATTGAATTAAAAGTTAAAAAAAATATTTAACAATTTTTTAATCTAATCAATTAGAAAAATATAAAAAAATAAATAAATATAAATTTGATAATTTATTAATGTTGTGCACTAGTTTTATATTATATAAGTTTATTTAACGGTTTAATTATCATAAATAAAGTACATTAGTATTCATACAGTTGTTAGTTAACACATCCTATTAATATTTGATTCCCTATTATAAGTGAATTTATTAACAAAAACATAACTTTGTTACGCAAAATGTCAAATAAATAATTTGAAATTTATATTATTTAATCTATTTTTAACCAGAAAATAGATTAATTTATAAAAATAATATAAATGTTTCTATCTATTGATGCAACCAATGGGTGTAAACTATATTGTATGTTAAGTCAACAAATATTATTAATTATATGTTGTAATAATGTTATTCATAGTTAGATTAAATTATACTATTTTGTATAATAAATAATATTAATTGTATAATAAATAAAATTGATATAAATGATACTAATTTTATTATTTATATACTAATATGCAATCAAATAAATTATTTATATACTGTATTTATATTAATTAAGTTTAATAAAAAGTAAATTAAAATATTAAATTAACAAAATTTTATTAAATAAATTAATACGAAAATACATGTAAGCGTTAATTATTAATATTAATTAATAATTAAAATCAATGATTAATAGTTAGCGGTATTTAATATAAATATAAATTGAATTCAATAACTAATACGTTGTTTATGAAAACATTTAATGTTTTGTCTATTAATATAATTTTGGCGCAAATATTGTATTGAATATCAAATACACTGAAAGTGTTGTCGTTTTTGTTGACAATTATTAATATAATATAATATTAATACTGTTTTCATATGAATTGCATTTTATTTTGATTTTTAAACAATTGATTGATTGAAACATCAATTGATTTTCATTTGCGATGAGTTTCACAAAAACCAAACAAAAGTCTATTTTAGACTATTTTAACAAAAGTAATGATAATAACAAAAGAAGTGGTCATCACTTAGGGATCAATCAGTTGAACAACAAATTTCTTAAAACAAATGACAACGAAATATCAATTGTCTCACAAAACAAACCAATTGATTGCACAGACATTGAAGACAAATGCAGTGACGTCTTGAAAGATGTGTCATCTGAAGAGTTCATTGATTTGAATCACTTTTTGCAAATCGATTTCATAGAAGAGGATGTGATTCAAGAGAACAATAAACAAATGAATGACAATTGCGAAGAGCTATCGACGAGACCATCAAATGATGAGAACTATATGTCATTTGTTTACCAGAGGTTCAGACAAATGATTGACTTTGTATTGTCTGACAACAGCTTTGAACACCTCTTTGATAGCAACGACACAAATATCATCCAATGTTTTACATGTCTTTCCGGTTGTTATTTAATTACATCCAATGATAACATTTGAATGATTTTCATTCAATGATTTCATTTTATTGATTATCTTTATATCAGGTTTGGCTCAGATGTTATTCATGAGACTATTTATGCGTAAAAGAAGTTGGATTCGTAAGAATGCAATCAAATATCCAGAAATAGCAGATAATTTGTGGCCATTTCTTAAAGAACTGGTTGAAAATCAATTTCTTTTAGATGGTATTGATTTTAATTGTTTATACTATTTATACAAATATTAACGATTAATAAATATTTGAAAAATAGTCACAAATTTGTCAGATTTGTCGGAATCGATGGATATATTGGATACTTTGGAAATGAAACGAATCGGCAAATCACTGAAAGGTTTAAATATGAATGGTTTAAATACAAAGAAAAATATAAAATCAGCGGTTATTAAGTACTTAAATACCTGTCAACCAGTTTTTCAAAGTGACAAAACAGCTGATGAAATGCTATTTAAATGGTATGTTTGATAAAATTGAATTAAATTTATAAAAATATTTATTTTAATTACTTAATAGCATTAAATCAATATTGAAAGACAAGTGTTTCAAAGTCAATGAAAAACTTTGTGAACCCTTTGAACACATGTTTTTACTTTTCATTCAGCCGGAGATCGACGACGAAGATATCAACACTCGCTTTAATTATGAATTGTATGTCATATTTATATATTTAAATTGAGATTTGTTTTATGGACTAAATTTTTCAATAGTTTTAGACAATTGAAGATTGAAACTGATGGCAATAATTATCCCAAATATAATATTAATAAATCGAGTATTATATATACGAATCGCAACGATTTGTTTCAATATTGTCAGTCATTTAAACTGGAAATTGAATTATTAAATGCCATCGAGAAGAAGGATTTTAATGAAGTTATTGACGTTTTATTGCCAAAAATTGAAGAAATATATAGAAATGAAATTAAAGAGAAAATTGATAAAAATGACATAACTTTGTCATCATTTTTACGTCGATTTACTGCCGGACAGACTTATATTAGATGTTTGTCTCATTGCGTGTCTGTTTTGGAACAGAAAAAAGATTACATTAAAGCCGTTTATATTCTTAAAGAAATACTTTTAAATCAATTGACATATTGTACTGATTCCAGGGGTCGTTGGTTTGAAAGACTGACTCTGAACTTACATAAACACTTAAAAGATACGACAACTGCATTGAAAATGATAGAAATGGGTTTAAATGACGATAATGTAAGAACAGGACATCGTTTGGCACTCAATATTCGCCGACAAAACATTGAGAAGTCGGTGAAGACTAATCTTGCAATTGTTATTGATGTTGAGTTTGAAAATATCAAATACAATGAGACAACTATTTATGCGGAAACTTTGAAATATGTAATAAACGATCGAAAAAATATTTTTAAAACGACTGATTCTAACGGTGACGTTACTGTTATGTCCGTCGAAGATATTGTAATAAATCATTACAAAAACAATGGATATCCTAATGGTATACACACTGAATCACGAATATATCACACAATATTTGGTCTATTATTTTGGGATATTATATACACGAGTGATAGTCCCGGTGTTAGCGATGCCTTTCGGTTTCGATATCAACGCTTACCATTAGATTTCAATTCCGATCAATTCTTTTTGAGACGAAAACCACAAATTTTATCACTTTTAAGTACATTAAAGAATATGAATGAAATGCAAATAAATAATATATTAGAAAATTCTTGGAACAGTAACTTTGGAACCATTTCTTTAATCAATTGGGAGAATACAGACATTAATCAAATTAAAGTAAATATTTATTAATATCTAATTACCGATAATAGTTATAATGTGATTAACAGTATTATTTGACTTTATTTAATTAATTTGAAGGAAATTTTAATGTGTTTCGGAGTCTCAATTATAACAGACATTTGTGAGCGACTTATTAAGGATTTTCGTCACACGCGAAGTGGTTTTCCCGATCTATTAGTGTGGAACCCATTGACCCGACAAATAAAAGCTGTTGAAGTTAAAAGTCCTAACGATAGGCCGTCCAATAAACAAAAATTATGGCTTAATTTTCTTCAATCTATCGGAGCTGATGTTGAAATATGTCACGTAAAAGCTAATAAAAAGTTAGTGGCAAACAATACTTAAATTTTATTTTTTTCAATATATATTAACAATTAGTCAATAACAAATTAATTACAATATAATATATTTGTATGTTATTTATATTACCGGTAATATTAATAACTTTACTAATTTGTTTATATACACTATATTATACAAGATAAATATAATCTATTTAGTTGTAAAAGTTGTATAAATTTTTTTTAAATATATAACAATTTTAAACGATGTTTTTTATCAAACTCTTAATTCATTAATAATGAATCAATTTTGTTTAGCATTAATTAATTCAAATACTATAGTATAATAAACACAACAAATTTTATATACTGTATTATATATATGATGCACTTATTAATTATAATGTATTCAATTGATACAAACAATAATACTTTGAATTGTTTATAAATGTCAAACAAGACTCATATAATCAGTTGGAGTGGTTGTAGTGGTGGTTGTCTTAGATTTGCTTGTTTTACAATCTTTATCTTTAGTAGTCTGTCTGGTATTACTAGTTTTATAAGACAAGTCTTTGTGAGAATCAGCCGATAATATATTTAATTGCGATTCACTGCCAAATGAATAATCCCTCTTAAGTTTTGGTCTCATCTCATGAATGACACCACGAATTGTATCACTTTTGATGGCATTGAGACCCTTCTCCACTGTATAAGGCGTTGTGTCAGAAGATCTCTCGATATAAGACTCGTCTTGTCTTAAACTTTGATTATATTTATGTTTTTGAAAAAGTCTTTGTTTTGCACTTTGATTCATTGTTTCCATAATTCGCCGATTCTGTAGAAATAATATATTTTTCAAAATTAACTAAAGTTTTTGAAGATTAAATGAAATGATTTGATACCTCCATCACTTCTTTCCATTTGTCGACAGCATTTCGGGTCAATTCTATGCGCTTTAGTTTAGTTGTCGATCGTTTCTTATAAACAATTTCAAACATAATGAGTCCAATACCGGCAAATATGCCGAACCCGACTAATATGAAAACTCCGGCCATATTTTCGAGGCCAAGAGTGGCCGGAGAGTTGGCATCTCGTTTATCGCATATCTGTTCGTCTAAAAAGATCCATTTGTTGTCCAACTCTTCCATATAACCGATTTCATGCATACCAAGCAAAGCAAGTGTCACTTTATTGGTCCAATAACTGCTACCTTTTGTCAGTCCAATAGCATAACCCGATCGACCAAAAAGCTCTCCGGAAGTGCTTAACTCACAGTCTTTAGCTTTTTCAAAGTCAAGACGCGCTGAATCCCATATAAATGCATTTAAATCATCTGTAGTTTAAAAATAAAATTATTCCAAAACTATTACCTAATGATTGTCATATGATTTGTAATATAAATACCAGATTTGACGGCTGCGATGGCATCTTCAGAGTTATTATATATAATTTGCATTTTTGAATACATATCTCTCAGTTCCACTTGTCTGCGAAAATACATATCAATAGAGCTGTCCCTAACTGTTGAATAATTGAAATCTTTGTCGGGGTTTCTAAATCTCGGGTCATTGATTCCAGTCAGTGGTGTTTCAGGTCTGTCCAAAACGAGAAAAGCGGCTAAATTGGCAGTATATGATGCGACCACAATCATTGCAAATCCGGCCCAAACCATCCCTAATACTCTTCCTCCAAAGCTTCGTGGGGTTCCCTCACCGATACCACTGTTGAAGAGGACGCCCCACGCAAACCATATGGCACTTGAAAGGTTGAGCGCATCCTCTTCAGTGACATCACAATTGGGCAGTTTGTATCTACCAAATGGACTAAATCGGTCCAATAAGTATAATGCGAGTGCCACCACATGTACGGCCACAAACACTGACACCCATAGACTATCTTGAAATGGCTGGAGAAACGATGCCAATGGATGTCTGTGTCTGTTAATTGATTGTTTCTTTTGCAATATAGTTATTCCCTGATATTTAAATGGTTTTGTAAAGTCAATGACCAGCGATCTCTCCGGGTTTATGGTTAGGGGCGCCACAACCATATCTGCCTTATTGTAGTAAAGTTCACCAACTAATGGATAATTTAAAAAAAAATAATATTTAAGTATTAAGTATTTATTTAATTTAATTTAAGTTTATATACCTAAACCAGTCCATACTTTGCGAACGGAATTGTTGACAAAAGAGTATCCACCGTAAAGACCATCTTCGACCTGATGTAATGAATACGTGAAATTCAACTGATCTGCTAATGTCTTCAGCAAATCCATGCAATAGCCTTCACAGCAATATTTATGCTCAACTCCTGTCGTTGTGTTATATAATGGACAGGGAATCTGATCTACTGGACAGTTGCCATTTGTGTCGGCATCACTAACCCAAACAAACGGCTTCTCACTAATAGTTGCAACTCTAAAATGATTTGGCACTTCATAACCATATGGTTTGTTTGAACTATTTTTTGACCAAACTATTAGACTATCATTTATACTCAAAAGCATTTTATAATCACTTTGAGAGAAGTGGTATCGACCGATGATTTGATTGTTTCCATTATTGTCAACATTTATGATATCATATTCAGAATTAATTCGGTCGGCCTTCTCGTCGAAAGCCACGTGACCTGTCTTTCCGAAAGAAAGTTTTTCTTTTTTAATATAATCAAAGAGTATGGAACCACTCGACCATTTGAGTCGACCAATATCTCTACAATCTGATGGTGGAGTCGTTATATTATGTGTATAATACATGTTTCTAATGGCTGATCCAAGAATAAAGACACTGTCTTTAATATGACTATCAGTGCTGTAAAAATTTTGAAGACTCAATGATATCATTCCTATCGGCTTATTCTTAGCCATCAAAGCTTGTTCTGAAACAATCCAAACATATCCAGTGGTAGACATATTAAGGAGAAGTATTTGTTGGAACAGTGCTTCAGAGTCTTCGGAGTCGGTATATAATATGAAGACACGACATGTTGACTGTGACTTTGTTTCATCTAATGATTTGGAGACTTCAGGAAATCCCGGTTCGTATTCAATAACAGCTTCCACTTTAATATTTAACATATCAGCCAACTCTTCAAACCTATTTTGAACTCTTCTGCCATTGATATCATTGCTGTGAATGAATACAACACAATTGAAGTTCAAATAAGTCAGTAGTTCGGCCCAAATGTCCGCCTGATTTGTATACGAGGCAACTGTCCGCACATAAGTCGGAAAAAGACTTTTGTCTGATAGGAATGCTTCCCGATTGCAGATTCCTATTGTGGGAATGTTATGAAGTGTTGTCGTATAAGTTATTGGATCGGACGGTGAGGTGTCCTCAACGATAATACCGTAAACCTTATGATTAATAACTTATATTATAAAATATATCATAATTTTGTTTTGTTTAAAATAATGTTTGAATACCTGAGAAGCAAACAACTTTTCGCACACATTGAGTGTATTTCTGATTTTATTAGACTCTTTTATTATAGTATAACCATTGAATCTGATTCCTGTCCTTATAATATCACTTTCTTGATTAAGTTCTTCAATTGCCTTTAATAATAATAATAATAATAATAATTATTATTATTATTTGTATTTTTTATTTATAATATAAAACTTGAAATTTAAAAAATGATTGAATTTAGAAAATTCTTAGACTTACCTCCAAGAAGTGGTTATTATTATCATTAGATGTGAGAACAGCTCCGATATTATAAATAAGTGAGTTTGAGGTAAAACGATAGTCATATTTATCTTTAAATGAATCGCTTGACTCAATAATTTCACCGCATATTAGGTATATATTTAAATCAATATTTATCAAAAAATATATTGCTATGAATATAATGAAAGACATTTGCATTAAAAAATTTATTTATTTCAAATAAGATTTTAAATTAAAATTTTGAAAATCCCTAACAAATTATCATTTTTATAGACAACTAATTATAATATGAAATAAATAGTTTGACGGTTTGGGAACACAGATGAAGACTTCATCTCTTAAGTGATGCTCTCGTCTATCAGTGCTTTGCTTCGCGTATATTACATAAGCAGAGCATGACTTCATTGGTTTACACATCAATTGATCTGAATTTTATTAAAATTGTTTATTTTTCTTCTCTTTTATTGAATATTCAAAATAAATCAAACATTAAAAAAAATTATATAAACCATTATGTAATTATAATTATGTAAATTATAATTTATTAATATTAGTTACTAACAAAACTTTGGTTAAGTAATATGATATACCGCAATTAAATAACATAATTAATATATAAAGTGTTTGTTTTAAATTGTTGAAAAATTATTGAAAGTAATAATAATGTTTTTTTTGTTTTAATGTTGAAAATATTGTATACTTTATTATATTAAATTTACTTTATTATACATTACAATAGCGAAAATACCATACAATAAAATACAATCTATAAAAAAGTAATTTCAATGATGCAGTCATTGTATTTAAAGTCATTACATAAAACAATTCAATAATTGAGTGTTTGATTCAAAATAACTATTTATATATACATTGTATAAGTTATATAATATAAATTATTAGTTATTTTTATCTATTCGGTGATCAAATAATTATAATACACAATACCATAAAGTTTGTAAAAGTTATTATTGTTATGGCATTAAAATAAACTATAGACAAAAAAAAGTATATAGTTTTATATAGTTTAATATAAAACAGTTGAACATACAATATAATAGACATACATTACTACACTAAAAACATAATCTAATTTCGTATCGTAAAAATATTGATATCATTAACTTTAAACTTTAATAACTTTTTTATTTTTTAACTTAAATAAACAAATTTGATATCAAATAATAGAGTAATAAATCACAATTAAATTGATATACTAGATGGTCAAAACAATGGTTTAAATAACAAAATATATCAAGGTAAAGTTATAGGTGTTAATAATTTAGGTACAAAAATTATTTTCGTGTTTTTAAAACGCGCGTGATTTCAGACACATTGTTGGGACCAATTGATTCCAATGCATTGTTATTAATTTGAATACACGTAAATAAACAGTAAATGCAGTGATTATCATAAAAATGGTTAAAATACAAGAATTTTCAGATGCAATTCGCCAACAAATGTATGATATGAGAGTCAGCACCGGAAAGTCATACGCAAAAATAGCGGAACTGTTTACAACAACTGATAATACTGTCCGATCAATTGTAAAGAAAGTCGAAAAGTACGGGACAGTTAGAAATCTCGCAAGAAGTGGTCGAAAAAGATGTACCAGTGCTAAACAGGACAGGATATTGAGTCGAATTGTGGCAAAAAATAAGAAGTTGACCACCGATGAGATTAAGGAAGAGTTGGCCGCCAGAAACATTTTGTGTCACAGAAACACTATTAGACACCGGATTCAAGAAATGGGTTATTACAGTGGTATTGCGCGAAGACGTCCAATGATAAGCCTAACAAATCAGAGAAAACGATTAGACTTTGCACGAAAGTACATCCGGATGCCTATGTCATACTGGAGGAAGGTCTTGTGGTCAGATGAGTCAAAATTTGAGATTATTAGTACTAAACGTCGCCAACGAGTGTTTAAAAAGAGAGGCGAAAGCATTAATCCTGATAATATATGTCCAACTGTGAAGCACTCGAAATCAGTTATGGTATGGGGGTGTATGACAGGCCAGGGAGTTGGCCATTTGGTCGAAATTCCATCAACTATGGACCGCTACATTTACGTTAACAATATTTTGACCCCACATTTGCTTCAGAGTGCCAGAGATCTACAAATAAGCGATGATTTTTTATTTCAAGCGGACAACGACCCAAAGCACACATCAAAATTGGCAAAGAAATGGTTGTCTGACAATCAAATTGAGACACTTGAGTGGCCGCCACAGAGCCCTGACCTCAATATTATTGAACATCTATGGGATGAATTGGACAGACGTGTGCCAAAGAGCGAAAGAAAAAGTTTTTCTGCGTTTAAAGAGTCGTTATTTAATGTCTGGAAAAATATACCTGAAGAAGTCACAGAAAAGCTGATCCAAAGTGTTCCAAGAAGATTGCAGGCTGTGATTGATGCCAACGGAGGCAATACTCGATATTAATATTGTTTTTACTAAATTAATAGCTTTATTTTGTTAATAATATTTAAAGTTTTGATTTCACGAAAATACTTTTTGTACATAACTTTTTTTACCATTTCTTACTTCTTATGCTTTTTTATAGATAATATGATAATTAATGCAATTTTATTTATTGACTTATAAACTTTGAAAAGTGTTCTTTCATTTGATATCAAATTTGTTTATTTAAGTTAAAAAATAAAAAAGTTATTAAAGTTCAAAGTTAATGATATCAATATTTTTGCGATACGAAATTAAATTATGTTTGTAGTGTAGATGTTATAATTTTTGCATTTACTCTATAAGTTTATTTAATTTAATATATAGAGTCTCGACAATAATTAATATAAATTTATATTGAAATTGCAAACAATTAATAATCAGGTAATAGGTTTGTCACCAAAATATCATTCAATTGATTAATCATTAATAATGACTTATTAAGTAATATTATTAAACAATTATAAGCAATTGTTATGAAATAATATTAATTATAAATTAAAATTATTAAAATATTGTAACTACTGTACCAATATATATTAATATATAAATAAATAATCAACTAATTATTATGTTAAACCAAAATATATGGTATAAAAAGTAAAATTTTTATGTATTAATAAATTACTTTTAAATAATTTGAAGCAATAAATTGACATTTTATTAATTTAATGACATTTGAAAATCTGATAACAAATTATGATATAACTTATTATACAGTATAACAAAATGATTGCAATAAAATTTAAGTGCATATCAAGTGCACAATCAATGTGTGAATATTTTATTTAAAAAAAATAATTTTGTTTTCATATACATGTAATTACATAATAAATGTAATGTTTGTTTGTATGTATATGTGATGCAATAGTTATGTAATCCTTTTAATATATAAATTTTCTTTAAAATGTTTTAAAGATTTGTCTCTAAATCCTTATAAATAATATCCGGAGAAAAATTAGTGGAATTCATATAAAACATGAGTTTCCTCTGTGTTTGACTGTATATCCTATTCATTCATATAATTACATCTATAAACTTATAAACAGTTATTACAGTATATACCAGTGTTGGCAGAGACAAAGTGTATTATACAGTATAATACAATGTAAATTATATGACAATTTTTTTAGCGCCACATAATAACAAAAATACTAAGATTCACAAACAAACACATGTTTTGTAATAATAGTTATTTTTTATTTTGAAAAAATTTGAAATTAACTATTGGTATATGGTATTGAAATATATTAATAAAATAATTAATATTAATTTTTAATAATTTTAGAAAACAACGATTCTAATAACGATATTGAAATTGTGTAACAATAATAATCTTAATATAAAAATAAATATTTTATTATTGTTAATCTAATTTTTCTATAATTGTAAAATACATCCAATACATTGTATTTTACTGTATTTTACTGTATTTTACTGTATTTTACTGTATTTTACTGTATTTTACTGTATTTTACTGTATTTTATAAAACCAAAATTAAAAACCTTGTATTTTTCCAACTCTGGTATATACACACTGTATAAGCATATCATAGCAAACATAATATTCACATTATATTCAATGCATTCAATGAATAACACTTTTGGCTACTTTTCTGATGCAATCTAAGCATTGAATTACTAATACATTGCATGTTAGAGGTCTACATCAATACTTTTAAAATACCCAAACCGTAAACTTATTATTGAATTTAAGTGAATTTTTAAAAAAATTATAATTATATTTACAAAACAAGTTATTTCATATGAATTGCTACTATTTTGCTAATCATTTGATATATTATAATAAAGTATTAAAAGTTTGAAAACTTTTTTTAGTTGTTGACTGACTGTTGTTAAGGGAAAAAATATTATAAAGTATAGTATAGTTGTAGTGTTTTGCGTCAATGTTTTGAACAGAGTATTAGTTAATTGAGACACTCATTGAAAGAATTGATTAAATTTTGTTTAAACCAATTAATTGATTAAATATTAATACATAAAACTTGTTTTCAATGCATATTAATAATGATATTATTATATTATTGTGAATAAACTTTGAGTTGGATTTCAATGAAGGTCTCTATATCTGCACTAATGATAATCACATTGTTGTTAACAGTAATGGGCGGAGACATTGACTGAATGAGCCAATCGGCTAATAGAATGACATCATTGATAGCCATTGAGTGAATAGATTGTTAGCGATTGCGTCGTTGAGTCCACTCTTTGATCGCATTGTTTGTCATTTCCTTCACTTTTGACTCCATTTTATTGTTAAACAAGACTTTGAAGACATTAACAGATAAAGTGATTGTAATTAAGTTATGGACTAATTGTTTGGTCAACTAATTAGCGCACCATTTGGTGTCGCAGACAAACATTAATATAAACATGGCGTAAGTATCACTATATTTGATCCATTAGTATCTTAATATTAACCACAATTAGATGTAATATTAAGTGATAATATGTTTATATTAATAATGCTATCGATTGTCATCAACAGGTCTTTTACGGGAGTTTTACACATTTGTATTGAATTTAAAGAAAAATCCATAAAAAGTAAACATTTATTAAACAAAAATGATAGCAAACAAGTGTCAGATGATGTCAGTCGAGATGTCTTTGGATTCGGGCCTTATCTGGCCATCAGACCAATCATTCTTTGCTAATGATTGGTCGACCACACAGTCATTCATAGCACCGCAATCACCACAAGAACAAGTGAACGCACCGGACAGCCAATGGCTCCAAGATTTCGAAGTATTCAAAGGCTTATGCGATGACATTGACTTAGGCCTCAACTATGAACCCGACAACACATTCGAGGCGATGACTAAAGAGGTTGACAGTGAATGTGTCACTAAAGTCAATGAATACATCGATTACTTGGATTCAACCGCTTTCTTGAGTCCTGAGTCACTGAACCCATTGTCACCGGAAGTCACTCTGGCATCCGATGACTTTGTAGATCAGTTGGACTTAGCGGCTCAAGATTTGAACTCGACATCTGCTATGACTATATTAGAAGAGATTCTTTCATCGGCCAACTCTACCGATAGCGAAGAATGCTTTGACTCTGAGCTCGATCTTCAGTTAATAACTGAAGTTTCGAAAGATCCTCAAAACTATGACAACATTTATGTAGAGACTTCTGTTTCAAAGCGTAGACAAACTAAACGCAAAGCCGTTGAAAGTATTGAAAAAGTGGAAAAAGCGATAACTAATAACAAAAGGAAGAAAACGACGGTTATTGAGAAAAAAGAGCGCAAAAGAAGTCAAAACAAAACGGCTGCCAATAGGTATCGTATTAAGAAAAGGGCAGAACTGGAGTCGATTGAAGAGTTAGAGCAGAGATACGCCAAATCTAATGTTGATTTGATGGCACAGTTGCAGAAACTGCAGATGGAGTTCAAAGTGGTTTTGCCGTTGGCAAAGGCAGCGTTCGCTTCAGACAACAACAAAGCACTACAATTGCAAATGTTGGACATCCGTGTACTCAATGATAACCTTCTCGATTGAATCAATTCATTTAATTTCTATTTATATTAATCACATTATTTACAAATCCTATATCACATTATTTTTAATCCTTAAATAATCATTAATTTAGTGGTGAATGTATTAGTGTAAAGAAAGACTGTATTGAATTCTATATTTTTATTTCGATTGATATCAATAAAAAACATTTAAAAAATAACTTAGTGTCCATTGGAAGCATACCTATAAAGATAATTAATTGGTGTTAAAATACTGTATTTATAAGATATAAACTCATTTCAGTCAATACATTAATCAAATGTCGGACAACAGATCAATTCAATAGTTGTATAAACTATCAAATGCTGACCAATTAATCGCATTGATTTAGCACTGTGTCTGCCTGTCCATCACTATTGTCTAGTGATTTACATTCAATTCAGTGCACATTAAATATATTTTTTAAACAAATCAATAATTACCGAAATTGAAAATTGCTGAAAATTGGTTATCAATATATTAGGAATATTTTTGTTATGCCATTACACAGCTCCGGCCATTTGTGCCGAAACGGATGGGTTATTGACTTTTTCTCCCAATGCATTGAGAATTTCCTCCCTATAGTCATCAAAGTCGCCATCAATTTCATCAATATTCTGGTGTTCAATAACCCAAAGCTGACAATCAGTTTCCCGAATGAGTCTCTCGTCATGTGTGACTACAATAACTCCGCCTTCAAATTCATTGATAGCTTTGGCCAACGCATCGATTGACTCTAAATCTAAGTTATTTGTCGGTTCATCTAATATGAGAACGTGTGGACCCTTTAACGCCATTTCACATAAAGCTACCCGACTTTTTTGGCCACCACTGAGTTGTAAGTTGGGTATGGTATGTGCGTGCGATATAAGACCAAAAGAGCCCAATTGCTTGCGGGCCTCCTGATAGGTCAGGTTAAAGATTCGCATCAAGTATTCGGTAGGCGTTTCTTCAGTAGTCAGGTGTTCTCCAGAGTGCTGATCAAACTTAGAAATTCTTGCCCTATGATTGACTCTCATCTCACCCTTTAGTGGTTGCACTTCACCACTCAATAACTTTAAGAAAGTACTTTTGCCGACACCATTGGGACCAACAATAGCTATACGACTGGACATATCGATACCAAAGTCAATGCTTTTAAATATTAAATACTTTTGATCGTAACCAAAGTCTACGTCATGTAAACCAAGAATTGGTGGTTGAAGTGGAGGCGCATTATTGAACTTGAATTTAACCACATATTCTTTATGTCTCTTAAGCAGTTCCCCGACTTGAGTTTCTCCTTGTTTTTGTCTTTGTTGTTCTTTAACATGTTTTTCTGCTATTTTTCCTGACTTACCGCTGGCTTTAAGTGCTTTAATTTGTTTTTCTTGTTTTTCAAAATCTTTCTTAAATTCTCGTTTTTTCTGTTCATACATTTTCTTAAATTGTGTATAATTTCCTCTATAATAAAATAATTTTTGTTGATCTAAATGTATAATATCTGAACAAACATTATCTAAAAATGACTGGTCGTGTGACACAACTATTAATGTCTTCTTCCAGTTCTGTAAATAATTGTCTAACCAAATGACGGCATTTAAATCTAAATGATTGGTCGGTTCGTCCAAAAGTAGAAGAGTTGGTTCCATGAAGAGAGCTCTGGCCAGTGATACCCTCATTCTCCAACCACCGCTGAAGTTCTTTGTCGCTCTGTTTTGCATTTCGGCAGTAAATCCCAGACCCGCTAATATACGACGAGCTCTGGCTTCGGCACTATCGGCGCCCATTGCGCTTAACTTCTGATAGATTTCATTAATTTTATCACTATTACCATCACTGGCTAATAATTGGTCCAATTCTTCTTGTAATTTAACTCTTTCGACATCACTTCTGAGAACAACATCCACAGCACTTGTCTCATCCGCCATCACTTCCTGTTCGCACAACAATACGTCTAACTCTAGTGGCAAATGAAGTGCTTTTTTATCGGCAATGTGTCGCATAAGAGTTGTCTTTCCGTGACCATTAGGTCCTATAAGACCATAACGGCGACCCATTGTTATAGATAGGGAAGCATTAACTAAGAGCTCTTTCCCGGCGGCGCTTATCGTAAAACATTCAACTTTTAAAGAGTTGTCCAACAATTGTGTCGAAGCAGTGGCTGAAGTTGAAACTGTAAAGTTTGAGTCAAGTCTGGCCACTAATTCTGCCTCTTCGGCCTCTCTTTGCTTTTCTAACTTTAGTTTTCTCTTCTCTTTATGTGTCAACTTCTTCGGCAAAACAGAAGGTATGTCATTGGCTTCTTCAGCTGTTGAACTAATGGTGACAATCAAATGGTATATATTTTTGATTAATATTTCATCAATAAATACAAACGCTATTTATGATAATTTTTGATATCTTAATACAATTTAATGTTTTCAAAAATTAATATTACTATCTTTAGTTTGGATCAAATTGGGTGATACTTACGACATGATTGCGGTGTATAACTGCCGGCAATGCTATCAATAATATTAATATTATGTGATATGTGTTGACACGTGTGGTAAACGACACACAAAATAGTGTATCAAATATTGCAATAAATGCATACAATCTATAGGTCACACATATATGATGTGACACTTTATCAACTTATTATTAAAATATTATAATCTCTATTATAATCTTAACTTACAGTACATTATGTTTGTCTATGTATTATACAGTACTAAAAAGTTTACAAAACATTAATTAAATTAACACTTTTATAATAAATATAAACACAAAATCATTTACAAACAAACAAAAAATTAATACATTTTATTATACGATTGTTTCATCACATTGCATAAAAGTATTATACTTAATAATAATAATAATAATTTAATTAATAATAATTTTACGATTGTTTTTATATGCTTTTATGTACTATTTATTATATGATGAAACAATAGTATAATAAAATGTATTAATTTTTTGTTTGTTTGTAAATGATTTTGTGTTTATATTAATGAATACAGTACTGTATATAACTTATCATTGATAAGTTATCATCAATTTTTATTTGTTATTATCTAGATTTATAAAATTGAAAATGTATATTGATTAACTTTTTGTGGTTAATATTAATAATAGATTATAATAATTTAATACTTTTTTGGGTTTTATAAATTTAAAATGATTAAAAGTGACCAATTATAGTAATTTAATGCTATTTTAATGTAACTAAAACTTATATTTAATTTCAATATTAATACTTTATGTTTAATCAATTAATTACTAAAGGTATTTGTCATTCAATACATTAAAACTATTTGAAATACAGTATTTCAGATACTTTTAATGTATATTACTTTGTTTTTATCTTAGAGTATAATTTATATTTTTAAAAGTTGTTAAATTATTATGTAATTTATTTAATATTTATAATTATAAAATATTTTTTCTTTAAAAATATTATATAATTTAAAATTAATCAAATCAGACAACATTTTTGCTGATATTTTTCAGATCTTATCTTATAATTAATGTGTAAAAACTTTATATTATGACATTTTATGTAATTAGTACTGTATTTACTAATGAATAGAAAATGTATAAAATTATTGCTAATAATTCATTATTAAATTTTTAAAAATTTGTTTTTTCAATGCTTTTAAAATGCAATAATTATAAAATAATAAACACAAAAATATTGGCGTATGCTTATAATAATACTATTTTTATAAACTATAATTTTGAAAAATAATATTTATTTTTTCTATGATATAAATATAAAATAAATTACAAATAAATTACAAATAAATTATGACATTTGCATGCTATTTTTTAAATCAAAATTTTATAAATCAATAAAATATTTTTTATTTCATTTATTTAATTATAAACAATAGTAATTATATATAATTAGTTTTTAAAATTATACAGGTAAAGTTATACGTGCATATAAAATTTTATTAATCATGTTAGAGATTTTTAAAATTATTATTTAACAATTTTTTAATACTTTTAAATCAAAAAGCAATAAATAATAAACAATTTGTACTAATAATTGCATTCATGCAACTCAAGAGTATTTACACACTTATAGACTTTAAGACTTATTTTATAGACATTATTCAATAATTAATAATTATTAGAATATATTATACGATATTATTAATTTTAAATACTGTATATTATTTTTATATTATTTAAACGACTAATTATTCAAATACAAGACTGATTTTTATGGTTTAGTTAGTCAAACAAGACTTTTGTGGCACACAAACAGTATTGTTAAATGTGTTGGCAATTAATAAATGATTTATTAAAATGTAGATAATATAGTAATAGTAATAATAATATTTATAAAAAAACAATAATATTAGTGAACATCTTTAAGCTGTGTTTAATTGTTTTGTACACATATTGTGCTTACCATACGTGCAGTCATTATCCTTAATCTCAAAGTTTTGCCACAATTTGTTGGTTCAAGAAAAGCACGATTTGTTTTAAAATATCTTTTATATACCGATATATGTCTTTAAAATCATGTTTATTAATATACTGTGTGTTTAGTATCGCACGTAATATATCTTTACCTATATATATATATATATATATATCTAAAATAGGACTCAAAACTTTTATTGAACTTGAAATTGCCTGAAGAGGTATTCAAATTGAAGCGAAAAAAATGTATAAAACATTTAAATGAATTTATCATAAAAAGTAAATATATGCGTAATTTTTTTTAATTAGTTTTTTGTTTTTTTAAAAAATATTTTTGTTGTTATTGAGATAATATTTTTGCTGACACTTTATTATTAATTTAATAAAACACTTTAATTGTGATAACTATACACGAAAAGTCATTTATATTTTTTATTATATATAAACCGGATTTTTAAAAATAAATATACCGGTAATAATTTTTATTGTCTTAAATAATTAATTGTGAATAACTTAATAAAAAATATATAATTTTAATTTACATCTTTAATCATATGATGGTTTGCATTACAAATGTATACATTTATAATTTATACTAATTATTAGCATAACATTATTTATAATAAATGATATGTCAACAATTTTTTTATGAATATTAAATGATATTTTACAATGAAAAACAAGTTAAGAAATATAGAAATATATATTAAAATATTAGCAGAAATTTTTATTAAATGTTTAAATATATTTATTTGTATTATTTATTTTTTGGATAACGATTATTTTAATTTAAGAAAAATTAAAAATTTAACGGTTAACTATATGATATGATGATTTATATAATATATTTATATCCATCAAATTTTGCAACATCTAAGCACACGCCTAATCATAATAAATGAGATTATTTTATCAATATTTGACAATTGATTGAAAAACCTTAAAATTCAATTTGAATATAAAGAGCTTATATAAAATTAGGCCGCAGTTTGTTATTTGCATTTATTGTTTATTACAGTTATCACTAAAAATGATTTTTATTAAAAAAACTATATAAAGCCCTAATTTACTAGAAATATAAGAGAAACTTTTAAATGACTATACAATAATAACAGTTTAAATACTGTATAATAATAATTGAATAATAAAAATAGAAATATACTAATTATATAATGGACTTAAATAGCAATACTGTAAATGTTTAAAACATAGACTAAAACAGTTTTTTGTTTGTTAATATCTTCCTGTATTTAACTTCAATTCAATTAAGATAATAACATTAAGTCAATTATAAAACAATGCTATTTTTTGAGTTTAAATAAATCAAATTTAAAATTACTACATATATATTGTAATTATAAATGATTCACTTTTGTTAAAATTATAAATAAAATAATAATAATTATATAAATAAATTTACAATTACAATTATTTAAATTTATTTTATAATTTTAATATACTATATGATATAATGAAAATAAAAATATGTATTATATATAAATATTAGAAAAATACATGTACCGGTATATTAAAATTGTTTATCACAAAAAATGATCTAGGCACATATAATTATCAAATAAAAATTTACTATATTTTATAATAAGTAATTTTACAATAAAACATTTATCAAAACATTTATCAAAACATTTATCAAATTTAAAAAAATCACTTTATTTCACATTATTTCACATATCATAAGCTGAAAGTCGTGTTGAATCAGTAGCTGTTGAGTGAAGATTTACTAATTTCTTCTTTGATATGTAAGACATGGCTTCAGATTTGCAATGATTATGGCTTTGATTGAGCTGTAAGTCTGACTGTTGGACAATCCATTTTAAGATGCGATCCCTTTTGGATATAGAGTCTGGATCTAAATGTATGTCACTAATAAAATGTCCAAATTTGCGACGACTATAACATTGACACACTTTACGACCGCTGATGAAGAAGCAAATGATTGATATAATACATGAAAGGATACAAAATGTCAACATTAAAGTATTGATGAGAACTGTCGGCGGATTGTAAGTCAAATCAAAGCTCTTCACATCAAAACTTTGATTTAAGTTATAATTAGTCTCGAGTTCATTGTAATGAAGAACACTATTGGCTATTATTATGGATAGACCACCGGTCAGACCAATGGTGATCAGTGATGATAACATAAGTATATAAAGTTGACACCAACTGCGCGACCGATTGCCGGTCATAATAGCGATGAAACCGTTGAGAACAACCCAAACACCGATCGATGTCTCGCAATAGACAGCAGTTATAGTGATCTCGTTTTCAATGAGTGCGTAAACCACACCAAACAAACATAATATAAGTCCACAAGTGGTCGATGCGATCCCTAAGCCTATCATCAACTTTATTGAGTAATAAGACGATCCGTTTATAAGAAGTGCCTCAACCCGACTCTTTGTGGGCACTTTGGCTGCCACTGTGCCGATTGTGGCCATTGTAGGCATTGCACTATTAGTCTCAATTAGGACTCATTTTATTAAGACTCATACACAGGATTTAACAAATGACATCACTTTAAACCATCATTTTATTAATACTTAATACTGTATATCCTTTAAAAGACACCAAAATTATTACAAATCTAAATAAAAAATGCGTTCAAATCTGCACACAAAGTGTTGAGTAATAGTGTTAAGACTTGTCTGTTGTGACACCACTCCCGAAGATAGTGATAACAGTGGTTAAGAGACAATCGCTCTCTTTTCTAATGAACCACTGGTTCGCCTTCTTTATTGAACGAGTCTTTAATTTGGGTCACAAACCGATTGTCTTTGTTTTGTATGGCTTATGACCCGTTCCACTGCTTCTATATTACCAGTGCTTGAGATAGTGCTTCCTTAAGCATCATATCGTTTGCATTTGTAGGTCAAGGCTTGAAAAAAGTTGTTTTTTATAGCACTACTAATATATTTGCTATTTAAGTGATAACTGTTGTTAAGCTTTAATGCGTTTTTTGTTTAGATCTTCTTCTTTAACTCTCAAACGCCAACTCCTATTCCCCTACTTTACTATCGATACAAAGTCAGTAAAGTGTCTCTCATTTATAACATTATTGAAGACAATAATAAACCGCAAACCAACCATCACTTCAGCTTCAATTTCATACCACAAAACTTCTTTAACTATCACTCAATAATAGCATCCAAAGGCGTTTTAATCCAAAACAAGTCATTGAATTGCTTTGGATTCAGGTTAAGATCAATAACAATACAGTATATACAATACAGTGATATTATTAATTAATTAAAATATTTTACAAAATCAATTATATATACACAATACTATTACAATGTCATGCCTTTTAATAATCATATTTAATTATTAGTTAAAAATCAATTCAATGTGATTAATAAAATGATAATATAAGTAATAATTATTTTAATCAAAATTTTCAAATAATGTACAAATAAATCATTGCATTACATAACTTGAATTAATGATTATATGACTTGTAGCCTACAAATACAAGTTATAGGTTATGTACACTTATATTTTAAATTGAAATATTTTAATGAAATGGTTAAATAAATAGGATTTCTCAAAATGAATTAAAATTTAAGTTACTTTTTTTGATGCAAAATAAATTCAAATATCATTTAATATAGTCATAATGTAATGATATGTAATATATTGATTCAATAATCGTAAGATATATCAAAAAATACGTATTATTTAAAAAGCGATTCTTCATAATCAGGAAGTAATTTGTTTCAATCAAACAAATAAAAATTGTTTTCAATTTTAAATTTTTTATTATTATATAACAATATTACACATGCAATAAAATGGTAAATGAAATATATTTTGATGTCATTTTATTTCAATTTACAATATATTTGTAATAATAATATCATTATATAAAAAAGGTGAGAAAAGTACTATACATTATTGAAAAAAAACTATAGCATAAAAAATAAAAATCAATTATATGTTTGCTTATAATACACAACATAATAACAAAAAATTGATGTCACTTCTCATAAATAATTTATTTTATTTTCGAGTCTCATAAAAATTAAATACAAATAATAAATAAAAGTTTGTGATAATTATCGGGATTACGGTTGAATGCTTTGTTTGAATTATACGGTATATAAAAAATAGACCTTAAAAAGTGTCGTACACTTGACTACATTATGATACTAAACATTGTGTTAATTATCACAAAAATAGATCAATTAATGAAACCATTTTTGACGATTCATCAATTAATTATCTATTTGATTGCTTACCTATTTGGTTAAACTATACTTAATATATTAAAATAATGAACAATAGTTATTTGTTAGTTATTAATATAGTATACAGTAGTATACAATATACTATACATTATATAATATATATTTTAGTATACTATATACAGGTATTATATATATCCTACAATAATATAAGGTATAGATAAAAGAAAAAATATAACAATATATTAAGTAATAATTTGAAAAATGTACCATTAAAGCATATTATTAAGATTCATATCATTATGAAAATATATTATTTATTTTGATTGTAATAATGTGTACTAATAGATAATATCTAAACCAAAATTAAAATTATTAAATACTATTCTTTTGTATATAATGTAAAAATAACCACAAAATTCATTAAAACGAAATATCTGGTGTTTAATATTGAATACTAGTTTTCATTTAAATATTTAAATTCTATACAATAATGTTAACTTAGATAACATATAGATGACCATTAATTTGGATCAAATAATAGCAATATTTATAATCTGGATCATTGAGTGAAACAATTAATAAATTACATGTTATACATCAATAAATACAACAAAATTGTGATCAAAAAATTTTATTTGCAAATAAATATTATTATTAGACATAAAATTAAAAGCTTTAGGCAATGAATATAATTTCAAACATTTTTGTTTCATTTTCTTTCAGACATATAAATAATGATTTCATTGCATTGAAATTAGAGCAGTATTTAAATGAAAAAAGTATATAATGAAAATCAAGTTTTTCCAAATAATAATGCAGTAAATACATACATACATACATACATACAGTATTGTATTTATTAATAAATAACAATCAAAATTTTTGTTTCGTTTTTATTATAACTTTAATTTCAATTATTGTTATTAAAATTAATAGCAATCGATAAGAATATCTGAATTTATAAGAGACGAGGATATTATGTCATCAAAAACAGTCAAATTGGGTGAATCATGACTGCCCTCCAAACTAAACCATTTTATATCAAACTTTATGAGAAATTCAATAATTATAGTCATATTTACAGAAATTATTTCTTTGAACTCATTATTATCATTGAGTTTATTGAAATTATTTTCAATTATTTCTTTACCTAACGATTCATAGTTAGTCTCTGAGAACTTATTTTCAGAGCTCATATAATATTGTTTTTGAAAGTAATCAATAATTTTGACTACAATTTGTTTAACTTTATATAAAAAGTCAGTCCCATTGATTAAATGATAGATAATGTGAAAAAAATAAAATTCAATAAACAAATTAATCGCTTGTTTGAAGCCTTTATGTTCAACAAATTGCTTGAATATAGTGAACAATAATTGTAATGCATTTGTTTGCAAATCTTCGTCCAAATCAATGACTGAAAGCTTGCAAATGGTTTGAATGATTGTCGAAAATAATTGTGAATTTTGTGTTTGAGTTTCAATCAATTGCAAAATATTTTCATTCAAAGTCTTAATTATAATAATTTTGACGTTCAGTTCATCAATTAATAGGAGAGATGTTAGGTATTGTAGATTACAATAGATCTGGACATTCAATTGTGTCAATTGTTGTTCAGAAAACTTTAAAGTCATTACCAGTAGAGTCGACACTAAAGTAGATCTCAATGTTGTTGAATACATGTTATCCTCATTTATAGTCCATATCTTTACAACTGATTGCATTAAATCAGCACAAATGCATTGCAATTGTCTATCATTTATAATACAATGAAACAAACAATATATGACTTCAACAATGCTATCAACTAATTCCCAATTATTATCATTTAATTCATTGCTGATTAAAAAACTATTCAAATGTTTGCTGAACTCACTGATAGTATTTTCTTGTAATTCATTATCTTCTGGTAACTGTTTATTAGTAATAAAATCTCTTAAATTTTTTAAAATAATAATTTTATAATCATTAGCTATCAGTGTTAATAGTCGGCAATAATTATCAACAATATAAGCGTTTAATTGATTTGTAATCACATAATTGGCGCATAACTTATCCAACAATACAATACATTGCAAAATAGTTTTTCTCTTATCTTTCATTATATGATTTAATTCAATGAATTTAAATACAATTTTGACAATTAAGTCAAATCGTGGTTTGCATTGAATGAAATTTAGATTTAATTTAATCATTTGCTTTAAACAAAAATCAATAACTTTTTTGTCACAAAATCTTTCAATAAGCTGTTTATCATTGCTTTCAATGTCTAAGCAATTATTATAATCCATGTTAACAGCTAATGATCCAACCGTACAATTAAACCATTTATTAACAAATAAATCATCAATTGATCCACTGTTGACATCAATATAATTAGTTAGAAAAGCTATTAAAGCAATCAAATCATTAGTTTCGTACAATTTTGTCATTACTTTGATAGCTATTTCATTATTATCAATACAAATGCCTATTGTTTGGCACAATATATATAGCTTTTCGTCAAAATGTTGTCTCCAGAAGTCAATGTAATTAAACAAAACTTCATTTATTTTAAACTTAACAATAAATGTTTGTTTGTCCGAAATCTTGAGCAAACATTCATTGATTAAATGAATATTAAGTGGAGTTATGGCTGAAAGCATTTTGTCCATCACTTGACACATCACTTGAGACAAGTTGTCAGTAGATAACGAGTGATTAATTAAAGTGATAAACAATTTCATAACTTCTTGTTCAACATAACGGGTATCACTTTTATTCATAAAATACCACAAAATATTTACAAAACTTTTATTATTCGCCGAATTAATCAAAGTTGTGGACAAAATCCAGTTGAGACCCAATCGATGATCACTTATGTCATTAAGACATCGAAAAAATGAAAACTTTAGCGAAGATTTGCTACTATTAATCACTTCCTGGGAAATCAATTCAATAAATTTAAGACAATTTTGTTGTCTCATAAAGAGCTCTTCATCGGCCAAAAGAGTACCACAAATACGTAACTTATGCGCCATTTGTTGCCAATCATAGCAATCATGGTTTGCCATCAGATCATTCAAAGTTGGATCAATTGACTTCTGCAGACAATTCAATATTAAAGTCTTGTCATTCACTGTCAATGAGATGTCGTGTTTCAGAAATGACAACAACTTCTCGATGAGAGTGTCGTCACAATTGACATGAAGACAATCATTGAGAACCACTTCCAACGATTTGATAACTTTGATCAAATCGATACTTGTTTTAGACATGTCTTGAGATGTCACCAAATGAGACCAAATATAATGAATTACTAAATTGACAATCAATTCAACAATCAGTTCAATCAAAACAGTGTCACATGTTTTGCGTTATGTTATGTTTGAATGACTCGTATTTATAGACATTTAATGAATTGTTTTGCTATTTATTAATATTACTGTAATTTAGAGTAATTAATGTAATGTTTGTTTTATTGCATATTATTATTATTATTATTATTATTATTATTATTATTATTTATAATACGATATAATAACTAAAGTATTATTGATTTGATTGTGAAATACTTGTAATTAAATAAACATTGATTTCAACAGTTATTTATTAATAATTATATCAATTTATCATTTTGTTTAACAAAAAGATGAAACTAATGTTGAAAATGGTTTGAAATTTAGTTATTAATAACAAAACGATATAAAAGTCATGAATAATATTGAAATGTATTTAAAAATAATTGTATTATCATTGAGTGTCTTTGAGGGCGCATATTGTGGTATGTCTTCAGATATGTCATTGTATTTGATTTATTAATGTGTTTTATGTCTAACAGCCACAGTCTTTGTGTCCGATGACGGGCCGGGAGTTCTGGACATTCCCATCACATTTACAGCCAAATTAATAGGAGGCGATACACCTATTGATATGCAAGACTATGGATATGTGTTTGAAGCCAGAGAAGTATATCCTCCGCATAGACAAGAGGTTAGGGGTAAGCATGAGGTCAACTATACCATCGATTACAAGTCAAGTGAAACAAGTGAAGGCTTGTATACTATGAAAGTACAGGTCTTTATCTATATTTGGGGTATCAAAGGTTGGCTCATAGCTGAAGACATTCATCAGTTTAAACTTCAAAGTATGTTATCAATTGACTAATGAATCGGTAAATTGATGAATACATTTAATTAATTGATATATTTGGTGATTATAGATGGTTTAGCGGGAAGTATTAATATACAACAGTCAGGTCTTCCCGATAAAGCCCTTAACCAATCATTGGTGGCCACTAACCGAACTGTAGAAATGAATGCTGTCATCAATGATGGTTCACATTCACTAAAGAATGCGTCCATTTCTTATACATGGATTGTGGACAGTCATAAATTTGGTCCCAATAATAGTTCATCAAATAATGTTAATTTCACCGAAAGTAAAGATTATGATATAAATGTAGTGATAATGTGTAATATAACGCGCGGTAATACAACACTCAATAAATTGGGTCGTTTTAGTCGTCAAATTAGAGCCAGAAATTCCATTAAAGAAGTAGTGGTTAAAGGAAATACATGGCTACAGGACGGCGCTGTCTTGCATCTGGAGGTGAACTGTACGGGAGGTGACAAACCATTTTGGCACTGCTATCAGTTCTCAAAGAACTTTCGGCCAAACTTTACCTGTGATAAGGAGTTAATTTACTCAAATAATGATTGCTTTTTTCCGATCACTCATTACTTCCGAGAGAATGGCACCTATTATGTGGACATTGGAGTCTATAATGATGTGACTTATATTAACAAATCAATCAAAATTAATGTTTATGAAAGTATGTTACAAACGTGTAATGATTAATATATTGATATCTTATATTAATTAATTAATTTTAATTATTTTTTTGTTGATTTAGTTATAAGAGAAACACAGTTGACATTTGTGATAATCCCAATTGTGAGTTCAATATTGGCTATCATTATAATAGTTGTGGCCATTGCTTATCACTTACAACAAAGGGCTTCAAATAATCTTACACTAGAAGTGGCAGATTTTGACTTTCAAAACAATGATAATCTTATGGAAAAGACATTCTTCGAGAGACTTCGTGAGTCCATCGCAACAGCAATGAGAGAAACATTCTTCTATCCGTGTAATCCATGTACCAGAGCTGCCATTCGTGATTACGATCAAATCATCGACGACGACAACGTCAACACAGTCACTAACTGTTCACCAATTAATACAAATACAGTAGCATATGGTGGTTTCAAATATTAGTTTATTGTTTTACTTTGTATTATTATTAATATTGTGTATATATATATATATTTGTAATTATGGTAATCGAAAAGTTATTTATTTTACAGTAGTTTATGTTGAAATTAATTATGAAATATTATTTGTAAATTATGTTTAAATCCCATAAAATAAACCAATATTACTTACAGTAGTAGATAAATAAATTTATAGTATATTTTATGATAAGAAATTAAACGTTTATTAATATTATATTTTTTATTTTAATAAGTCTATGATTACAAAAGATTAAAATGTTGGCAAAATTAAAACAATCAACAATAGTATTATAATGTATATTATAACTTATAATTACAAATAAATGGTATGTTTGGTAAGTTTAATCTCGCATTTGTTAATAATATGTACCGTAAGTTGTTTTTATATATACCGTAATTATTATATCCTATCAATTAATTGCTTATACGGCTATAATATGTAAATAATTGTAAAATTGATTTCATAATTAAAAACGATTTTTTGTGAAAATTAAAAGAGAATTATATTTACTTTTGACTAACAAATCAAAGGCCTAGACTATAGTTATGATTGCACTTAAATTGCACTTTAATTTATTAAATATTAAATCTGCTTTTCATTGACATTATGCACAACAAGACTGTCAATGACTCTGAGAGCATATATAATAACACAGAAATTGTTTAAATAATGAAATGAAACGATATTTTTTTGACTATAAGTAAACACTTTATAGTCTAAAAAACAAATTTATATAAATTTTATATACTGTATAATTGTCAAAAATGAGAGGCAAAGTTGAATAAGTCAAATGTATTAATATTGTAAATTACAATCAAGTCTAGAGGACATGTGAGAGCATATAATGGATAGTAATTTAAGTAATAATAATAAGAATATTAATAATAAATTCATAACTATATAAAGTAATTAAAACAACTAAAGATATATCACTAAAATATAATTGAATCACTAAATTATAAATTGTTTGACTAATTATTTTCGTTGTCTCACATCTTGTGATTTACTAGACGTTCTGTCTTGAGTTGCCTTCCTATATGTCACATAAAATCAGAAATTTCAATAAAAATGATCAGAATATATATTATGATCTTACGGTTCAGTGTTGTCGTCCGAGTCATCGAAATCAGGTTTGATTCTTCGTTTTTCATAAATGAATATAATTGTGCAAAGAATTACCACTTCGGCCACTATTCCCAAGAATGGCCACAAAGCGCCCAATTTATCTGTTTTTATCAATCAATTAGCAGTTAATAACATATAATTTGAGTATTAAATATATAATTGATTTGTATATACCTTTAACACGAAGTAAAATAGTGTTATTAAAAGTGGTGACACCGTTATCAGCAATACAGACATAATAGAATCGATCCGAAGGAATCACTTTTGAAATGGTTAACAAAGAAGATGTAACATTGAATTCTTTGATTTGTATTCTCTCTGATTTGCCAATTGATTGCATTTCTTTATTTAAATGATCATGCTCATTTTCATTATACTTATACCACATAACACCCGCGTCTCTATTATAATCACTAATTATTTCACATTTTAGTTCAAACTTTTGTCCCTCAATAATATTTGCCGACTTGTAATTGGTTTTCTGAAATTCCTCGAAAGGATACAGATATGGCTTAGCTATAGAAATGAAATAAAAATATTTTGACACAAAAAAAGATAAAATTTATCGATAAATAGTGACAATTGAATGAATTGCATACCTCTGACAATAATTATTAAGAACTGTTGTTCATCACTTGGATTAGTACACCTCCAGTTACCGATATCACTGTTCACACAAATCACATACAATTAATATCAATATAAATATATAAATCAAACTAAACGTACACTTTATTGCCTTTTGAGATAATCAATGAATGGTCTCTTTCATCAATTTTCATACGTTTCTTGTCTTCTTCGTCAAAGTCCTCATAGTTTATGCCGTCTTTAGACCTAATGATTGACAAATACAAGTGATATTTACAGATAATTGGTTGCTGTCTATCAATGCAAACCATTTCCAACTGATAATAACAGGTCGTCCTTCGGAATCGGTATAATTGCAGCCAAGTATTAGCTCCCGATTCTCGGCCAAAATGAGCGGTGACTGACCATTGACCGGCCGATCTGTACAAATCAAAGACACATATATATCATTAGGTCTTGTAATTGAAAGTTAGTCTTCATTTCATTTACTTTCTCTTTTATTTTGGTCATCACTTTGTATACAATTAATTAACAACAATATAATTGTCGATATAATCAACATTTTATGAAAATAATTGTTATTTAAATACAATTTCAAACAATTATTGATTAAAATTGAGACCATTTTCTTTGATTGAATCAAATCAATCACTTAATTATGTTTACAATTATATACAATAATCCAAATGATTGCAAATTGCAATCAATTGTAAAAATAATTTAATTATATTTCCAAATACAGTATATTATTATTATTATTATTAATATTATTATTATTACAATTAGTAAGCAATATATGATTGAAATGATAATATTGTTTACACTATAATAATAGTTAAGACAATAAATGAGTTTTAATGCATAACTAATTGCTATTATTTAATAAAGCAATTAATAAATGAATTATAAGTTAAAACTCTATTTTAGAGTCAAATCGGTGTTCAAAGCATTCAATGAATATTAGATTTTGAGAACCGAAGCGATCGAACATAAAAACGCTATTGATTTTTGAGTCCAACACTAGACATGCTATACATTAAAGTCACATATAGTGTGTCCGACCCAACCCTAACATAGACTATATTAATATATTAATATTATATACAGTATATATTTATGTATAGAATATTAAAAATAAAATAAAAACTCAATAAATGCCCTTGATCATCTAATATAATGTTTTAACAAATTATATCTATATTTATTTCTTAATCTAATACATGTATTCATGTACTGTATTAACGTTTTGATCAATTTTTATGTTAAGTCAATAATAATGTTATTTTAATATTTTATCATTAAATTCAAATATTCTGAATTAAATACATTAAATACAATAAATTAATCTTTTAATTATCACTTTATAATAAAACTCCAGTAGTATTCAATCAAATAAATATACACAGTTTTTATCAATATTGAAAATGCAATGTTTTTACACTTGATAATTAATATTATTATTAAATCATTACTATTACTAAATATTATTATTATGAAATTATTAACAAATACAGTATATATCTAACTATTGTATATAATAATAACTATTAATAATTTTTAAATAGAATTATTTATGATAAATAAACTAATAATTAATACAAAATTTTTGGATTATTTATGATGATATGTAACCATAACTTTGTATTACTCTATTTATATGACATTCGCTGTATTCATGAGATGATTCAATGAAAAGCTATATTCATATATTATTATTAATAAACAGTATTATTATAATTATTATTCAGACGTTATTTTAAACACGATATTAAATACTGAACATATATTGTATAAGTTATATATACATTATATAAATTATTTTTGACTGGTATTAACAATTATATAAAAAATTAGTTTTAAAAATCAATATTTATGCGCTTTTATCTAATTATTGCTATCAATATAAACTTATTAATATAATATCTTAAATCATTTTATTTATCATATAATCTGTTGTCTAATATAGTAAATTATATTTATTATGTTTGATGTAAAATAATTATTGAATTATTAATGAATGTTTGAATTACTGGATAATAAAATCACAATAACATAAACTAATTATATTCGTATAATAATACTATAATAACATATTATTAAATACATATTTACTTAACTAATAAAATTTATGATATTGAAATAAAAGTTAATTACTTATACACAATATATTCCTATTCTAGTTACAAAACTATACAACAATGTATATTATTATAAATTATTGTATTATTATAGTAATATTTTTAGAGTAGTGAATACTAATGGATATAATTATAATTGTTTTTTGTTTTTATTTAATATTTTAACTGATTTAAAAAATAATTCTCTCATAATTTAAATTACAATTAATATGTATATTACTATTTGAATATTATAATTTATATATTACTACCGGTATAAACAGTATATTAAGTCAGAAATAAAGATATTTTATATAAAATATTAAAAAATGCAAGAAATATAAATATTAAAAAAGAGTTTATCAATAAATCAATGATACATTGATTAAATAAAACATCTAATGTTATATATTGTAAAACTTAAATCATTTTGTTTTGCAATATTGAGGCCATAAATTATCAAAAATTGTTTGATTATATGTAAAATGTCATTTTATGTTGATATCAATTAATTACTTATTTTTATCGCATACAGTATAATTAAATAAAAATTATTAACTTATATTAATAATATGTGAAATAAACAGTAAATCTTAAATAAAAATAAATTGAAAAATTATAAGTTTGATAAAAATATATTTATAAATTAACTTATGATTAAATATTTAGTAATAAAATAATTAATCTAAAAAATTTGCTAATAATGTACTGTATTATAAGTTAATTTGTCAAACTAAATGTTTATTATTCATATAAATATAGTATTATATATATATATTTATATTTTATATTACTGTATAATCAAAAGTCAAAAGTGCAGAAAATACAAAAATTATAATAAATAAGTGACTGACCTCTAACTGTAATAATAACAGATCTCTCATCTTCACTGAATCTATTATTTACAACACAAGTGTATGAATTTGTATGCAATTGAGTGGCATTTCTAACCACAAGTACGGCATCGGGATGTGAGTCAGTATTTGGCTTAATCTCGATTCCCAACTCAGATAACTTGATTGAACTTATTTTTTCATTTCCTTAAAACAAAAATAAATTTGCATAAATAGATTGAAATTTGTATATAATTTTGTATAATAATCTGTTATAAAAATATGAATATATCCAAGAATAGTACCGATAAGCCAATGTATTTTTCCGACCGGATAACCTGTATAATTGCACTGTAATGTGAATGGACGGCCTAACATGACATTTTGAGACCGTGTAAAGGGTTTTATCCTAATGGGTGCTATTGATAACATTGATAAACATTAACATTAATATTTAATAAATTGAATAGTCATTAAATTATAGGAGTACCTCTAAGTTGTATGATTTGTCCAAATTGTGAACCACCCAACTGTGATATGGTCTCAGCCCTACACATGTAATCTCCGGCATCGACAGCACTCGTGGCGTTCCTTATAATTAGTTGTGTTTTTTCAACAGTCCTTCTTTCATCATTCACTATATTTATGTTATTTTTATACCTATTCAATGCCAATACCAATTGAATAAATAATTATTAATCGATAATAAACCATATTTTTAATAATAATAAATTAGAAGAACTTGTGGTAACATATAATGATGTAATTACCAGAAAAATTCGGTGTCTTGTGTGGTGTCATACAGTAGCGGACACTTCAAAGTAATTGTTGTGTAATCCTCTTTGATTTCATTGAACAGTATATCAGCTGTGGTTGAAGTCTCCTCCGTATTAGGAATGGGTTCAGAGGTAATGACACTAATTTGATGATAAGATCGACTAAAACTATTGCATCGGTAGTAACCCGAGTCTTGTGCGCTGGCATTGGACACATTGATGACCTCAATTCTGGTCATTTCAATGCCTATTTTATTAGTATAACTAAATCGTTTGGATTCACCGGTAGGTAATTCATTTTTAGTCCACCTGGGTGCTTTAAACTTTGACATTTGACACATTATTTCAAATGTCTGTCCTTCAGTCACATACTTTGGCCCGTAATAGACAACATCATTGCTTTTCATCCATTCTTGAGTCAATACATTGTCTGTTTAAATTAATGGTAAAAAAACATTATAATAATTTATCGCCAATAAGTTTTTAAAAATATAATTATAGATTTAAAATAATTTAAATATTTGAAATTGCTCGATTCTTTTTTTTATAAAAAACAATAAATCTTAGTTTTATTGCTTAAATAATTACAAGTAATTTGTATTAACAAAAATAATTTGCTCACCCGATAAATAAATAGTAATAAAATTTAAGAAAAATAAAAATGAGTAAAACATTTTAAGTAATAACAGGTAAAACTTCATTTTGATCTTTCAATATGAATGATCACATCATTACTTGTATTATATATGAATAATGATTACAACAAATAAAAAATTTTCTCAACAAATTTATGGCATATTTTTTTCAATGTAATGATATCATACATTTTTTATAACAATACTTATAATATTAATATATTATAATTATATACTGTCAGACAAACAGAAAAAAATTAAATTAAAGATTATTGTATTTTGAAGCCCAATATGTTTTACGCATTCAAAAGTAATGCATCGATGAATTTCAGTTTTTAAAAGTAAAATATTTTTTGTCTAAACTTATTATAATATACAACGAGTAGTGCAGTTGTCGCACAAGTCATGGTATAGTAGATGTGCTAATTTGGGACAACCGTTCCTCTCTGTACTCCTTATCTTAAAATAACTTTCAATGAGAATTAGCTAAAGAAAGTTAATTGCATTGTTTAATGTTAAACACATACAGACATATAGTATGCTTACGTTTCATACATATGGCAATTATGGCTCTAAAACAAAATTATTGTAAATTTTTAGATATTTTATGTCTTAACAAAATAAAGTATTATAACTTAATCTAGTTTTTTGACAAATTTATAATTATTTTAAATATTAATATATCAATTTCAATAAATTTAAAATTTTACATTAATATAATTTTCAATTAAATTTATATTTAGACATATTGGCCATAATAGAAACATAAATATTCAAGATCAAATATTAAATCAATAATATATTTATAAATAAACTAAATTATTTATAAAATATTACATGTTTGATCTTTCAATTTGATCTGATTTTTATTTATAAACATTGTGAACATTATGAACATTATTATTAAAATTTATATATATATAATATAAAGTATAAATTATATATATAATCAATTAATAAATTATATGATAAAATGTCATAAATAAATAATACATAACAACATACACTACCAATAGTCGATAATACAATAAATAAAAATTTGAAATTAATAATAATTCTTTATTTATCAAAAGTCATATAATATAAATTAATCTCAAAACTTAAATAAAAAATCATTTAAACAGAATATATTAAAATAAAATACTATAATATATTGTGTGTTAAAACAATAATGTTATGTCATTACTGTACATACAATTTAATATTATTTTAGTATAAAACTACTCTATAAGCTTCTATTATTAACTTTTTTACATTTTATTTATTCAAATTAAATTATATTATAAATACTATATATAAAATTTATATATTTTATATGCTTTATAAATATATTATTGCAAATTAGACATGAAAATATAAATTAAACTTAATAAATATCTATTTTATTAAAATAGACTCAATAAACAATTTAAAATATTAAAAAATATATTTAATTTTATAGTTATAGTGTATAATGATTTCAACATTAAATAACACTTACGGGATTGCAAATAATTAATAAGTGAATCATAAAAACCCGTTAAACCATAAAATTAATGTTGGTTATTATTTTTATTACTTTATTTTTTATACAAAAATATTTATAATGAGTATATTTTGTCATTACATGCATTATTTATACAATATAATACAACAATTTTTGCAAAAATTATAAAAACAATTTTATTTATTAATTAATTAAATACATTTAGTAAATGAAATAGTAAATAAAATTTTAACATTTAATAGTAATAGTAAATAACAAATATTTTTTGTGTTTTTTAATTTCCGATACATTTTTAAAATAAATATCTCTTCCTTTATTGACATAATGTTATTAAAAACTAATGCACAATATATTAATATATATTAAATATTAATAAATACAATATAAAACATTACATAATATAAATTATTTATATATTAAAAAAATTAAAGAAATTTTTCAAAGCAATTCATAAAATTTTTGTTTTTTAATTATAATTACTTATAATTAGATTTATAATATCGTATACAAATTTTTATATTACTTAATCATTTTAATCACTTCACAAGAAACACATTTTAAATAATATATTATACGAATACAAATCAATAACTAATTGAAAATTTTGTATTTAAAAATTTGTTTTAAAATAAAATTATAATTTTTCATTAATATATTGATATAACAAACAAATTGAAAATCAAAGTTCAAATATAAGATGTTGTTATAAATTGATTTAAATTAATTACAAAATTAATGTAAAATTCGATAAAAAAGAGACAAAATATAGCCTAAAATTGAAATATTTATTAAATGACTGAAATGTTATTGAATGTTAAGGTCAGGCAATGAGGGCAAGTGGTCTTCGGGGAGATTGACTTCATTGACAGCACATATATCTCACAAACACCTACTCCTATATGTTATGCAAAAAATATTTTTTTTTTGGACAAATACTCATAATATTCATAATATAATAATTATATTTATTAATGTAAACATAAATTAAATAGATATTTATATCTACATTACTGTTTATATAGATATATTAACTGTATAATTGTAAATATTATTATATAATATAATAAATTGGAGACATTAATATTAATAAATTATTTTCTTAAGTAAATAATATGTTTTTGGGTGGGGTTTGGGTTTAAGAAAATTCATATATATATATATATTTGAAATATAAAAGTAAAATTAATGAATATGCCATCTAATTATATTACTAATTATAAGTTGTATAAAAATAAATAATTGAAAAAATTAAAGAATATCTTTGATTGAATCCATAAAAATATGTGTCAATTGAAATGAAGTAATGGTTGTTTACAATAGTAATGTAGTGTAGATGAGGGCGATGTTAGGCAAAAACGATCGCTTCTCTATGTAATTGCTATATATTTGCAAATATATATTATATATCACATATGAGATGTTTAGGAGAAACTCTTGCGCATCGATAGCAATGGTGTTTGTAGTCATATCTATGGATAACAATTGTGAGATTCAGTCACTTCAGTGTTAATGTTATGTGAGGTCAGCGCTTATGACGGTCTGAATGAGACATAAGATGGCGAACGATGGCAACGAAGGAGAAAATCTTTCGAAAAATGATTTCACGGAAGAAAGCATTGAATCGCTTCGTAAAGAAGTCGAGCGATTAAAGACACGTCTGGAAGAAGAGCGCAAAAAGCTTAATGATGTCACTTGTATGCCATTTCCTTATTCATTATACACATACACACCGTTTCCACCATTCCTTACTAATCATGACTTTCCATCATTTTTCGATACCTAACTAACTAAACAATTAGTCATGTCTTTTATATGATAACTAATTAACTGAAAATATCATTTTCAGTTTCCTCTGCAGCCGAACGGTTAGACAATGTATTTAATTTAAATATAAAACCCCGTCGAGTATTGAAAGGACATCAGGGAAAGGTATTGTGTTGCGACTGGTCCTATGATAACAGACATATCGTCAGTTCATCACAAGACGGAAAGCTCATCATTTGGGACGCATTCACCACAAATAAGGTGACACATATTTTTGATGACACAACTATCTGTATGACTAATATTTGTCTTATTTAAATAAAATGTATAATCAGGAACACGCCATAACAATGCCAACCACATGGGTTATGGCCTGTGCCTACGGTCCTTCCGGTAATCTGGTTGCCTGTGGGTTAGTACTACTAATAATTAAATCATATTAATAATTAAAATTGATATCATATTAATTACTAATTCATGTAAAATATTCAATCAGGGGTTTGGACAATAAAGTTACTGTTTATCCACTCTATGTTGAAGAAGATGTTGCGACCAAAAAGAAAAATGTTGGGACACATACATCCTATATGTCCTGTTGTTTATTTCCAGGAACTGACCAACAAGTATGACAGTGTTTAATCAAATATATTAATCATTAATTACCATCAATTGTTTCGCAGATATTGACAGGAAGTGGTGATAGTACCTGTGCGCTCTGGGATGTCGAGTGCGCGTCACTCATACAGAGTTTTCATGGACACAGCGGTGACGTTATGGCAATAGATCTTTCGTCATCAGAGACGGGAAACACATTTGTTTCAGCGGTAATTAATATCACTTATACACAGACACACAGACATTATTATTATAAGATCTTAATTATTAAATGTATTGATATGTAATTAGGGCTGTGATAGAACTGCATTAATATGGGATCTCCGAAATGGTCAGTGCGTCCAGTCTTTTGAAGGACACGACGCAGACATTAATTCTGTCAAATATTATCCGAGTGGTGACGCCATTGCCACTGCCTCTGATGACGCAACCGTACGGACAATATATATAAACTAATACCAAGTATTAAATTAATAATATATTTTCTTTTAGTGCCGTTTATTTGATTTAAGAGCCGATAGAGAAGTAGCCATATATTCAAAACAGAGCATAATTTTTGGTGTAAATTCTGTAGATTTTTCAATAAGTGGTAAGACTTTTATCAATTTTTCTGTTTATATCTTAAATACATCGCATATTATAATATAAATAACATAAATTTATATTTAACTAAATAACAGGTCGACTACTGTTTGCCGGTTATAACGATTATACAGTCAATGTTTGGGATACATTAAAATGCTGTCGACTCTGTATTCTTTATGGTCACGAAAATAGAGTGACAAGTGTTAAGACATCACCCGATGGAACAGCTCTATCGACATGCAGTTGGGATTTTAATCTAAGGGTATGAAAAACAGTTACCTAAAATTAATAGGCAATTGATTTTAATTGATGTTTTACTTGTATTAACAGGTGTGGGCCTGATTTATACTTAACATTAGTTTGTGAAATATATTAAAATAAGTTTAGGATTGTTTGCTGACTTTCTCACATAGTTTCGACCACTGGTTCGACTATAAGAACCCAATTAGTTGATAACGGATCTCATCTCACGGTATAATCTCTCTTCAAGATTACTGATATATTGCGACAACTAATTTGGTCACAAAATATGCGGTCTGTTAATGTGCCGATCGATCCATAAAAAACAGTGAGAAAAACAATTGATTAAAAAAAATACTTCTATGCATTCATTAATTCAATTCGTCAAACAAAAACAAAATCATTGAAAGATTAGATGATTTAATTATATTGTTATCTCTGGTTATTGTTGTGAAACAAACTCTCAGATCTGATACACGTTTTGTTGACAGAAAATAGCTATCGTTAGTCTATTTTAATATAACGATACCATTGAGTGAGTAATTTCTTTTAAAAAATGATCAAATGGGACCATAATTATCAATTGTATTAAGATTTTAATGTAAACTCTATTAAATATTAACTTAAAAAATATTAAATAATAAGTTTATGAAAAAAAATCACAAATTATTAAAAAATTTCAAGTATGTTATAAAGTGAATTAATTTCTATAAATTATTATTAATATAATTAATTATTATTATTATTATTATAAAATAGTTTATAATAGCACTTAAAATAAATACAAATTTAAATTATACATTGGTTTTAAATGAAATCAATGAATTAAACAACGAATTATTTGTTCATTTTTATAGACAAAAAAAAAATTAAATAACTAATGATCTCATAAATAAAAAATAATTGATTTCTAATAAATAATGTATAATTTAAATTACTGTACAATTATTAAAGTGCTATTAAATTAATAAATATTAAATAAATGATTCAGTAAAAATTGGTTAATTCAAGAGACAACACTTTGTGTCTAATGATTTAAAATTTGTTACTAAAAATGGCTCATTTTTTGTTACTAAAAAAATTCATATATTAAATAATGACACAAATTAAAACAAAAAATATAGATATCATCTCAAAAATAGGGAATGAATTTGAAAAATGTTTGTTTGTGTAAAATTAAGGCACAAAAATCACAAATGTCATATAATATAGTCAACAAAAAACCTACAATTAATACTTTTAAAAACCATTAATATATTAGTATTAATTTGTTTCTATTAAAAAAAAAAAAAACATCAGCTCTAACATCTATACAGTATCTTTCCGTCTCAACAAATCTACCGGTGCTGTATTATAAATTGGAAATAACTCAAAAAACCCCATTTTTAAAAAATGGATGACTAATTAATAATGGATATGAGAGGTGTATTTTTTATGGCCAATACATTTCTAGCCAACAAACTTTGATAATACTTGGGGAACACTTCATAATGTGTGTGTGTTTTACATTAAATGATACCAAATTAAATAATAAATTAAAATTACTATACAAATATATATAACTTATATGACTTAAAACGGCTATTCAAAAATTATTTTCCAAATCTTACAATTCATTAATTTTTTTACAATATATACCCAAAATAAAACATCAAATATTATATATTCTAAACGGTTAGTGTTTTTAAATGATCCAATTTTTTAAACACAGTGGCAAATGTTGGTCTCTTATCGGGATCCAAATCCCACGAATGTTTCATTATCTCATAAATCTCTACCGGACAGCCTTCAGGCGCTTCCATTCGATAACCTTTTTCCACGTGCTTTACAACATCAGCCAATGGCTGTAAAAATAATTTTTAATTAGTTTATTAAATAATTTTTTAATGTATTTAACTTACAATTCTAGGATAGGGTACTCTTCCAAATGAATATATTTCCCACAATAATATACCAAAACTCCACCTGATTTTAAAAAAACCATATTATATTGTAAACTATTTTTTGTTTTGTTAAACAATAATAAATATATAATCATTGATGTCATACATATCGGATTTGTTTGAAAATTTGTTGTGCCGAAGAGCCTCGGGTGCCGTCCATTTGATGGGAAACTTTCCGCCTTCCAGATTGAATGTCTCATCTCTAGCTAAACCAAAATCACAAACTTTTGCGATACAGTCTTCAGAAATGAGGACATTCCTTGCAGCCAAATCTCTGTGCACCACATGTTTTGACTCTAAATAACTCATTCCGGCACAAGTATCAGTGGCAAAGTTTATTTGATCTTTTTTGGTGACGTGATGTCGGCCTCTAGACCTCAGATAATCAACGAGTGAACCTTTGGCCATAAATTCAGTGACCAAACAAATGGATGGTCCATCAAACACAACACCCAAAAGTTGGACTAAATTTTTATGCCTCAATGATGTCATAAGACTGGCTTCAGTTAGAAAATCTTGTGCGGCTTTACTCGAATCCTTTAATTTCTTGACAGCGACTTTCTGTCCTCTCAATGATCCCAATAATACGTCACCGAACTCTCCTTTTCCAAGAATCTCTCCGAGTTTTAAGTCATGCATTTTGATGACCCAACCGGCGGCTTCAAACGCTTTCGAGTCCACAGAAAACTCAAAATTTCCATTTTTTGGAACTGACACCCGAAGCGTTGTACATAAACCATCCGCGTCGGCGATATAATGCTAATAAATAAATAATAAATAAATAAATATATAAATATATAATACAAATATAAATTATTTTAGTAAAATGTTAGCAAATTTTATTTACATCTACGAGTTGCGACAGATTTTCAAAGTACTCTTCTTCATCAATGGTTAACTTATTATCTTTATAAATGACTCTATAGTGTTCAACCCGATTGTTATAACAAACACATAGTGTATAATCTCCGGGAAAGTTAGTACTTTCTCTGACCAGAAATAGTCCGTCCTTTTAATTTACATAAATTACAAAATTAGTTAAAATTATTTGAAAAAACATAAATCACTTAATAATGAGAATACTTCTCGCGGCTGAAGTAGTGTCTCAGCCTCTTCTCTTGTGATCTTTCCGTGAAACCAATGCATTGCATTCAACTTGACTTCAGATCTTTTTTGTATATAATTTGCGGGAATCAGTCCTTCCTTACCATTGACATGTCTGGCTCTGTACCAGTTCGGGTCCTAATCATTAAAAACCATTAATTAGTTGAAATAACTATCAGATGTTAAAGCATACTCTTGTCTGGTTTGTAATCGTCAGAATGTCTCCCTTTTCAAAGGACAGATCTTCATCAGCTTTACCACTGAACCGATATCGGGCCACAACCTCAGTGCCAATCGGCCACTAATTTGTTTGCAAACAATTTGTCAGATTAACAGAGTTGTGACCCAAACATCAAAACATACCCCTCTGGATGTGATTCTTTCGTCACTCATTACCATAACGTTATAATAAACAATCAATTATTAATAAAATCATCAATAGTTTCAAAATACAGTAATTTGTTTGGATTTCAAGTGATGATTGAGTTGACATTAAAATTATATTATAAATATATCTATATATCAAATATATATACAAAACTATTATATTATGTTTATATGAAACTGTAGTTCAATACAAATATCACTGAATATGCAAAAAGTGTTATTAATAGTAATATTTATCAAAATAAGTTCACATAAGCCTTATGTAAATAATTTGTTGTCATTTATTATAAAATTTTAGCTAAATTTTATGTATTGACTATCAATCACTTTAATAATAAAAAATTCATATAAAAATTGTAATCAATTTGTTATTAATACGTATAATAATTACAAATAAATAAAATATTAAATATATTGCTATAAATGGGTTGAATTTGATTCACAATTAGTTGATTGATATTTCATAGGACTCTATAATAATATAATTATTGAAAATATTTTTACAAAATATTTGTTGTAAAAGATATATATATACGGTATATATATATATATATATATATATATATATAATTGATTGTCTATTGCATAGAGTTTTGAATACACTATTAATCGATGTTATGGTATATATCAGTGGATCAGTTGATCACCACATGTTAACACAAATTGCAATACATATATACAAAGTTTAGTCAATTGTGGGACCAATTGAGGTGATGTTGTCATCCAATAGGCATATGTGTACACAAATGATTGACAAAACACATGTAATGTAAATATTGAGTCATAAATAGCTTATTATTTTACGAAAATTATTTGTTATAATAAATATATTTATTATTATTATTATATGAAAAGCTATTTATTTGAATGTTTTAACTATTAATGGCTTTACTTTAAATTGATGTTAAAATGTGAGGAAAAAAGTGAGACACAAAACAATGTATAACACTATATATATAATTGAGTTAATGAGTCAAACAATGTGTGTATTATAGTGAGTGAGTGAGTGATTGAGTTAACACACACTTCATAAATACCATTACATTGTGATTGTTATGAGTATTATATAACACTGTGTTTACAGTGAAATACATTAAACATTAGTCAATGTATTAGTGTTTATGTAATATTGAAGTGATGTTTGTTGTGATAACACGTGAAGAGTGACTCCAACTCATAAACCATTGATTATCTGTTTATTTATTTATTTAGATTTTTTCGGTAATCACTTCTCAAAAAAGTCACTTATTTTGACCACAAATAACTGTTTTATGTGGATATCGACTGACATCCACTGTCGCCAACACAACCAACACGTCTGAAGGTAAGTGTCCATCGATTGTCATTAAAAGCAGATCTAAATTAATGAGATATTAATTTTAAATAAAATTGATTAATGTATGACTTGTGTGACCAATTGATGGTGATATCACTTGTCATGACTTGTATATCACGTCAATAATGACTAATCAATATTTCCAAACAATAATACAGAGTTTGTATAAACTTTAACTGTCATTACATTATTGTCAGCCATGGATGTCAATGAAGATTACAAGTCAAGTGTCTTGAGGTTATTGTCGACAACGACAAGTGATTTAAAGTCATTAATGTCGTATGATTTCCGATTGTCACTGTTTGCCAGTTCACTCAACAGCTACCGATGCGATTCAATACTTAAGCCGTTTCCTAATCATTATATCAGTGAAGACAATGAGAAACAATTTGATTTAGTGGTAATTGTTTTTAAATATTTTTATTTTATTTATGTCTTATAATCACAAATATTTGTTTGAATTAAAAATACTAACGAGAGAGGCATAGAAAGCAATAATTGTGAAATAATTGGCAATTTTTACTGTATATTATTAAATACAATATAATATCGTTTTAATAGTTATATTACCATTATATTAATGTATTGTCAATTTCATGCTTTTTAATTAAATAATTATTTTCTATTTTAAAAGTTATGTTTAAAATTTAGTACTGTATGGTCAACAAACATAATCAATTGATTCTATATTTAATTACTTAATTTTTTATTTATTTTAAACAATTATTTTTTAGACTAGATTTGATTAAAATAGATTATTAATAGATTTTATTGTAATTTTGTTATTGTAAATGGTTTTTATCATATCTAATAACTTTCTGTTAATTTCACCAAATTGTAAATTTAAAGTTTTATTCATTTTTAAAAATTATAATTACGGTACAAAAAAAATATTTATTAGGTTTATTGTAATTTCTCTTTAAGATTTTGTTCATTATATTTTTATATGATTTTTATTAACTTTTTAATTACAATAAAATTATTATCTATTTTTTTGCAATTGAAAATTGAAATATACATGAGCCATAATCAAATCATGAAAATGATTTACAATTTACAATATATTTATGTCAAAAGTAAAATAAAATCTTTTAGTAATTTAAAATCATATTTATACTTTATAATAAATATCATAAAAGCTTATCAAATATAAATTTATAATAGCTATTGTATATATATAGGAACTTATTGTAATTGAGTATTTAATAAAATTATGATTACCTGTATATTATACGCTCTCTTAATATAATTGTGAACAAACTTTATTTGTGATTACATTTATTGACTATTTTTATGGTTTACCAATAAATTTACTTTTCATCAGAAAAGAGATTTGAATTCAATTCCGTCTTTAGTTGAGTTGCAGAGCGGATACCAGATGTCAGATAATTGCTGGCGACTTCTTCATTGGGTTATGACTTGTGGACAGTTTAAACTTGTTGTCCGATCAGTAAATTCACCCGATTTACCACAAGAAGTAATATATTATTATTAGTTTCTAATTTATTAATTTAAATAATATTAATTTTTTTAAAGTTAACAACTTTGATGAATGCCAATCAATTGGCACTGAAATTCAAGCCATCACTTGTATTTGAAGTTATCTCACAACCGAAGCGATCGTTTGTTGAGTCCCGACAACGTTACGGAACTTTTTGTGCATTTCATGGGTCGTCGACCGAAAATTTTCATTCAATATTAAACAATGGTCTCATTAATTGTCTTAATAAAGTAATATTATATAAATATATAGTTTTATTTTGTATACGAAAGGGTTATTTGAATTTTTTTAATAGAGAGACCTTTACGGGTCGGGAACATACATAACATCCCGTATAAGTGTTGCCATTCAATTCTGTCCATTTGTTTTCGGGTGGAATAAGTCATCGCTCGGTAAAGAACTTAGTTGTTTGGCTGTTTGTCAAGTGATCAAACATCCCGACCTAATGTCACAAAGTATTAGTTTTTTTTATAAACTTTTGATTGTATTTTGATTATATAATATTAGTGTTAATATAGATATATTTAATTTAATTATTATTTTTAAGGTTCAAATGGTGTACCAAATGATTATTATGTTATACAAAATGATGATTTGCTTCATGTGTCCCATGTTTTGGTTTATTGTAAAAATCGCATAAAAAATAATTTACACCAAAAGTAACTAAAAATTATAATATTTAATAATTAATATTAATTAATTGAATTGTTTTATTTAGTGTCATTACTTCAATGATTTCCAAACATACTTCTACAGTGGTTTTAATTGCATTATTTGTTATTATGATTGCCATTGGAGTTAAATATTCATAATATAAATGAAGCTAATTTAATAAAGTATATTAAATAGGTTTCTAATTTATTTAATAATTTAACTCATTTATTCACAGTTTAATTAAGTATTACGAAATAGATGCAACAAAATAAAATTGTATTTTTATCTATTGAATAGTTTATGATAATAATTATTTTTTATTTATGAATAGAAATAAACTTTATAGAAAATTTATTCAAAGCATTTATACTATTGATTATCATAAATTATTTTATTGTTTTTTTTTGTATTTAATATTATTTTTAATATAGTCTAAATGAAATAATACAGTATATATATATATATATATATATGAATAAATAATAATATCTGTATTAACTCAAAATTTATAATAAAATGATTACTAAGCATAAACCTTAATAAAAAACTTAGTATATATTACACATAAATGAATTAAATATGTGAATTATTTTATTAAAATGAATTCAATTGAATTATACAACTTTTATTAAAAAGATTGTGAGAAACAATATTTATAATGATTTAGTTCGTTGTTATCATAATTATTATAATTCAATAATATTGTCACTTATATGAATGCAAGCAATGCTTTAATAACAGATGTTTTGTGATATTTACTGTATTATAAAATAATAGACTACTCTTGTTATTTGCAATACAAATATAGTAGTCTAACAAACTATACAACTAATGCTATGATCTAAATGTAACAAATGTGAAGTGCCATCCATTATAAAGAAATCATTAGGTAATTGATTGGTGACATCAATATGTTTGACTACTTTTTTCTCGTCTCACTCTCAGATTGTGTCGATTTTTGTACCAATCATTGGGTGACACAACACTACATATAAATATTTTTAATTATAAACGTAAGGCAGCTGTTATGCTATACTATCATATAATATACTGTATATTATTTGAAAAGAAGAGGGAAAATATTGTATGTTAGTGAGTAAGTGAGTGATTCAATGGCGAGAGAGAGAGAGAGAGAGAGAGAGAGAGAGAGAGAGAGAGAGAGAGAGAGAGAGAGAGAGGTGTTTGAAAAAGTAATTGTAAAAGAAGTGAAAAATGAGATCAAAACAAATTATATAAGTAGTGAGTTGTTTATTGAATTAGGGAGGCATAAGAGGGGCGGATGACTATACGCTATATGAAACTTGAAGTTTGGTTGAGTAGATTTGAATGATTAGAGAGAGTCATAAAATTTCTATATTCATACATAAAAATAAAATTTGAATGCTATGAAAGGCCAACAAAATAGAGTAAATGGATATTAAAAAAGATTCATTTGTTACTAAACTGAAAGTGAGAACCCATTTAGTTATATGTGGTTTTGCTTCTCAATTGTATTTTTCAAACGATATATAAATTAATAAGCATTTTGTTTAACAAAAAAATACGGCAAATCATTTGTCGGACCAACCGTTTGCCTAAAATATAATATACTATATTATATACCTAAATAATGACATAACTAACTAATGTGACACTTATTTGCTTATTAGCCGATGTTTATGAGCTATAGTTTCGTTATATCTAAATAATGGTCTCTTTGGGACTTATTATCAGATTCTGTCAGAGATGACGAAGTGATGGTGAGATTAGAGAGACGGCATAACTCTCATAATAAGTATAGTCTATATTATAATAAAACTAACATTTCTTACATTATATAACTTGTTTGTTATAATAAATAAATATGACAAAAAATAATTATATTCTCAATTTTTAAATCAAATATATTAAAGCATATTCAAATTTAACGATTGTTATATAACTTACTTTGAAAAAAAATATTTTAGTAATAATATATTTTAACAATTTAAATATCATAAATCACTTACATTATTTTTAGATCCTCAGGCTATTGATTCAAAAAATTGTGTAAATGTGTTGTAAATATAAAAGTAAAAAGTTTTTTATGATTTTTATAAGTTATATATATATATATATATATGTATTTGTTAAGATTGAAAACTGATATATAAAGTATTTTTACAATATTTTTTTTAAATAAGTGTTTGCTTTCAAAATGAAACGTCTATTCAATTTTGCAATTTTGCAATTTAGTGTTTATCTCACATAATAAGTAATGGAAATCAAAAGTAAACACATAGTAAACAGTGTTTTAGTGTAATCTATATTTTATTAGTCTCTATATGAAAGAACAGTAGGCTATTGTGGCGTTTAGAGTATATTAAACAGTTGAGGAAAGAGTAATAAGAGTGATAGGGATGAACCAAAAAAGTGTTTGAAACAACTTTTTTTCAATTAAGTCGTTTGCATTGCTTAATGAAATGCTTTTAGATGTTAATCAACTAATGCAGTGAAAAGTGATGACAAAATAAAAGCCATTGATTTTCTAAAGAAAAACTTGTATATCACGGGGTATGGTAGGTATGATAGGGTAGGGTAGGGTAGGGTAGGGTAGGGTATGATATAGTATGAGATCTTATTAATAGTTTCATAGATAGACATAACACTTATGGGTTGATTAGAGTCACGCCTCACATCACACTTCACTGCAAACTAACTCTATTTCTAAACTGTAATATCTATTACTAAGTTATGTGTCGCTAATCATAGCAATCAAAGGCTCTCACAAAAGCTATATTCAAGACTCGGGTTTCAAAGCAATTCAATTAAATAAAGTTTCAAAACACTAGTATTACAGAAATTTTAATTAACTTTATTTTATTTGTAATTATGTTTTTATAAAAAACAACATTGCATTTTAATTTATTTTTGAATTATTTATTTTAGCAACATATCATTATGTTAATTTAATTTTAATTTAATTCTGCTTTTATAATTAAATAATATTTTAAATATGTTTTTAATGAAAAAATCTAATCAAGATTTAATTAAGAAAATTAATTAAACCCACTAACAAATATTTATATTTAAGCAGTTATAATAATTATTGCAAATATAGTATATATTATGCAATATCTTATTTGTAATTTCATATACAAATAGTATTTAAATATTTTATAAAAAATGAAATCAATTGCAAAATTGATAAATAATGTTTTTGAGTCAATAATATAAATTACTTAAAAATAGTTTATTGAATTTTATGGTTTTATAGTACGCATACAATAATATAGGTATTTTCATAAATTAGTAGCATGGTAATGTTAGAACAAAGTTACCAATAATAAATATTTAAATATAATAAATAATTCTCTGATAAATATAATTAATTATTCAAGTAAAAAAATAAAAAATTGATAATATAATTAATATAAGTATTTTAACTATGTAGTAAATATTATAAAAATAATTAAATAAAATGTTTTCTATTTTTATTATTGAATGACGTATACCTCTATATCACAAAACAATAAAAGTAATACATTAGTTATTAATGTAATGTTACAAATAATAGGATTTATTTTAATCACAAATAGCTTAGAAATAGTGATATTAATTAAAACAAAACTTTTTCCATTAAATAAAGAAATATAGATTAAATAAAAAATAAAATTTTTATAATAATAATGTAATAATAATAATATAATATAAATATAATAACATTATTATGTAGTGAATATTTAAAACTATAATATAGATTCTATACTATAATATAGAGTATTAGATAAGAAAATAAATTTAATATTACGAGTAATAATAATAATAATAAATATAATATTATTGTATGAATTATATGTAAAACTTGCTATAAAGAACTTAATCAAAACATTTACATAATTTCATTTTGTTTGACTGTTATTATTGAATACAAGTACTATAATATAATGTAATGTTATAATGGATTACTAGACATATAGCAAACTATAAAGAGTATGTGTTATGTATTTGGGATATAATTTTGACGCCAAATACTAACACAATCATCATTTGCATGAAACAAATAAAGAGATCTCACGGCTGAAGTAGATTTACTCGATTTTGTCGTTAAATTAGTGCATACATCATGTCATATATATAAAAAACAGTCACAATCCTCACACTAACAGTGCACTGGAGAGAAAAAGCACTGGTAGTATACAAGTTGTTGAATGTTTTATTCAATAATAAAAGATGAGAAATAGTGGAATATATGAGGGAACGGGAGATAACCGAGAAAGACATGGATGTGATGCCAGTCCTCAGTTCACGATAAATGTTGATTCGCTTCACTCGACTCTCAGTAAATGTAACGAAGCGTAAACTAACTTTACTATACTTTCTAGTATAACCTGTATATAACATTATTACTTATGTTATATAAGTTATATAAACAATATATCTGTATATTTAGTAAGATTGCAATCATCATAATAATGATAATAATAAAAGTAATATCAATAGTAATATTCCATCAAAACTAAGCTTTTAGTTGAGTAGCGAAAGCTTTGAATCACATATTTTGTAGTGAAAATAACTGTTGAAATGCAATAAACAATTAAAGATTTATTTAGAGAGTTATATACACTACAGAGTGACTGTGTGTCACAGCTTTTGTATTTGGCTTATGTGTGCCATAATAGTAGGCCAACAATTGGACGCACCTGCCTCTCAGCACTATATCCATTGCCTGTAAATGTAGGCTTTATATCGGTGTCTAAAAAAGCAGTGTATTTGCTTTAACATCAATTTTAATACTAATATTTCAAAAGAGATTTACAGATGAATATAACCCACAATATTATGGCTTTATTGGTCAGGCGTTTTGACTATTATCTCGTCGACAAAAAAATTCAATCAACAAAACCATTTTGTATGACATTAAATGCTTTTTTAAAAATATTTATATGCATTCAAATAAATAATTTTATTTTCTACATTCATTTTACACTTGCTATACATTACTATTAAATGCAATTTATTTAAAAAAACAATCTACCTTAATAAAAATACTATAAAATAAAGTTTTTTAGTACTGTACTAAAAAAACATAATATTTATATAAAAACAACTTAATAAATTTGAAAACAAATAGTTGCATACAATG